TTGTCATTCATCATGCTTAAGTTGCTTTAGAACAACAATTGATGGTTGTTTAACATGTGATCTAAGTTTAAATAGAATATTAAAAGGGTTAAAATGTGTATGTGCACCTGGTTATTATGAATTAAGTAATATTTGTACAAGTATATATAATAATGATAATTATAGATTGTCCAAATACTGAAGATGCATCTTTAAGTCAATGTTATAAATAATGTAATAATAATTAATAAATATGGCATACTATTACTTGTACTTCTTGTGATTCTGGATTTAATTTAGTCTATGGAGAATGTCAACCCATTTGTGGAGATTCATAAATAAAAGGATATGAATAATGTGAAGATAATAATACAATTCTTGATGATAAATGCTATAATTGTTAATTTTAATGTCCAGCTCATTGTTTAACTTGTGATTAATCAACTACTTTACCTTGTCCTGATATTTGTGGAGATGGAATTATTACAGGAAATGAAGAATGCGAAGATGGAAATACTATTTAATATGATGGATGTTTTAATTGTAAATATTAATGTTAAACTTCATGTACAAAGTGTATATAAGGTAAATGTTTTGAATGTGCTACTGCTGGCTGGTATATTGATCCAACAGTTACTCCTTGGTAATGTAAGGAAAGATGTTATGATTTGCAAATAGTTGGGAGTGAATAATGTGATGATGGAAATCTAAGTGACACAGATGGTTGCAAAGAGTGTAAGTATTTCTGCAGAATTGGTTGTTCTTCTTGTGATTATACTACAAACAAGTGTTTAAGTTGTGAATTTCCTGGTTTTGTTCCTTATTCTTACTATTGTAAGAATACATGTGGAGATAGTTTAGTTGTGACAGATCCTTCTGGGTTCTATTCAGAAGAATGTGATGATGGAAATACAAATGATGGTGATGGTTGCAGTAGCTCTTGCTACTTTTAATGTTAGCCATCAACTATTTGTACTAGTTGTGTAGGTAATAGATGTGAAATATGTGCTACTGGATATTATCTTTCTAATTAAAAAGTATGTTTACCAATTTGTGGAGATTCAATGATAGTGGTTGGAGAACAATGCGAAAATTCATTTATATTACCATATAAAGGTTGTATAAATTGCTAAGCAAAATGTCAAAGTTCTTGCCTCACTTGTAATACTACTGGACTTGGTTGTACATAATGTAAAAATGGTTACAATAAAATTGATAACTTATGTTATACAATTTGTGGTGATAAAATAATAACAGAAGATGAATAATGTGATGATGGTAATTTATTAATTGGAGATGGATGTCATTTCTGTTAATTTACTTGTTAAGATTAATGTCTTAATTGTATTAAAGGAATCTGTTATGATTGCTAAGAAGGTTATGAATTAATATAATCTAAATGTTATCTAATATTATAAAAAAACTAATTTTTTATTAACTAAGGTGAAACTAAAGATCAATTAACATCACTTAATTAAAATTGTGATATCAATTGCATGAATTGTTAAGATGGGATATGTGATTTATGCTCATAAGGAAATTATTTATTTCATAATGAATGTATTTCAAATCATATAACCAAAATATTTTATGTTAATGAAAATATAAATTTATGTGGGGATAATAAAATAATGGATGATGAAGAATGTGAAGATAACAATATTATTCCATTTGATGGTTGTTATTATTGTAAATTTTAATGTGATATCAATTGTAATGATTGTTAATTTGGAAAATGTTAAGGATGTATTCTTGGTTATATTTTGAATGCTAATTTTATATGTGAACCAGAATGTGGAGATGGCATTATGATTCTATATTCAAATGAATAATGCGATCTTGATATTGAATGGTGTATTAATTGTCAATTTAAGTGTTAACCTCATTGTAGTAAATGTAATTTATTATTAATACAATAAATAATTTTGAATTATACAATTAAAATAATACAATTAGAATACAAGAATGTTTTTAGTGTTAAGAAGGTTTTTATCCTTATTTAACTTCTTGTATTCCTATTTGTGGAGATGGAATTGTAATTGATGAATATGAAGACTGTGATGATTAAAATGATTAACCAAATGATGGATGTTTTGAATGTCAATTTGAATGTTCAAAAAATTGCGAAATTTGCGAAAAAAGAATATGCCATAAATGTGATATAGATTACGTCTTACAGAATAATCAATGTTTGTTTATCAAATAAAAAGATGATATAGATTCTAACATTATTGAAAAACCATAAAATAATGATACAATAAATTACAGTGTAAATCCTTAATGGTTATCATTAAATGAAAATAAGATTTGCAGAGAATATGAATGTGTTTACTCTAAAAAACCCAGCATGAAATTGACTTTTAAAAAGTAATACTTTGCTCTATAATATGTCGAAATTACATTCGATTAAGAAGTAAAATTCAGAGATTAATTATCAAAAGACGAATAGCTATTTAATATAAGCATCGATTACTTAGATTAATAGAGTTATAACATCACAATCAATTCAATTTAAGATATATAATTTGATCTTTAATATGCATAGTATTAAGTTGTCATTCAAATATTTTCATAGCTTTCAACAAAACCAGTTCTTTAAGTTTAACTGAATCATGAAATTGTTAACTCAAATAATTAAACACTTTTAAATCCTATTTAGTAAATTAATCTTTAACCACCAAAAATAATAACTGAATAAGTAAGATAAGTATCTAATTATGCTTAATAATCAAATAAAGCATTTATGATAGGAGCGATTTCTTTATGTGTAATTTCTTTAGTTTCTGGTGAAAGTTCGATCGTTGTTGAAACCCTAAATCTTCTGTAATATCAATCATACTTAAGATTTATTAATGTAGATTATCCTGAAAATCTATAAATATATTTTTAAGCATAGGAGTTGCTATCTATATCATCTTATTTAAAACTTTTTGAAATTGATGATTATTTAAATTTAATAACAAGAAAAGAAAAATAAATTAATTTAAGTGAAAAATTTGAATAATATAATATAGAAGCAGATCTTTTTACCAATATTTTACCCCAGTTAATATAAATTTTAGGATTAGTAACACTACTTTTTTTTGCCAAAAGTCTTTATTCTAAATTTTTTTTATTAAGTAAATATATGAGAGTTATTTAACACAAAAAAACTTTACAATCAAAGATTTTATTTACAATTATTAAATTAATATTATTTTTTAGAAATTTTATCAAATCATTAATGAAAATAAGATATCTATAGAATTATGATCAAATAATATAACTTATTTACATTAATTCATGGGATTTGATTTTTAAAGTGATTTTGTAATTTCATTATAATCAAATAGAAAATTTGAGGAGTATTTTAACCACTTTTTTTGCTTCTTTAATATTTTTCATATGTATTAGCTTTTTATTAAAATCATTTAATTTATTCGGCGCTGCTATTTAAAGCAATGTAAAAGCAAAGCTAGAGAAACTAGAAATAAAATTTATTATCTTCGATATTTGTAGAACTATGTTTTTCCATACAGTATTAATACTATTCTAGAATTAATAAATCTTATAGTGCTTATTAATATCTTTCAGTAGTATAAGCTAATGTTATTTAATATAAAAATATAAATAATGCTCTAAATCAGATAAGATTATATTCTTACATATTGAAGGAATTTTAACAGCATTTAGTTTAAGCTTATTTTTATATTTAGATATTGGTTTGATTGATATTTCTTATGAAAACAAAGTTTTTCTGGGATTTATTTAGATGATTTTTTTGATTTTGAGTCTTGCAATTGTTTTTACGAAGTAGCTAATTCCTAAAACACTCTATATTTGGAAATTATTATGTAAAAAAAAGAAAGTGAAGGTTGCAACTAGCTAATTGTTTTCTTGAATTGAATGAGAAATAATTATTTAATAATAATAATAATATAAGATTTTTTAAGTCTTATTCGTTTTATTACTTAATATAATCATTAACTGTGTATAATAAGAAGAATATAGTAAAATAGATAAATTATATATAATTATCATTAAGGCTTTTAACGATAATAATCTATAATTCGTTATACTTTTGATTTATCTTCTATTTTTTTTTCATCATCTACAGTTCTTAGAGATTCAATTTCTGCAAACAATAAAACTATCAAGCAAAATAAATCACGTTCTTTATAGTTGTTATCAACATTTTGTTGTGTTTTTAAATTATTTCCCCTTTCTTAACTTAAACTTTTTGTTTTATTAATAGTATTATCTTCCTTTTTTGGATTCCCACTTTAATTTAACAATCCTTTTTAGGAATTATGATATCTTGAAACTTCCAAAGACAACAATGCAATTTTATTTTTATAATCTTCTATTTAATGAGAGTTAATAATCAACATTGAATTTTCTTTAAGAATAGCATCGTATTTCTTTTATAATATTTAGAGTTATTAATAATATTCATTTTCAATGTTCTATGGGAAGAGAGTATCTGAAGATATAAGAGATTTTGAAAATTAATCTGATTGAGATGAACATAATGATTTTTTTTCACTTAATTAATTGATTAAATTTTTATTGATTTATTCCATTTCTTCAAATTTATTGTATAATACTTATAAATCTTATTTTTATATAAGTATTTTTTGTTCTTTTTCATCAATAACTTAACTTAATTTAATATTTAATTAAGTTATCTCATTCATTTTTTAATTATCTATTTATTCTACTTCGCATCTTTATTATGAAGTTTAAAGACTGTTTTCAAATTATCTGATTTATTTTTCTTAAATTACTACTTACTATTTCAGTTAACATATTTCTGCATTCTGATTCATAATTTTCAAATTAAATTTATCAATCAACTGCCATTTTTATTCTAATTGAGAGCTTTTATCATAAATTTATTAATTTAATTCCTAAATTTATATTAACAATTCATTATTTTAACTCTAAATTTCTTCTAATAATTGAGGTTTAATTTATTCATTTTCAACCTTCTATTCCATCCTTAAATTAGTTATTTATGTTTTTAAATCATTATTTTCTTAGATTTTATTTTAATTTATTTCTTACAATATATCAAATTCTTTTTACATTTTTCTAATTTAATTGCTTAATTAGTGTAATTCTTATTATAATTACCTAATGAATAATTCTTTTTCATCAATAGATAGCTTTTATGCATTCAATTCTTTTTTATAATTTAGATTATCATTTTCAAATATTTAAATTTTATTAATTTATTCTTGTATAGTTAAATTTTATTCTTCAATCATTTTTTCAAGTTGAGTAATTAATCTACTTTTTTATTCAAGTTCTAATTTATTTTAACTATTTTTTATATATAATTCATTTGCCTATTGAAATTATTCATTTTCAATCTACATTGTTAAATTTGTGATTTGTATCTAATAGTTATTTATCTCAAATTTCATTGAAGCCATTTACTAAATTAATTCTTGATTTAATAATTCTAATTTATATATATCTTATTAATATTATTGGTTTTCTGATTTTACTTTATCTAAAACTTATGATTTCATATATTCTGATGATCTAGAACCTTCTTGATTAATTTTTTACTAAGAGTTATACTTAAACTATAATTATCTAATTTATTATTCTAACTCTTAATTTTGTTAAATATGTTTATCATTGGATTCTTAGATCTTTTTATTAAAACCACTTAATTTAATTATTTCAATCTCTTTTGAATCTAACAAATTTTTAATTTATTTAAATTCAGATTTAACTTGAAATAATTGATCTTCCAATTAGTGAATTTTATTTTAAGATTAGTCTAATTATAATTTAAGTTTTGAAGAATCATTATTTAATTAATCAATAATTTCTAAATAATGTTATTGCAATTCTTTTTTATCATTAATAGATTGTTATTATAACAGTTGTAATTAATTATCTTACATCTACATAATACTTTTATTTTAAAGTAATTTATCCTGTATTATTTCTATTTATTGAGAAAATTCTTTTGAATGTTTGTTCACTTTCAATGAATTTTTAAGTTATTCACTAAGTTTTTGCACTTCATCATTTAATCTTAAATTTTATAGACTTATTTCTTAGATTTCATGAGTTTTTTATGTCAATTATTAATTTAAATTGTAAACCTCTTATTGTTTAATATTTTCTAAGTCTATATTTTAATTTATTTATATTTCATCTTTATTTTTGATTTAATTTTCTAGTGACGAGATTCGATTAGTTAGTTCAATAATAGTATTTTATTTATTTTATAGTTGTGTTTTAAAGTTATTAGATAAGCTAACTAAATAGAAAGTTTCTTTTGCTAACTTTTCTTTTTCAGATAAAAGTTTATTTTAATCTATAAGAGAATTTCTAAGTTTACCTTCAATTTGTATTTTTAGATTAGTTATGGATTGCATTTCTTCTTTTAAACATTTATTTTATTATTCTAAAGAGATTAATTTATTCTTAAATTCAATTTACCATTTTTCATTTTATTCTTGTTTAGGTGATTAAGTGGAATTTAAATTCTAGTTAGAATTATATAAATCCGAATTTTGACGTTAATCTAATAATGACTAAGTTATTTAATCTTGAAGTTAAGAATTTAATTCTGTTAACTGATTGATTTATAATTTTTGATTTTAGATTTCTAGTTTTTGTTTTTATATATCTTGATTTAGACTTATAACAATTTGAGGATATTACTCTAATTAATCCTTTAATTCTTGGTTGATATTATACTAGATTATGAACTGTTCTGATTTAGAAATAATCTCATTTATATCTTGTCCATTAAGAAGTTCTTGGATCTCATCATATTTGAGAGATCTTCTTTTAAGCTCTTCAATTAATTCAGTCAATTCTTCTAATGTCAACTCATCTCCTGTTATTTATGAAATAATATCAATAACATAATCATGTTGTTATTTCAATTGATTATAATCTTAATCTAGTTGATTTTTTGTTCTATTAATTTCATCTAATTTTCTTGTGAGATGTTGGATATGAATAGTATTTTAATCAATTGTATTAAGATGGACTTTATTGATTTGATTTAATTGAGCAATGTCTAATTTAAGTTATTATGTAAGTGTTTAAAGTCTTTCAACTTCTATGGCTAATCCAAAACAAATAACTTCGATTTATAACATTAAAATAAATGGGATGCGTAAAATCAAATGGAAATAAAAAAGTAATGAATTTGAATTCTATATACAGTTAGAAGACATGAAACAAGGTTTTGTTATCAGAATTCTGCATCCTGATAATAGGACTGAGAAGCAGTATAAATACTTTGATGAGAAATAGAAGAGTGATCTTATTATGAATGTTATGAATGGAATATGTTTCAGTGAAAAAGTATCTGACAAATGTGATGGTAATTTTATCTCAGTTTATGATCCTGCTGATGATCGGTTTCACTATTACATTTAAAAATTAGATGGTACTGCTTAGAATTCTAAAAGTACTAGGAATAGAAATTGATAACCCGAATGAACCTTTGAAAGGAAGGATTTGGGTACCATATATCAATGAAAAGAAATCAGATTGGGATATGTTAGTAGAAAATAACACAAGAATATCAATAAGTGATCACTTGTTATGGAAGTTAGAAGTTGTCAAAAAGTGAAATGATAATTAATTTCTTATGTTATAATTAGAATGATTGTCACATTTCAATTACTTTACAATAACTAATAGGATATTTCATTGTCTCTTTTTTATACAAGCAGCATCTACTATACTTTCAGATTTTTTAATTATTTTTTTTAAATTAAAAGAATTTTTCTACATTTTATTTTGTTATATTGTTCTTTTTTATCTTTTTTAATTTTCTTCTTCAATCCAAAAACATGTTCTTAAGAATTATTTACTAGATCATTTAAATAATTAATCCATCTTTCTTTTTAATTATTCTTATTCCTTTTATAATATAAAATGAATGTTAATTAAGCTTTTTATTATTATTTATTATTTTTTCTTGTTATAAAATATAATTTTATGAGATTCTATTTATTAATATAAACAATTATAGAAATTATAAACAAAAAATATCATTTCTTCCTTTTGAAGAAGCTAAATTAATTCAATTTTGAATTCCAAAAAGCTGATCCAATAATCATACCATTTCCAATCCAAATTGCACATGGCAATTTATAAAAAAACATTTCATTAACAATTAAGCTTGAACCTATTAAGGTTATCAAAAATGGAGCATAAAGTATTGATTCTTTGACTGAATATAATGATAATAAAGAAAAAGCTAATAGAATAATACAAAGATAATTTAAATAATGTAAATATTGAGTAATTGGAATTCCAAAAGCAGAAAAAAATGCTGAAAGTGTTGATATATAAAATGAATTGCAAACACCTCCAGCACAAAAACTTACTGAATTACCAAACATAGAAAGTAAAAAGTTCAATATAATGTTTTTATTACCTAATTAATTTTAAGATGTTTCTTTTTATGAACTTAATGAATATAGTAAATATACTAATAATGTGAATGCAAAACATGCAAATAAATGTGTTAAAGGTTCAGCTATATCTTATTATTAAATAGCCTTTTCAATAAGATCTCCCAAATAAAATGTAGACACTGCCAAAGGTGCTGTAATTAATAATTAGCATAAATTCCATAACATAATAATTTTCCTTTGTTTAAGACTTTAATTCTTATCTTTACGAGATTGTTGACTAATATTGTAAATGCTCTTTAAGAATTTATAGGAAAAAAAGAAAATCATTGGACTTAAGATGACTGTCCATTTGACATAAAAGTGGACAGTCATCTTAGCATAAACCAGAGCTAATGTCAAAAGTCCTAATATAGAAAATGATTTAGATCCTGGAAATCCTCCATATTCTTCAATTAATTAAGGTTATTAGTTTGTGTCTGGTAGCATCAATATATATTTATAAATTAATTATAATTATTTGAAGTTCTCATAAAGTAATTAATTATTATACTTTATGCTTATGTAAGAATAAATTAGAAATTCTAAATATAATATTAATTTTTAAGGATTAGAATTGTTAAAAAGGAATTTTTTGAAATTTTAGTTATTTTATGAATCCAATTAAAAACATTATTGATTGTTAAATTAGTTAAGAATGCTTAGAATATATTCTTGATACATTGCAGATTAACAACAGAATTTATTATTGATTTCAAAATATAGATAGATATTAAATATAAAATTTATGTTTATTTGCTGCAATACCAAGCCTAAATAAGATAAGTATGCAATAAGTCTAAATAATCTTATTAGATCTCAAAAAAATACATCGACTACAGCAAATTCTGATGTTGAATCAATCAAGTAAAGTAAGTGTGAGGAATAAATACACAAAGAACCAGTCTAAGACACCGCAAATAAATAACTAATTATGGAATTGAATTAAAAAGACAAAAAGCTTTAAGAGATTTAAAATATAGTTAACAGAATTAAATCATACCGAGAAGAAGGTAAACTTAACTTGAGGTATATATAATATTTAAGTTCTTTAGCATTGATATAGAAAAATCATTTGTAACATCTTTAATTGAAGAGGATATACCAACTCTTTATTTTGTTGAGTACAAATGGGCTGTTAATTATACAACATTTTTGGAAAGAAGGATTTAGGAAGTGCCAAAAAAAATTAATAATACTAAATTGTTGACTGAAGACAATGCTCAAAAAGAACTAATCATAATCAAATCTTAAAAGGATTCTTAACTTCTACCTGGTTTATAACCAGATAAACATTATGTGCTTTTAAATGAGAGATCATGGACTTTTATACATCTCTTATATGGTGGAGGACCCAAGATAATAATAGATTTAGAGAAACCTGTAACATCTCCAGATATTATCAATGATGGTTAAACTAATGTTACTTCCAATACAGCTAATACAACCAAGTTATCAATAGAGCCTTTGATTGATATAGCAAAGTTAGAGTACAATAATTTGGATGATTCAGATAAATCTCCAAATACAAATACTACTCGAAGACCATATCCATAGAAAACTAATATAATAAAAATTGAACCAAAACCTTATGAACTTCCTTATGTAGGTCTACAAAATCCAAAATATTACTGTTATATGAATTCAGCTTTACAATGTCTTTTGAGTATAAGAGAATTAAATGATTCATTATTAAAATAGTAAAAGTAATCAAATAAAAAATTTACAATGGCATATCAAGACTTATTAAGACTTGTACAGAGTTCTATTCCTGGATCAGCTATTTCTGTAGAGAAACTTTAAAATATGTGTTTAAATAAATTTAAATACTCATAATAGTAAGATGCTCATGAATTCTTATTATATCTCTTATCTGAAATTTAACAAGAATTAGTAGGAAAGAATAAATATTAAAAAGAAGAATTTCAAAATGCTTTAGAAGCTTGGGATGTTTATAGAAGTAGAAATCCTGATATAATAACTGATTTATTTGCTGGTTAGATAGCAAGTAAATCACATTGTCTAAAATGTAAAGAAATTAGTGAGGGCTTTGATCCAATTTTAGATTTGAATCTTCCTCTATCAAAATATTATATACCCAGAGAATTTAAATTATAAGATTGTCTTTAGAACTATTTTAAAGAAGAGTAAATCAATGATGCTTGGAAATGTGATAAATGCTAATTTGTTAATAAATCTGTTCTTAGAAAGATATAAATCACTTAGACTCCAAAATATCTTATTCTACATCTTAAACGCTTTACTTAATTCCCTAAAAGCTAAAAGATTACTGATGAAGTAACTTATCCAGAAATTCTCGATATTAAATAGTATATTATTAAATTAATCTTTAGGTTTTGTGCTGAAAATGTTGAATACACAAAATATACTTTGAAGGGTGTTATCTCACATATGGGATAGTTAAATGGAGGACATTATGTAGCATATGCATAAAGGTAAAATACTTGGTATCATTTTGATGACAATATTGTAACTAAAGATAAAAATAATCAACATCTCTCAGACAAGGGTGCATATATAATTTTTTATGAATAACTATGAAAAGACTTGAGAATATTATACTTTTCCCTTCAAATCTTGTACTCAAAATAAAGATAAAAAATCTATATTATTTTAAGAATTTTTATTAATTTCTCATCTTTTAATATTTGGAATCTCCAACTTTCTGAAATAACATAGTTTCATCTTTAATTGGAATACCAAATGATCTTATTGATATATTTTCAATTTACTTATACTCTATTCTTATTATAATAGTATTTTAACTAATTATTTTATTATTATAAATATAATATTTTAAATCAAATTGGATAATCAATTTGTTACTCATTCAATTTTACTACCTACTCNCAGCTATTTCTGTAGAGAAACTTTAAAATATGTGTTTAAATAAATTTAAATACTCATAATAGTAAGATGCTCATGAATTCTTATTATATCTCTTATCTGAAATTTAACAAGAATTAGTAGGAAAGAATAAATATTAAAAAGAAGAATTTCAAAATGCTTTAGAAGCTTGGGATGTTTATAGAAGTAGAAATCCTGATATAATAACTGATTTATTTGCTGGTTAGATAGCAAGTAAATCACATTGTCTAAAATGTAAAGAAATTAGTGAGGGCTTTGATCCAATTTTAGATTTGAATCTTCCTCTATCAAAATATTATATACCCAGAGAATTTAAATTATAAGATTGTCTTTAGAACTATTTTAAAGAAGAGTAAATCAATGATGCTTGGAAATGTGATAAATGCTAATTTGTTAATAAATCTGTTCTTAGAAAGATATAAATCACTTAGACTCCAAAATATCTTATTCTACATCTTAAACGCTTTACTTAATTCCCTAAAAGCTAAAAGATTACTGATGAAGTAACTTATCCAGAAATTCTCGATATTAAATAGTATATTATTAAATTAATCTTTAGGTTTTGTGCTGAAAATGTTGAATACACAAAATATACTTTGAAGGGTGTTATCTCACATATGGGATAGTTAAATGGAGGACATTATGTAGCATATGCATAAAGGTAAAATACTTGGTATCATTTTGATGACAATATTGTAACTAAAGATAAAAATAATCAACATCTCTCAGACAAGGGTGCATATATAATTTTTTATGAATAACTATGAAAAGACTTGAGAATATTATACTTTTCCCTTCAAATCTTGTACTCAAAATAAAGATAAAAAATCTATATTATTTTAAGAATTTTTATTAATTTCTCATCTTTTAATATTTGGAATCTCCAACTTTCTGAAATAACATAGTTTCATCTTTAATTGGAATACCAAATGATCTTATTGATATATTTTCAATTTACTTATACTCTATTCTTATTATAATAGTATTTTAACTAATTATTTTATTATTATAAATATAATATTTTAAATCAAATTGGATAATCAATTTGTTACTCATTCAATTTTACTACCTACTCATATAATTTTAATACTTTTAATAATTATACATGAACTCATATATTTTAAATTAGAATATATTATAAATCATTTAGTTTAGTTTTATAGAAAATAATTAATTAGCATTCTAAAATAACCAATTTATTAACTATTTTATTATATCTTATAATTATTCTTCCATCTCTCTTTGCTATTTAAAAGTGTTTTTTATTAATTAAGATCTAGCAAGTTTTTAAAAAAATAAATCTTTAAATTGTTACTAGACTTTTATTGTCATATAAGTTTTCTCTATAATTATATTCATTTATTAAATAATTACAAAAATCATTTTATTTTTTATGATGATTTATTCAATCTTACTCCATAGGTTTTTGTATCATATGTCAAATTAGATTTTGAACTAAAAAATGTGATTTATTAAACTCTTTCTATATAAATAGTTATTTAGAATCCTCAAAATATATTTTAATTTAAAAGCATTATATAAATTATAGATTAATTCATCCTCTATTAAATTATTTATTTATCAACAAATAAACAATAGTGGTATTGTTGATAATTAACAAATTATTTCAATTACTAATTTCCCTATCCTCTATAGTTAACTAAGATTTAAATCTTTGGTGACCCTATTTCTGAATGATTTAGAAAGATTAACCAAAAATAATATTTTCACAAATTTATTGATCTATAATCTACCTTTGATTGCTATTTCTTATAATCTTAAATTGAATTACTGTTTCTTTTATCTTTTTCTTAAGAGTTATTGTTATGATCAAAGGATGATTATTAATTAAATAAAATATTAATTATACAAATTTACAAGTTTTTATAACAATATTCTACAAACTTATATTAGTTATGAAATTGAATCAAAAATACATACAAATCATGAATATTCTTTGAGTAAGATAATTTTATTTAACTTAATTAATATTATATAAATGATTTTTATTATTAAGATTTATTTGATTAAAAAATCAAATATTATTATTTAGGGACAAATGAGTTCGTTATTTTTAATGAAATCTAAATATATTCCTGTAAAAATAATTAATCGATATTTAAAAATATAAAAAATTAAAAGACTGGTAATCTAAGTGTTGTTAACAATATTTATATATTCAACAAAAATTCATAAATTCTTCATATTTGATAAGTTGGTTTCACATCAATTTGATATTTTTTCTTTGTCCAACAGACACTGAATTTGATTAATTAAATTTTGGTGTTGTAGTAGGCGATTCATTATTTGAAACAATAAATTTCTTATCTCTTTTTAAAATAAATTCTTCATCTTTTGTTATATCAATCGATCTACACAATAAAATAGGTTTATTATTATCTGGTGTATAAGGTGATTCAATATTCACTTTTTTATTTTGATGAATATTTGAAAAAGAAGAGTTGTGGAATCTAAATTTATTTTGCTGTTAAATCGGACTTTATTTTTAACTAACACAACCCATATGCAATAATAAATGATTTTTAATTATTTATATATGTATAAATGAGTCGAATTAGATTTATATTTCTAATTATTCATCAATTTAAGATTGTCTTTAATATACTATAGAAACATATATATATATATATATATTAATATATATTACTAAAATAAAATTAGTAATATCATTATTATTATTAGAATTCTGACATTAATTCAAAATTTCACTAATGTTTGTAATAAATCTTTATTCTCAAGATCAAAATATAAATTTGCATTTTTTATCATCTAAATTCTTACTCTGAATACTTTCTTACTTCTTATGAATAATTTTATAAATTATGTTATACTACTTAATTAGAAATTAAAGTAAGATATCTAAGTACATTACTGCTTCTTCTTTATTTAAACGTCGAGGTTCTAAATGAGTTAGATCAACATAATTGATTATATTTTTAGTTTAAAATGAATCAAATAAAAAGGATTATGATAATTTATATGAACATAAATCAACACAAAAGTAAAGCATTCAAGTATTTCTAGTCAAAAAGGACTCATGATTAGTTAAAGGACTTTTCTAGCTGGCTCTTCTTTAAAGTATAGGATTTTTATTGATTCTAAATTATTTAAGTTCAGCCTTAGAATCTTCATTTTTTGATTTGAATTGATTCTCATTTGGCTCTAAAACAGTCTTTGTTTATTATTTAGTAGCAGAACAACCCATAAGGAGTAAAATCTTTTTAAATTAATATAAATATATTTGAAATACTTAGTACTTATAAACAAAGCTTTATTAACTATGTAAAATTTAAGATTTCAATTAATAAATATTGATGATTCTTTAGATGAATTTTTTATATTTTATTATTTAATTTAATATTGATTTTTCAAATGGGATGTAATTCATCAAAATCAAATGGAGGACAACTTAATTAAAGTGAGAACACAAAAAGGAACTCAAAATAATCAGCTAAATTACAAGAAATTTAGTAAAATATTCTTAAGCATTTAAATCAATAATAATGCCAAACAAGAACTAGTGTTACTTCTTTAAAGAATTCTTTATCATCATATAGTATAGAATTATTATATTATTAGAAAATTCAAGGATTATCGATTCAAAATCTGAATTGATCTTGTCTACAATTATGCCTTAAACTGACTTTGGAACATAACTTCTTAAGAAGAAATTAGAATATTGAATTTGATGACTTTTAGAACATTTGATTTCTTATCTTTGTTTATATAATTGATATCAAATTTGTTTTAGTAATCAAGAATCATTAATCAAAAAGATAGATATAATTAAATTCATATTTTTGGACTGTTCATCAAAGACTATTTTTTTATTTATTTAGGTGAATTTTTAATATATCCAAAAGGGCTTATAGGGATGTTTTGTTTTTTATTAATGAATTTTTGAAGTTCATCTGCACTAACCATATGTTTAAGTCTTCTGCCTATTTGTGGTTATTAGACAATAAAATTATCTATTTCTTTAATATCACTCTTTTATCCATTAATCTAGCCTTGATTATTATGATTTATAATAGCATTTTATTATACTTTTAAAGGATATTGAATAAGTTTATTTGATTAACTCTTTGTTTTCTATACATTGCATCCCATATTATTATTTAAAAGTTAGCAATTATGATAATTAATTAAATCATATTTATTTTGTTTAGAAATTAATATATACATATATGTATTTGAGACAAAACGAAAATAATTCAAAATAAAGTTCAAAACATTTTTTGCGATTTACCGAATCTTTAAGTTTTTATAATTTATGTGATGCAATAAATTAAGAAAATAAATAAATATAATTAATAATTAATTAATTAAATAATCATTCTAATTATTTTTAACTTGTATAAGTTTTAATAGATTTCAATCTTTTTTATTTTAATAATTAAATCATATTTGATAGATGATAGTCATTAAAATACTTTGAAATATTGATTTCTCTAATATATCTAAATTTATTAGCTCTTAATAGATTATTCAATAAAATACTTGTAAATGGCAACTTCATAATTATTATGGGGCAAATAGTAATCAAATGAATACATAGAATCAAAATTATTTAATCCAAATGAGTTATTAGCATAGAGAGGTAACTTAATTTAATTAGATATTAATACATCTACATAGCTGAATGGTTAAAAACAAGAGGGCATAATAGAAATCTTTGTTCCAGTTTTAGTAGAGATTTTTCTAATTGAATGTCTTTATTATTATTAACTTCTACTATCATCAAAATTAGCAATATCAACTTAACGTGTTTATTAAATTAATTTTTAGGGAAAGGAGAATGTAGACTTTCTATTCTGTTTAGAGGATGGCATTCCTGATTTAATTTAACTATTAGATGGGATAGGGCTGTAAGTTAATGATCTAGAAGAATTTTAACGTTAACTTATTATATCTGGATATTTATATGTACTATTCCTTGAGCTTTATTATCTAATAGAGCCAGATCCTAGACGAGATAAACGAGGATGACTTTAATTTTACTTTTGAAGTTCATTCATTTAAGTTTCAAAATTGTAATTGAATGTTAATTTTGGATCATTATTTTTCCTTTCAAATTTATCTTGAGGTGAATCAACAACATTCTCTTCTTCTACAGATTTAGATTTTTATTCAGAGATACTGTCTGAATCTTCATTTTCCAGAATGATATTTAAAGATTTTTATGTTAAATCTTTATTAGAAGCAGCTAAGCTTTAAGATCCAAATCCAGCAGTTGCAAATGTTCTTTTTTGTTAATCAGTTCTTACTAATGATTCGAATTCATCATACTTTTTATCTGAATTATTATTTATGATTTGAAATTCATTATCTTAATCAAAATTAGAGCTTTTAATGATTTTTATGAATACAATAAATTATCTGTGTTATTAGGCATGGATTATTATTCATAACCAGATTATTACTTCATGAATGAAGTGGATTTGACAATTGATCTATCTCTACTTAATTTGGTTAGACTTCTAGCACTGACATTTGAATCACGTATAGCAAAATCATCATAAGGTAATTATGATTGACTAAGTTATGATATTTGTAATTGATCAGAGAATAATTTTAAAAATGCCACTTCATATTGTGAAGCACATTAATAAAAATTTAATGCTCTCATATCTTTAGAGTTTCTTCTTTTATCTATAAAAATATTTAAAATATAAATATAATAATTACATTCTTTCCTAAATTATTTATGTGGGAAAATAAACTTCTTTAAAATAAAACTTTGATTAGGTTTATATGTTAATAAAGGACATCTTGTTATGATATGATCATCTCTTAAACAACATGCACATTTAATTGGTAAACCTAAATTAAATAATATTTTATCTCTCTATTAATAAAACAATTACTAATTAATATTAATTAATTTTACTTTATCATTGAAGTTTAAACACTATAAGAATGTTGTTCTTTCTATTTTCAAAAGTCTAGTTACTCCTTCACTTTGAATAGTAAAATTTCTTGGTTTTTAAGTATAAAATCCTATTTCTCCAAATGAATCATTTTATTTCAAAATCTATAATTTGATATTAGTCCTAGATTTCAAACACACTAAACCTTCTAAAATAAAATATAATGAACAATCATCCAATACACCTTCTTATATTATAGTTTAATTAGGTTAAGTTACTATTTCATAACTATTATCAATAATAGATTTAATAGTATTTTTATTAAAGTATTTAAAATATTAGTTTATTAATTTGGATCTTTGACTTATTTTATATTCTTAAATTAAATTACTAGATAATTTTGAAATAAATTTATCATGTATGTATTTTGGTTAATATAATAAATGACTTATTATTTTTTATTTTAGAGTTGAATCTAGATTATTTTAAGTCATAAATTCACTTAATTATTAATCTAATCCATCTTCCTTAAAAATTGTTAGCATTTTGGATAAAAAATAGGAAATAGAAATGAAAGATAAGAATGAAATGATACAATATACAATAATGTTTTGTTGATCATTTACATCAATTAAAACTGAATTGAAAGTCAAAATACTGAGTACATAATATAAGGAATGCAAATACTATTCTAAAAAGGAATCCTCATTTTCAATTAGCATATTAAATACCCAAAAACATGTTATAGTGTGGATCAGTAAAATTGCTTTTATTATTAAAATACTTAAAAGCGAGAATTAATTAAAAATATTATATTCACTATCAATTATAATATAGATATTTACAATTAGACTTTCTTTTAAATCTATAAAAGTCTAGGGATTGTACTCAATAGATTAATAATTATGCTCCAATAGTTTTGTTAAAATAGGATGGAACCAAGAAAAATCTATTATTTTATATTAATGTATTACTATATCAAATATCAATTATTATTTACAATAATGATTTATGATCACTATAAGTTTAGTTTCAATCTCTCCATTTATTGCAAAAGTAGAAATAGAGTTCAATAGTATATCTATTACTTTAAGTGTAAGAAATAACATAAAGAAGGCTTTAATTTATAAAGGGATGATGATAATTTAAATAATCATTATCAATAGATATAAGATACTCCAATATTTAACTAATTTTGAGTTCGGTTATAATACATCTAAAACTTTTGACATTTTTTAATACATTATTGAGTATTATCTTATTAAGCCAAATCAAAAATATAAGAATATTTCTTTACTTTATCATTCAATTTTAATTTGCCTTTTAAAAGTTCTGCAAATTTTGTTTTAAGTTTCCTTTGGTTTTAAAAACCTTTAGTGGTCTCTAGACTTTTTTAGTTGAATGCCAATAATGAAAGGCTGCTTGAATCTTAGATGAAGGAATTTCTTTCATTGGATATCTGAGAAATGTAATTAAAAAGGAAACCTCATGATTGATATTAAATGGTGATAAACACTATTTAGATCGATCTAATGTCTTTACAGTTGGGTCTTTAACAGAATAATCATCCTCAGGTTATCCTGGATGGTCTATAGTAAATGGAGTATATTAAAATGGACCTATTTATGAAATACAAACTACCTCTCATTAAATCATAATTATTTTATACTGGTTCTGTTTTTGTAGAGTTAACTTATTAATTTATCATAAAGATAGAAGATAATTAATTAAATAATTAATTAATAATGTTAGTGGATTATAGTGATGATGAACAAGAGATCATGGATAACAAACCAAAGTCAATATTGGTGAATCCTGAAGTTGATTGTTCACATCTGGTGAAGAAGAAAGAGGAAGAGAAAGCTCTTGAATTATCAAAGACATATAATTTCTTGGGATAGAAAAAGAATCATTTAACAGGAAATGTTGAATCAGTATATTACAATGATGCAGTATTCGAGGAATAATTTCATAAATTTAATGTATATGGTTTTGCAGTGGATCCAAATGGTATAATTATAAATTTAAATTAGAAAGAAATAGAAGAGTGATAGCATGTAATTAAAAATAAGAGGAATTATCTACTTTAATGAAAGAAGGTTATGATGTAGATGCAGCAGATCCATTATTTAGTAAAAATGTACTTGCAGGTATGCATAAAGAAGATAAATTAAAATAATAAGAATTAAAATAAAATAGAGTGAAAGCAAATGATCCATCAAAAGGAGAATTTATGGGACCTTGGGCAGGATAATAAGATGAATAATTTGAAAATATATAAATGAATGAAGAATAATAAAAATTATTAGATTAATTAGAAGAATAAAGAAAATAAAAGATAGATGAATCAAAAAAATAAGAAGAAAATTTTGTACCTTATATGGAATAACATGTAAGTTAAACAGAATAATTTGGTGGAAGATAATTTATAGCACCTCCACCTGAATTAAAATATGTTGATCATACATGTTATATACCAAAAAGATGTATATAAACATTTCATGGTCATACTAAAGGTGTATAAGTATGTAAATTCTTTCCTAAATTTGGTCATTTAATGTTGAGTGGTAGTTTAGATCATAAAATTAAAATGTGGGATATTATTGGTAATAAATAATGTGTTAGAACATATTATGGTCATTAAGGAGCATTAAGAGATCTAAATTTCTCTAATGATGGTAGAACATTTTTATCTGCTGGTTATGATAAAAAAATACTTGTATGGGATACAGAATATGGTAAAGTTACTTAAACTATCAATTTATAACATTTCCCTTATTGTGTAAGATTAAATCCAGATCCAGCTAAACAACATTCTTTTCTTTTAGGATCATCAGATAAAAGAATTAAATAATTTGATATTAGAAGTGGATAATAAACATTAGTTTATGATGAACATTTACAAGCTATTAACACTATTACATATTTTAATTAAAATAGAAAATTTGTTTCTAGTTCTGATGATAAAAAATTATTCATTTGGGAATTTGGAATCCCTGTTGTTATAAAACACATTAGTGATCCTGAAATGCATGCAGTTACAGCTACTGCTGTTAATCCATCTGGACTTAATTGGGTTGGATAATAAAGTAACAATTTAGTAATTTATTAATAATAATAATTAAGATTATTGTTTATGATACTAAAGCTGGAAATTTCAGAATGAATAGAAAGAAGAATTTTAAAGGACATGTATCTGCAGGATATGCATGTGGAGTTACATTCTCAGCTGATGGTTAATTCTTAGCATCTGGTGATTCAGAAGGTAGAGTATTCTTTTGGGATTGGAAAACAGCCAAAAGTTATAGAACTATCTAAGTAATCATACATTATTTAATAATTAGGCACATGATAATGTTTGTATAGGTGTTGAATGGCATCCTATTGAACCTAGTAAAGTAGTTACTTGTGGATGGGATGGAGTACTTAAATTATGGGATTGATTATCAGTTTTAAATTAATGTAGATATATCTAAACACCAAAAATAAGAATTTGGATTTTATTCAATTTTTATTTTCATCATAGAATAAATTTATATATTCTACTAATAAATGTGCATTAAAACTCTATAAGGAATTCTTATATTAATTTAGCCATTTTATATAGGTGAAATTCTTTATAGAGATTGTTTATAAATATATGAAAAATTTTGAAATACTTAAATAATTATCTAAGCATCATTCATATTTTTATAAATCATAAATAAAAATTGAAATAATTCATTTTTATGATTGGGTATCTCTAATTATAATAAATAACATATTATAAATTGATTTATTATAAAATATAGTCTTATAATTAAAATTTATTGTTATTTGTCAATGAAACAACTTAAAATTTAGGCAAAAATGAGTTATCATGATCATTTAAAATAAAGATCTCATTTCAGATCATATACATTACAATCTGAATAAGACTCAATTTTAGAAAAGTTAAATACTTCAACTGTTAAAATATTTAATGATATGTAATAAGTAAAATCGAAGGTTGTAGAGATGGATTCTGATTTTCAGATAAGATAGAAATCTTATGAAATAGAAAAACAAAAAAAAATTTTACAAATGAAAGAGGAATAAATGAAGAATGAATAACTATAAAGTAAAGGTAAACCAAAAATTAACAAGACTCAATAAATCTAGGATATGATTAATAATTATATGGAAGCATCAAAAAATAGCAAATTTGGTGATTTATTACTAAATAAAGAAAAGAATGTATAATAAGAATTAACTTCAAATATGAAACATGATAATATGAGTAATTATGAAAATAATGATCCAGCAAGAATAGCTACATAGACATTAGAAAGTACTAAAATGTATAATGAATAAAGTATTACCAGAAAATCGAATTCCTACATTCCAATTCATGAAAGAGTTAAATTTATTATATAAACAAAAAATGACAAAATTTAAGAATAGATATAATAATAATAATAAGAAATAGAAGAATATTATTCAAGTATACCCTTTTAACCTTTAAGTACAAAATCCTAAAATATTAAATTTACACCATAATATACTGATGCATTTGTAAATAATTAATTGAAATGGAATCAATAAAGAGATAAATGGATTTATGAATAATAATTGAAAAAAGAAAATGATACACCAAAATATACTTATAGACCTTCAATAAGTCCATGGCCTGTCAAATAGTCAAGTGTTTAGAGGAAACATTCGAAATCAATTAATTAATCCTTCTTTCTATCAACTGCTAATAAAACAGAAGCTTCACCTAAAAAAAATGAAAAGACATCATTTGTTTTCCAAACTGATTTAAGGATAGCAAAAAGAAAGGAAAAAGAATAATAGAAATTTAAAAAGTGAATAAAAAAGTTGAAAAACTTTATTGTGTGATTTATTATTAATTTTATAAATACTTTTAATTTGTGATATATAATTATTGTTCATAAATTTAATATATAGCTTCAATTTAATTATTTTTAATAATATATACTGCATTTATTAATTCATAATAGATGTGGTTTAATAATTCTTATATGATGTTTAAACAATATAACAAATAATTTAAAGAATAAATTTTTATTCCTATGAATTAATTATTAACTTTAATACTTAGTTATTACATTTATCAATTTTAATATAAAGCTCATTAATAATTTAAGGTGTAATTCAAAATTCATTTCAATCATCACTCTTGTTTTACTCTTTCAAATCTTATATACATACTTATACTTAATTAATTATTCTATTTTCTATATTAGATCTGCTTTTTTATATATTGATCATGTTTGAAAGTATTACTTATTCAAATTGAACTGGGGACCATTTTTAATCTTCATTATAGGCATGATACTTTGTTTTTAAATGATTCAAAAGTTTATACAAAATATTTTTTAGTTTTAAAAAATTGTTAAAGAGAAGAATAAATAAAGAGCATAGAATGAGGTCACTAATTAATAATCTAATTATATATAAATATATAATAGTGGAATCATTACGGATTTACTATTATTAGTGCTTGAGAGTGAAAGTAAGAGCTGTTCAAATTTAATTTTTCTAAGAATCTTCTTTACATTATAGAGCTGTGACCTAATATAATATATATAACATTACCTATTCCTTACGCTAACATTACACCTCTCTTTAAATTAAATTTGCATGGTGCATGAGGTAATGCACTTGCTATGTAATTACTCTTGCTTATATAGTGTCTATATGGTAGGTCTAATTGTTATTTCTAACTTTATCTATTTAATTATTCTGCATGATCATGAACAAATGACAGTTTCTTATTTTTAGAATGTATATTATGACAAAGGATGAGTCCCATCGTATTATTGGCTAAAATTATCTTATTTAATTGAATCATTTTATAGAGGCATTTTATATGGTTATAAATATAAGTTTAATAAAAATATAGGAAAATAAATCTTATTTAAATTAATTGGATTTATAAATTAAACAAAGCAATTCTAATTAAATTGAAAGGAGACCCAAATCCGATCATTTTTGGAATATCTATCTTCTCTATAGTTTTTGATCAGTAGTAGAAGTCCTTCTAGAAATATTCATTAATTTAAAGAAGAAAAAAAAGAATTGCCATTCATGTCTAATTCTGAGACTCCTAAATAATAGATTAATGTGCTTATATTCTTATATATACAATATTGTGCATAAAATAATATTGTTGATCATCAATTAAATTGAATATATTACCAATAGCATTTCTCTATATTTTCTTTCAAGAATAAAAAATTAATAGAATATTCATATCTACCACACGAATGCAGTCTCATAGGTTCATTACTATAAATGAATAACTCAAAATGTTGTCTTTTAAATATTTGATAAAAAAAAGCCTTAGTTTTATTCTTGAATTAATATAAAAGTAATATCCAAAATATGGCTAATGACAAAAACGTGAACTTAACCATCAAGGTCCTTTAGAGCTGATATTGAGAATATTTTCATAGGGAACAGAACTCATTATGTTTAAATTATTTGTTAACAGTCAATAGGAAATACAAATTATTATTTTGTAGTCATATTTATACGTGATTCTCATAGGGATTATTTAAATTTTTATAAATTGCTTAATCTGAACTACACTCATTCTTCATTGTTGACTAATTTTATTGCTTAAAAAAATTAAATACAATAAGAAATTCTTAAGTAATTCTAATTATAATAATTATTATCTTTCTAAAATATATTTATATATAGTAACAGTATTTAAAATAAATAAATAAGAAGTAAACTTTAACATAATATTTGAATTTATGATTTTCTTTTTTTTAGACAATATGATTTTTATTATATGATTTAATATGATATTATATAATTTATTCATAAATAAAAAAAAATAAATGTTAAATCCAACTAATGCAAATAAGCTTTCAACATCTTCTTAGGCTCTTTCTAAGTCTGTTCATTTTTCTCTTGGTAATTCACAAGCTCCTGTGAGTTTTAGTGATGTGAAGGTAGTTTCTGGAATTTCAAAATCAGCAATTGATCATCCATAAGTGGGATAAGTTACAGGAATTGATTGTGGAATTCACATGAAATAATTAAAAGGATTTTGTATAGAATAGTAATGTATTCATTAAAGAAGAAAATTATGTGTTGGGTATTAAATAAAATCATGTATATATCAGATGTTTATGGGGACATACTTGTGTACATAAAGTATAAGTACCTGAATTTGTTAAATTATTGACAGACAAATTAGCTATTGCTGAATATGATTTTTTTGATAAAGTTTTAAAAGTTGTAAAGAAAGATCATTTATAAAATGAAATTGATGAAATGTTCTTGAAAATAAAAATGGATTTTGATAATCATCTTAATGATTTATATTCCTAATTTATGTATTGGACTAAACATGGGATGGGAGATGTAATAAAGAAAGGATTTTTGGCAGATTTCTTATTAGATGATAATGTAATTGAACAAATTATGGAGTTAGTATTAAAGGGGAGAGGTATATCATTTTAGAGAATATATTAGCAATGGAAGCTGAAGATGAAACTATTTAAACATGTGTAGAGTTAATTAATGCTGATCCATAAGAAATTAAATTGTTGCCATAATAATTATAAACTACTCTAGTTGAATGTGAAGAAGTTATTCGTTAAACTTTACATTAACTAGAATAAAACTTAATAACATTTAAATAATGTCCATTTGATTTTAAGAATGTGAAAGTATAAATTATTATATATAATATATAAGGAAGGTGTTTAAATACCAAGATTAAGAATTCCAGGTACTTAAGGAAATATTTAAGGTGGAGGTGGTTTTGGATTTGGTGGTGGATTTAATTAAATTCCATAAACTAATTTTATTGGAACAGCAAGTCAATTACCAAAAACTAGTGTACCACCTACAACTACTCATTTTCAAAATAGATTTGCTTCTGGTTTAGCATCATAATTAAATGCTAAATTATTTATTGATGCTAGAGATTTGCATTAGAGTTAAGTTTGGGCTCTTTGTAAGATTAGTTCATAAGTAATTGCTACAGGAGATTGGTAAGGTAACATTAAGATTATTGGATTGACATTGGAAGGATAATATTAATTCATGTAGTCTTTGAATCATGGAAAGAATGTTTATTCTTTATTATTATCAGATGCAACAACTCTTATTTCTGCTGGTTAGAATTAAAAAGATGAATGGACAATAAAGGTTTGGGATTTGGAGAGATCATAATTAATTAAGGAATTGAAAGGACATATAAATTACATATTTTCATTAACTTAACCTGTTCCAGGAACATTAGTATCATGTTCATATGATGAGACAGTTAGAGTTTGGAATTTATAGAATGGATAATGCATAAAAGTTTTCAAAGAATTTAAGACATCTTTTAATGATTTGTTATCTTGGAATCAAGAAGAAATTATATGTTGTTCAGATGATAAAGCTATTAGATTATTGAATATTTAGACTGGAGAAATGAAAATGTAATTGTTTGATTCTTGTTTTGTAAATGGAATAGCAAGAGTATCTTAAAATGAAATAGCTGTTGGTAATTTTAAAGGAGAAATCCTTATAATAAATGTGACTGACTAAAAAATAGTGAGAAGAATGGGATCACATAAGAGTTTTTTATGGAGAATTAAAGTATCTAATTATTGTATAATTTTAGGTGATAGATAAAGATTTGATTGCTTCTGCTTCTTTTGATAAAACAATTAAGATTTGGGAATGGTAAAGTGGACAATTAGTTGCCAGTTTAGAAGGACATACAGATATTGTTAGATCTATTGAACTTATAGAAGAAATTGGATTTTTAGTAAGTACTAGTGATGATAAATCTATAAAAGTTTGGAGATTAATTTGAATATATTAAAATTAAAATAAAGAATAATATATTTTATATTTAAATATATATTTATTTCTATAACTTATCAACTAAAGATATTTTCTAAAAATGTCTTCTTTTTCTCTTATGGTTATTATTACTTCTAAATTTACACTGGTTTAGATGGTGGAGACTAAGATTAAAATTATATATAAGTACAAATCTTCTTGGTTAACTGACAGGTCTGCCTTAATATGGTGTGTGATTATATACTGGGGCAACTCTTGATGGAACAAAACTTGGTTGAACATATGATTAAGCAACATATGGTTATTAAACTGGAGTAACATATTATGGAATAGGTGCAACATATTAAGGAACTTATTGCACAACAGATTAAACAACTGGTTGAACGACTGGTTAAGCAACAACTTATTATTAGTGAACCACTTATCTCTCAACTGGATAATATTCTACTCTATCTTAATATCTATCTACAGGAACATATTCTATTGTTGTTATTTCATAATATTACCTGTAACCTTATCATAAAATACTTATGGTATATACTCTGTTTAATATTCCACAGCTTAATATTCTGTTACATATTTCTCTCTTGGTACTTAGATTCTTTATCTAACTTCTTCATATTCAATCACAGATTTCTCGTATGGAATATATCTATGATAAATATTTGAATTTTGATTCTTACTCAATTCTGCTTTCACCCTTTATTACTTATTAAGCTGGTTGGACAGCAACTGGTTGCACTGCCACTGGTTAAACAATTGGTTGAACAGCAACTGGTTAAGGAACGTATTAGACAGGAGCTGCAACAACAGATTATTAAATAGGATAGTATGATGGACTAGCAAATTGCATTGGTGGAGCATATGTTCTAGGTGGAGAATATGCAACTGGCACTTGAGGAGCATTTTAAACTGGTTGAGGAGGTCTTTAAGAGGCAGGACGATTGCTCATATTTTTGAATATTAATATTAATTTTTCAAATGCAATCGTTAAGTATTTATAACTATGCTCTGTTAATACATATTATTTTATATTTATTCATATCATATTTCATTTTTATTTTTAACAATTAATCATCATTTTAAAATTCAATTTGATAATACTATTTAAATATTAACTATTTATTATTTACTTTTTTAATTGAATTACTTCTAACTAAGTCTGATTAAGATTTCTTAAATATGAATTACAATTCATTTAGTAAATGAATTTTTTTTAAATAGTGATTGAATAAGTTATATATAACAGATTTGAAATTGTAAATATATATAATATGGAGGAATGAAAAATAAAATTATAAATAAATATTAGTAACATATTCAATCATTTATTTAACAAATAATAATCATCTTAAAACAATATTTCCTATTTTTAGAATATATCACATAACAGTAACATGGAATTATAAGAATTAGAAATAATTTTTAATTTAATTTGAAGTAGATTTATTTGAATAATAATTGAATGAATTCAAGATAATAATATTTATTGGATTAGACTTTAAATGATTTTAATTGGATCTTGATAAAGTTATAAATAATTGGCAATATTTATTAAAGATAAATCAAAATTTGCTAAATAATTTATAAAATTATTCAAATCATCATTCCTATTAATAATTTAACATTTAAAAAATAGACAGCTAAAATAAACATCTTTTAATTACATTTAATTTTTTAATAAATGATTATATTATCCTTATATATAGATTATTTAAATCCTAATAGATTTAAATAGATACAACAATAAAATAATTTCGATTTATATATTATAAAGAAGGAATAGATTTAGAGTTGTCCTATTAGATGCATTAAGATTTGACAAAGGAACCTTATTTAATCAATTAAATTCAATCAAGGAATCTGTAAATGCAGAAGGAGAGTCTTTTACTAAGTATGTTTTTAGAAGAGTTTCTTAGTCTAATTATTAAAATAAGAGAAAATAATTTGTTGTACTTTATGAGAGAAAAGGATACAAGTTTTATTATCTAAAATTAAGATTTTTCTTAAACTTTATAGAAAAGGATGTTTATTCTATTATTTAGTATTTACACTTAGAATTAATCTTTGAAAGTGTGAAAGATTGTTAAAATAAATAATGTAAATCTGAATAATATTATTTTGATAAGATTTCACATTTTTAAGTGGACCTAAGTTTATTGAATAATACACTTCTGATTATAAAGATCAAGTTAATAAAGCTATATAAGATTAAATTGATAATAAAAAATAGCTATAATGATTATAAATAAAACTGAGTATTAATATATAATAAAATATAATAATAATATTTATTAAACTATTAATGTATTACATACTATATAATTTATCATTGATCTACAGTTCCAAAATATCTATCTCCAAAATCTCCTACTCCTGGGAAACGATGATCTTGAATAGTATTAAGTGCATAATCAACTCCAGCTGTAATGACTTTAACTTTAGGGAATTAATGTAAGACTTTTGAGAGTCCTTTTTCACATGAAACAATATTCACAGCAGCAATGTTTTCTTAATTGACTCCATTAGATTGAAGTGCTTTTATTGCTGTACTGATTCTTCCTCCAGTTGTAATCATTGCATCTGTTAGGATTACCTAATTTAGATTATTAATACTTATTTTTGATCTATATCTTCGGGAAATTTACAATAAATTAACTAGGGATCTTTAGTTTATGGATGTTCTTAAACTAATATAAATCCAACTGAAGCTCCTGGAAGCACCTTAAGAGCTTCACTTAAGAAGGCGTTTCCTGATCTTACCATCACAACAACACAAAATTATTTGTTTTCAAATTATATCTCCTAAGCTGGTGTTTAATTTTATGAACCTTCTGGAGGGGTCAACTTTTTACTGTGTTCAGATATGGCCTTTTCCATAAGTAATCTAATCAATCTGTCAGAATACAATCTGAAGTCCTAATAAGATTTGAGGTCATATATACTTTAGTTTAAGTAGTTTGATTACGAATCACACTCAATAAGTGTTCAACTTAGAATTTATCCAACACATAGAGACTAGGAAATCTAAGACGAAATTATTATAATTCTGAATGTGAAATAAAAGAGAAATATGGAGCAGCACATTAAAATCTTTTTTATTGTTAGGCAATTAGGGTGAATCCAATAAGACCTAGGAATCCAGTTTTGAATATCTTAAGAAGTCTTGAATTCATATTTTAATAATTTATATTAATAATAACAATTGTGATTCAATCAAATTAGTGAGAATTATTCCATGGCTCTATAGGAATGATGTAAGTAAAATTAGATATTAGGAAAGGGATAATAATCATAATCAAATATAATAATAAAAGAAATAAAATTCAAATTCGAATGAAAAAATCTTTAAAAAATTATTAAAGAATAATAATATAAAATTGAATAATTTGTTTTTATTTAATATACAATATTTAGATCAGAGTTTGTCCAAATATTCATTAAGGTCTGGCAATTATACTTTAATACCTTTTCTCTTTCTGATGGATAAGACTAATTCATTAACCTAAAATGATTAATTAAGAATAATACTTTGCTTCCTGCTTCAAGTGGGTTACCATTAACAACAGCCCAATGATCAAAGACACATTGAGGGAAGGCTTATCCTTAAGTCATACCTCTTAAATGGGCAGTGAAACCGAAAGATTCAGCAACTGGTAAATGAGCTCTAACCTATGAAAATAGAATAATATTTATACCACTGAAAGTGGGGTTCCTGCTACTTATTCTTCTTCAATGACTGTTCCTCTTCTTGTGTTGAGACAGTTATAAACACCACCTGTAGCATCATTTGGTGCAGTAATTTCAGCCAAGAAGACTGGTTCTTATAATCTTGGTTGAGCTGTCAATTCGCATGCATAATACAATCTTCTGGCAGTTGGAATGATTTAACCACCTCCTCTGTGAATAGCATCAGCATGTAATACACAATCCAAAATGTTGACTCTGACACCTCTTTGATTTTCTTCACAAAGTGGTCCTTCTTTTGTTGACCATTACCAAGCAGATTCCATTGATTCTCTCAATTCATTCATATATTAAACACCTGATGTCTTATCCATCAAAATGTTGGCACCAGTGTTATCTGGTCCAAAGGTCCAAATTCTGAGTGCATCATCCTTATCCCATTCATAATCTTCATTAAGAGATTTTGCTCTGAGTTTTGGTTCATCTTTTGGTGAAATTTATCCTTTTTCAATAGCATCTGGTAAATTTTAGTGTAATGGGGTAGCTTAAGCATAAATTCTGTTATGTTTATTTGGTGATTTAGACATACAAACAATGTTTGATGTAGCAGATACAGTTTCCTTATATGAGACGATTGGATCAGATTTGATGAGTTCAATACCTGCAAAGTCTTTTTCTAAATCATTCAAACAGATTTCAACGTGTAATTCACCACATCCGGCAACTACGTTTTATCCTGATTCTTCAGTTGTACATAAGACTAATGGATCAGATTTTGATAATTTCTTTAATCCATCGACTAATTTTGGTAAATCTCCTGGATTCTTTGGTTAAACAGCAACTCTGACGACTGGAGATACTGAATATTTCATTGATCTGATTAAATGGCAATCTGGGTGGTCTGAAATGGTACCAGTCTTCATCAAATATTAATCAACACCGACTAATCCGACTGTGTTACCACATGGAACATCTGGAATATATTCAACTCTACTGGCCATCATAAGAACAGTTCTTTAGATAGCTTTTTCAAATAAGTCTTCCTTCTTTCCTACTTTGTAATTTGCTCCCATGATTCTAACCTTTTATCCTGTAGCAATGGTACCAGAGAAAACTCTACCAAAAGCAAAGAATCTTCCTCTATCTGTTGTTGGCACCATCTTGGACACGTACATAATTAATGGTCCCTTTGGATTGCATTCTCTCATTGATTAAGCAATAGCATCATCTTAAGGTCCTTCATACAAATATGAGGTTCTATATTTTTAAGCCTTTCTTGGTGATGGTAAATGGCAGACAATCATTTCAAGTAATGTATCAGCAGCATTAATCCATTTGGACATAACAGCCTTAAGTAAATGTTTTCCTTCTAATTTAGCTTCTTCTTATGTGAGTTTCAATCCCAAAGTTTCGAACATTTTATTAGCCATATCCATATTTCCTTCCATAACAGCATTAGCCAATTTACAGATTGGGTCCATGATGAAAGCAACAAAGGCTCTCTTCATTTATTTTCCTGATCCACTGATACTGTCTTTTCTCCAGCATTTTCCTTCAGCATCAAAGTAATTGTCTCCCCATAATCTTTCTTATAATTTGAGTGGTTCAACTTTGAATTTGTTGGCATAGATTCTGGCAAATCTTGTGCATGAGAAAGCCCAGCATTCTTTTCCTGATCCAAAAGAGACAGATCCAAGTTCTGGATGAACAAGGAGATCTCCCATGTCTTCTTATTAATAGGTGTTGATGATAACATTGACCATATCAACGACTCTTACAAAGTTTTGATACATGGTTTCACCATCATGTTTTAATTCCAAGATAGCTCTGTCAATTTTGTTAACCATAACGACTGGCTTGATTTTCTCTTGCATAGCTTATCTTAAGACTGTTTCTGTTTAGACACAAACACCTTCAACACAATCAACAACGACTAATGCACCATCAGTAACTCTTAAGGCAGCTGTAACTTCAGAACTGAAATCGACGTGTCCTGGGGAATCGATCAAGTTGATCAAAAACTTTTCTAATGTCTTGTTGTCATAGATATCATATTCATAATAAAGAGAAACACCAGTAGACTTAATTGTAATACCTCTTTCCTTTTCATCATCTCTAGTATCAGTTGCTCTTGCATCACCAGCAACTTTGGATGCAATAATACCAGCTTTGCATAACAATGAGTCTGTTAGTGTGGATTTACCATGATCAACATGAGCAATGACAGACATGTTTCTGATGTTGTCTTATTTGTCCATGATTTCTCTGATTTGATCGATTGAAAAATTTACCATGTGTTTTTAACTTTTAAAAAAAAGATTTAAAATTCATCATAATTAAAACAAGCTTTTATATTATAAGCGCAAAAATAAAAGTTAATTAAACCTACCAATGACATCTAATTGTTATTATAATACGATGTAAATTAATAAAAAAATAATAAATTTATTATTACCCTATTCAACTCATATCTTATTATTTTTCATAAATTTTATGTAATACTTTGATTATAATGAGAATTCAATATAAAAATAGTTTTAGTCACAATTTATTCAAATATATTTGATTAACCATTTATGTTTGTTTTGTTATGTAAAATTAATAATCTCATGTTTATTTTGAGGATATTTATTCATATTTATAAATGAACAAATAATTAAAGTGATAAAATGAATACAATTGATGAACTAAGAAAAGCCAAGTTTCCACAAAAATTAGAATAATTTGTATTAAAAAAGAGAAGAGCAAAAACAAAGTTGAATGAATATCAAATTAGAAAACAAAGTATTAGATGTTAATATAAAGAATAATAAATATATATTCCTTAAGCCAATAAAGAGTAGATTTGTACATTATGTCAATCTATTTATGTGGATTATGTAACAACAATTTGTGAACACAGCTTCTGTTAAAAATGCTTACTTGAACATCTACTTAAATGTCGTGTATAATGATTTAAGTATCAATAGAAAAAATGTCCAACTTGTAAAAGAGAGTTCAAAGGTGATTTTGCTTTTCCTTGTCTTTCTATTGATCATTGGATAGGGATTGCTTAAAAGAATAATATAGATTATGAACTTAAATTAAAAGAAATAGATTTATGGAAAGAGAAAGGAAAAGTCAAAGAGTTTACAATAGGAATGAAATTGGATATTTTAGATACTGTTTTTATTTGGTGTGAAGGTGAAGTATAAGAGATTAGATATGGAAAAAATGATTAACCTAAATAGGTGTTAGTCCATTATCTTGGTTGGAATAAAGTTTATGATGAATTAATAGATGTAGATAGTTTCAGATTGGCTCCTTAAGGAACTAATACTAAATAAAAGAGTATATCATTATATTAAATTAGATGTTCTATAATACTAATAATCTAATGTAGAGACATTATAAAGAAGTTTAAATCTGAGAGAGAATGGTAATTAAGAAATTAGATCATTAAGAAATCAATTATTAATGAGATTAGCTGGTTAATTGTCTTCTTTGAGAAATGATATTTCAAATAATTAAAATTGATATAATTTTATATAATATGCAAAGCTATAAACTTCATGTAGTTTCTGAAAATTTGAAGGATAGACATCCCTATGTTGAACCGGATTTTAAGGATAGATATGATCCTTCTGAAGTAATACTCATATTAATAAATAGGTTTATCATGCAGTATTTGACCGTTCCATTCCTAAATTGATTGAAATATTGTTAATGGAAAATATTGAAGCTTTTAAATATAGAGATGCCTTGATTACATTAAATGAAATGGTTGATCATTAAGAGATGAAGGATTAAATGATATCATAAGGTAATCCTACTCTTTATAGATAGGTGTGGTTGGAATTGCTAGTGCTTATTTACATCATAAAGATATTTAAATAAGAAAATAAGCAGTTATTTTATTGGGATGTTTAGTAAGTATAATGAGAGGAAGAGAATAATTATGTGATTTGAGTTTTGATGGATTATCTAAATTATTATTTGATGATGCTAGAGAATAATGTGGATGGGCATTATGTAGAATAATAACTGGTAGAGATGGAGTAGATATATTATGTAAATCCAATCTCACTAAAAAGATGATCTAATCCTTTATGTAATCTAAAGAATATCCTAAATTTACTGTATATTTATTGGAAGCATTTGCAAAAATAGTAGAATTTGATAATGGTATTTACTTCTTTTTAAATTGTGGAACCATTAAGAGATTGATTGAAATTCTATCTTAAGAAAACTACTATGATTAAAAATATACTTAAAGAATAACTTATTTATCTTTAGAAGTATTATCTAAAATATGTGCTAATCATGAAGGTAAAGAAGAAGCTATTAATGAAAATGCTATTAATATTGCTAATAGATATTTGGATAGTCCTTTATAAGAAGAAGCATATTTTGCAACCATTTTAATAATGAATTGTACTATTAATCTTGAAGGCAAGAAATAATGTGTACATGTTGAAAATGATGAAATAATTTAAGTATATCAATTTAATTAGAAATTAGAAATTAATCTCTTTATTAAATAAAGATTTTTGTAAAGATGTTAAACAAGCATTAATTAATATTGCAGATTATCCTGAAGGATTTATTATTATAACAAAATTATTATCAAATAACTATGAAACTTTAGATGATTTACTTGGTCCTAGAGTTGTTATTGCTTTGGCTAAATTAATACCAAGAGGTTTAGAAAATTATGATAATTATAAATAATATGGAAGGACACTTTGTAAATTCTTGAGAGATTATAATGATGCCATATTTATAGCCTTGGAAGTATGAGTTAATAAGAGTTTAAAATAGGAAACCGTTAAAATAGTAGAAATTTTGATGGAGTTCTTTTATTATACAGATTTAGTAAGAGATGTGACAGATTCTTTATTAAAATTAATTGAAGTAGATATAGAATCAAGAGAATATGCACTTAATTATTTGGAAACTCATAATGCAAACAGTAAAGAAATTTAAAATATATCAAAAAAAATACTTGAATTATTCCCACATTGAATATTATGTATTATTTTTAATATATTGATATATGTAAATATATCATTCTTGTTATTATTTTTGTTAATCCTTTTTAACTAAAAAAGTCATATGTTTCTGCCATCTAATTAAATTTTATAAGGCTGGATCAATCTCTTTGATTTTTGCAAATTCTTCATAATCTCTAGGCCCAACAATAAAACCATCTCCATCAAGAAATACCTTATCTTATAATTCATCATTCAATTTAAGATGAGTATCATCATGTTCATGAATTTCCATCTCAACTTTAGATTTAGGAGGTTTCAAAGATTCAAAAAATTTACACAATTATGGAATTGTTAATTTACCCTAATTTTATATATTTAATAATATACAATTCTAGTATTTTTTTCACAATCTCTAATATCAATAACACCAATACGTACTTCCTCTTCTCCAATAACTCCAACAAAATTATAATATTAAATTTAAGCATTTCTTACTTTCTTAGCTAAAGTTTAATCTGATTCATCAGTATTTACAGTATAACCTTCTAATCTTAATCTAGCTGATATCTTTTCAGCAACATCTCTATAATAGGCAGACACTGGACATAAAATCAATTATTTAGGAGATAACCAAAATGGCCATTTACCACCACATTATTCTGTTAAGACAGCTATCATTCTTTCTAATGAACCCAAAATAGCTCTATGAACAATAACAGGTCTTGCAAAACCTGGTTTTAAATGATGATATCCTAATTCATATTTTTTTTCTATTAAATAATCATATTATAATTATTACCATGTAATACTTTATGTAATTCATGATTTGATAATCCTTAACTAGAACCAGATTCTAAAAGTTCTTCAGGTAATTTCTATTTCTTATGTAATAAACTTGAAGCTGAATGTGAATGTTGTTGTAATTACAATTATTAATATTATTATTACTATTATTCTAAAACTTTATCAGATTAAAATGAATGACTAGATTAAACTTTCAATTCTCCTGGTTAATCACTTTATTATTAAGTATGACGAGGAGGAGTACTTAATAAATCACCATCTCCAGGATCTGATTAATGAGATTCTTTACGATTTATATCAATTATTTCTTAGGCTACCTATATTTATTCATTATGAACAGTCTCTTTATCCTATTAAACTTCATGAACATCTTCACTTGCTCTATATTATAAATTAAATCTTTCAGGTAAATTGAAATCTAATTATATTGTTCCACATTAATGTTCTCTTTTATAAGCATCATATAATTTAACATCAATTTTTGGTCCATAAAATGCTCCATCTCCTGGATTTATTTCAAAATACTTTCCAAATTTCTTCAATCCCTACTCTAATTAATATTCAGCATTGTCCCATACATCTTTTGTTCCCAAGAATTTTTCTGGACGTGTACTTAAATATAATTTGAATTCAAATCCAAATAATGAATAAATATAACTTAAAAAGTCTAAACAATTTTTTATTTCATCTTAAATTTAATCCATTCTACAAAATATATGAGCATCATCCTATTAAAATCTACGTACTCTAGTTAAACCAGTTAATGCTCCATGCACTTCATTTCTATGTAGAACTCCAAAATCTGCAAATCTAATAGGTAAATCTCTATAGCTATGTTAAACCATATCAAACATTAAACAATGTCCAGGACAATTCATTGGTTTTAAACCATATTCTCCTTCCTCTCCCATATTTATAAAGAATAGATTCTCTTTATATTTATCATAATGTCCACTTATTTTCCATAATTAAGCGTTAAATATATTTGGAGATATGACTTCCTAATATCCTCTAATATAATATTATCTTCTCAAAAAATTCATTAATGTATTATAAATATGTGCACCACTTGGATAGAAAAATGCAGATCCTGGAGATAATTAATGAAATAAATATAAATTTTATTTCTTTCCAACATTTCTATGATCTCTTTATGCTAATTCTTTTTATATTTTCACATATTCATCCAATAATTTTTTATTTGGAAATGAAATACCATAAACTCTTTATAAATCGTCATTAGTATTTTTACCCAACCAATATGCAGCTGAATTTTTAGTTATTTAAAATGCTTTCACATAACTTGTATTAGGTAAATGAGGACCAGTACATAAATCTATTAAATTTCCACATCTATAGGCAGTAGTTAAAGATCCGTCAGGTATTTTATTTGTTATCAATTATCTTTTAAAAGGATTACTTCCAAAGATTTCAAGACTATTATATAAATAATTAAATAATACCATTCTTCTTTTGTTAAAATGACTCTCTAGAATTCCTATTTAGCAGAAACTAAATCTTATGCAGCTTTTTCAATTTTCACATAATCATTTTATGTAACCTTAATATCACCTAGATAACAATCATAAAAGAATCCTCCTTCAATTGCTGGACCAATACATAAATGACATCCATAAATTTCTTCAAGAGCAGATCCTAGAATATGAGCAGAGGAATGCCAAAATACTTCTTGTCCATTTTTATCATCAAATGATAGTAATTCTAAACTACAATCTCCTTCCAATGGTCTAGTCAAATCCCATATTAAGTAATCAGGTTTTAAACTAAGAGTTGATGATGCTTGACTAGATGTCTCTTCATGATCAACATCCACAAAACCTATCTTATTTTATAATCAATACTTTTTTCAAATATAGTTTCATAGACTACTTTTGCAGCAACCATATTTTCAGCCATTTTCTTACTTATCCCTTATGCAATCTACAATGGAGTTGTTACCCATTTCTTACCTAAAATTAAATTAGATATCAAACCTTCTATTTGTTTACCATCCTTAAGTGTAATTTTAATTGGAGTCTATTGCATCATCTTCATTTCAGCCTGTTGACGTTGATAAATTTCTTAAAATAGTTTTAATCTCTTCTCTTAGAATATAGGTTTGCCTATCTTAAAAGGTCCTCCTATTTTATTGCCAAACTGCTATATTGTTCCTTCTGTAGCCTCTTTCAGTCTTGATCCTTGCTACATAATAATTGAATTAATTTTTAAATTTCGCTCAAATCATACAATTCCTATTAAGTGTGTAAAATATATATATTATTTACATATCTTTATAGTAGTTAAATTTTAATAATAATTAGAGAGAATGATTAGATAGGAGTGAAATTGTATCATTAAATATTTATATTTTATTTTGTGCATGTAGTAAAATTAATAATCAGTATCATCTGATTAATTATAAAATGGATTTTAGACTATTATTTTGAATTGCATCTCTAATTTAATTAAATAACAAAACCTAAATTATGAATTTGAATTGATGAATTGATGAACTAATGAATATATCAACTTATAAGTTCGTTATATATATATATATATAAATAGATTTTATATAACAATTTATAATTAAAATCATTGAATGAGTTTTTACATATATTTTTATTACAAGGTTGTATTATTAAAATTTCGGTTCTGTTTAAATTAAAATGAGCCAAGGAAGAAATAACAATCAACCATTTAATTTAGGAAGTAATGCTTCTGAATTTGATCAATAATTTCTCTTTTAAAGGTATAACATTACTTCTACAGACTACTATAAACATTTTATTGTATTTAATGATATCCATATATAATATTTTGATATACCTATAATTATATTAGCAATCAACAATTATTACAGATGTTTACTCCTGAAATGCAACAATACCTATTGAGATAACTATTAAATCCAAACCTATTATAATGCATTAATTAAAACTAATAATTAAAGGATTGCTTTCAAACCTCCAATTTACTAAGTAAAGATAATTATGCATTTCATACTTACAATATATCATATATATATATGTTTGTTTGATTAATTTATTAGATTTTTCTGCTTTAATGAATGGGATTGAAATGTTATCATTTCTACCAAATCCAATTTAAACATAACCATAACTAAATTTGTTAAGCAATAGATAATAGGAGAATTCAAGTCGAAAGATAAAATATAATGCAATTAATCCTATAACAGTAGATGATGATGAACCAGCATAAACTATTAAAAAATGTTATAATTCATAATGTAAGAATGTTGGAGATAAGAAAATTAAATCTAAAAGGAATGATATATTATTCTTTTGTGATAAATGTTGTAAATTATATAATAAAGGAAATTATTGTGATTTTTGTGAATAAGTATTACTATCCTAATTTTATTTATTTAAGGTTTATGGCTCTTATGATGATGAAGCTGGTTGGGTTTAATGTGATTAATGTTAAAAATGGGTATAATATATTAATAATAATTAAAAATAGAATCATATTACTTGTGAATAAAAATATAGAAATTAAAATATTGAAAATGAATCAGAAACTACTCCTTATCATTGTTTAGATTGTTCCAAAAATATAAAGAAAACAAAACCATTGAAAATATCTGATGAATTTATACCTCCAAAATATCATCCTATACATGAATAAGAGGATTGTAAAAATAAAGAAAAAAATATTACATTTGTAGCTACAAAAGACAATAAAATATAATATAGTAAAATATATATATATATTAAATAATTAGCATATAGATTAAACTTATTTGATGATGAAATTAAATTAGATTTAGATCTACTTCGAAATTCGATTAAAAAGACTAAAAAAATATAATTAACATCTCCTCCTCATGTATTACAATAACATGTAATATCGTCTTAATAATAAAGTTAGTTATTGTAACAGTAATAAGAAGTAAGTATTCAATTCTAATGAAAAAACTTAGGAATAATCATAATTGAGTAGTAGAAGTTTGAGAAGAAGAATTAATTAGAGATTAAATTATAGAGATTTAGTTGGGGAACATTGAAATTATATATAATTATTTTCAACATCTAAATTTATTATTATTGTTTATATTTAAACATATAAATTATAAAATATCATGATAATTATTCAATCTTTTTTACTTTCTCTTAATATCGTTTTAAAAAATGACAGGATTTATTAATTTATTCTAAAACTTAAATATATTCTTCTTTTTATTATTATTTATTCAACATTTCACTTAAAATTATTAAATTGGATAAACAAATTTCAATTTCTTGTCGGTCTGAAAATTATTCATTATCAATTATCATAGTTTTCACTTTTTATCCTAATTCAAAAGCTTCTTCAAATTTATTTTGACTAAAATGCTAATTTGAGAATAACATACTGGATTAGACAAGTGATCATTAAATTCATTAATTTAGCTGAATCTCCAAATCTATCTTTTGTTTCTTAAATTGATTTTAATGCTTATTCTGGTTATCCATTATATAACTATAAATATATATATATATATACATTAAGATATATTTAAGCAAGATATGTCAAGATATCTTCATCATCAAATCTTCTCAAATCTAATAAAGTGGATTCTGCTAAATCAAATCTTCTACCTCTTAAATATAAAATAAATTAGAGATATAATAATTCTTATTAAAATGCATCTTTTTGTAATTCTAATTAAAGTGCATATTATGCTTCACAAGAATTCACAGACATATATGCACATATAATTTAAATAATTTTCTAATTTTATTGAGGAATGATATCTTTAAGTTTTTTCAATACATCTTCTATTTATTTTCTATCTTCATCTATTGTAGTATCTAATTTCTATTATTCTATTAATGGACCCATAAATCTGCTAACAATATCAGTTATCTCTAACAATTTAGAAGATGGTTTCTTAGTTAATCTTATAGTTTTTGGATTCAATTCTCTTGCTGCAATTAATGCTCTTGAAACTAAAAAGTAATAGTAATCATCATCATAATCATTTACTTACCATATTTCTAGAACTTTATTGAAATTCCCTAAAAAGAAAGCTATTTTGGCTTAAAGAAGTATTGATTATTCCATCTAATACACGTAAATACTAATTAAATAATTATTAATTTTTCAATTGAAATATAATCTCAATTCAAAATTAAGAATATGATTATAATACATATCATATATGTAATTTTATAAGGTCAAAATTAACTTAGAATATACTCTAATTCATATTTTGGAAACTCATTAAATTTCCATCTATTTGTTTCATGTCCTTGATCAATTCTTATGATTTATCCATTTAATGCATTATATTCAATGTTTTAAAAAATAAATGATATTTTATCCACTTAAAATTATAACATACTTAATTTCTAAAGATGAGTATTAAATTCATTCTCTTTGAAATTATTCTTTACAATATTCAAAAAGTTTTTTTCTGCTCTGTCCAAATAATATTTAAGAATAGATTTTATTGGATTTTCTCTTTCATCTCTAGGTTCTTTAATACAAATATACTCATAAATGTGAAAATACCTATCAATATGTAAATTAAAAAATTTCCTATAATCAAAGTTTGATGAATCACTTCTTTGTTTTTAAGATAATTATAAATGTAAAAGAGCAATTTTATTTATTAATGGATTAAATATTTGTTTCAAAAAATAATCCCAATTTGTTTTTTTCATCAAATAAAATAACATCTCCTTTTTTGGATATAATAAAATATAACCAGTGCCTATAATTAGAAATTTCATAAAGAATTCATCAATTTCTTAACATGTTGAAAAAGTCCATTTTGTAATAACATCATGAATTTCTTATTTGAAAAATGCAAAATCAGTCACTTAATGATATCCATTTAATATAGCAAAGGCATCAGCCTATTCTATTTCAATAACTAATTTATCATTTAGAAAATATGTTTTCATTTAAATCAATAAAGGTATAATACCCAAAGAACTTAAAAATTTATCACTTCTTATTCCAAAAACAAAAGTAGCAAATTGCTAATTTGGATATACCATAAAATAATATTAATAAAGTGAATTCAACATATTATTATCAAATATTTTATAGTTTAATAATTATATAGGAATAAAAGTTCTTTAGATTAAATCAGTGAATTTATCTATTGCTGTAAATTAAGTGAGAAAATGTAAATTTATTGGAGGTTATTTAAAGATTTCTAGATTCATTACATTGCCCTCTAATAATTCTAAATTTATAAGCATAAATCTAGCAAAACGTTCATCTACAGACATCAATGAGTTTCCAATGATATAAGAAATGTAAAATTTTGCTATCATCATCCTTCCAAAAATTATTTCAATTACTATATCAGTAGGAGCATATTCTATTTCTCTAATACAATTTTCATTTAGCTAACTTATTTTAGAAAACATTATTTTCATAAAACTTTATTATTGATTAATCTTCTTAGATAAACTTTCAATCAATACTTCCAAATCATATTCTTATAAATCTGACTTTTGAAAACTGAGCATATTGTTATATAATATATACCTTAATTTTAAATGTTTTCTTGAATAATTAACAATATATTTCATTTTAGTTTTTTTATCTGTAACACAATATCCATTTTTACGTAATACTAGTCTATTTTATGATATTCCTTTTTCCATTAGATCTAGCAATTCATCATTTGTTTTTTCATATATCAAATGAAATTAGTTTCCTTCAATCTATATTCTAGGGTTTAAATTCATCAAATTAATTAGTTAATTAATTAATAAAATCCCATAAAATATTAGAAATAAATTATAATTAATTATTATAAACTCATTACATAAATTTGCATGAGCATCCAAAACCTTTCATGTTCAATAAGTTATCATGTAAAGTTTGCAGGTACTCTAAATCAAATTTAATTATTCTTATTGATAATATTTATTCAATTATTATATTATCATAAATAATTAAAAATAATATAATATATATAAATTAAGTAATCTTTTCATTGTTTTAGTATTTAATCTAAGTATTTTTTAAGTATAATCCTATATGTATACTCATATTAAGATGACTCATATTAACTACAAGTATATTATAATCTATCTGGATCTTATAGAATTTCTTTAGCCAATTTTAATAATATAATATTATGTTAGAGAATTCTTTACTTTTCCAATCTATAAACTAAAGCGAAATACTCATCATAATCTAATTATTCATTCTTTAACAAAAAATCACTACTAACAAGATCTTCTTTGAATTCACTTTTAAATTCTTGCAATAATTCAATAGATTTTGTTAATCCTAAAAATATCATAATTAATAACCTTTTAATTCAGTCTAAATATTAATGATATTCAACACGCTCTCAGGATCATAATAATCTTGGTTCTCACTTCTACAACCTATTTTAAATAATACTCTTTAATAGCCTTAGAAAATTTAAGTAAAGCAAAAGGAAACTCAGTATATTTTAGTTTAATTGATAAATACTATTTCTAAAATATTCTATTCACTCTTCTTTTAAGTAACTTTCCAGTATTAATTCTTAAATAAACATGATCATATTTATTTTTTTCTATTGCAATTCCATATCTTAATAATAATTCTCTATTTGAAAGTCTTCCATAATTAAAATAGACTTAAGCTCCTTTCATAAAATTTTCAGTCTTTTGTGAACTAATACAAAAATAATCAAAATCTTCATCTTCTTTCCAATTCATTATTTTCTTAGTTTAATTCTTATTATTATTACTTTTTTATTCATTTTACTTTATTAAATTAAATAACAAATAATCTTTTAAGATTTCATATGTTTATTCTTCTAATTAATTTTTGCTAGCCCATTCTATTATTTAATCTGCAATAAAATTATCAAGATCTGATTCATTTTAATCTAAATCTAAAGAATTATCTGAATCAGATGAAGATTAAACACTTTAGAGTTCTTCTTCAGCATAGAAACCTTCATTTTAATATACTTTCTTTTTTCCTTACTTCTTCTCTTTCTAACTCTAAGTTTAATTGTTATACTCTTTTTAATCATTTTCTGATAATAGAACAATATGAACATCTACACATTCATGATTAAAGAATTCACAAAAAGGAACCATACTTTTATATTTTAAATTATGTCCAAAATCTCTAGTATATAAATTAGTATATGCCCATTAGAATTCATTTTCTGTAACATCCATTATTGTTTTAAATATCATATATGTCTATTCATATTCTTCTCTCTTTTTTTGTACTTTATTGATTAAATTTTCATCTTACAACAATTTCAATTTATTATCTGACCAAAATATTAACATATTAACATCTATAGGTAGTTATTTAATAAATCTATAATATTTTGATTTAAACCCTTTTCTTTTATTCATAATGAGAAAAGCAATTATTGTATGTTCTTCTCCCTCTTCATGATCTATAAAAAAGTCTCTATGTTTATAATAAAAGGCTTTTTGACTTGATTCAAATGCAGTTCGACTACTTATTATCAATTGGCGGGGAACTTAAACCAAAAGACAATTAATTGGTATATCATCTGTAGCTGTTCACTATTTAAAACATCTTTTGGATTACCTTTAAAACCTCTATAAGGTAATCCATTTTTGAGATAAAAAGTTGCTAATTAAACATCCTATAGTTTCACTCCTTATTTAATATAATCAATTTGATATTTTGTTTAATGATCTTGAGATTAAGAAATGCAGTTATTATCTTTCAAGTAAATGCCTTTTTCCTTACATTAATTATATCTAATACTCTTTAATACATTTTGCCAATCGAAAACCTTTTTGGATAATTCATAAGTTAAATTTATATTAACACTAAAATAAACATCTCATTTTGGTAAATAAAGAGCATATCTCATCTGTTCAAAATATTTCTTTAAGATTATACGATTGGTTTCACAATATTCATAATCAAATTATGTTTTTTCAGTGGCTTATTCAAATGGTACTCCATCTAACATTCTATCTATAACAACAATACAAATTTTAATTAGACTATATTTAATATACTAAAATTACTTAATATTATGATGATAAATTCTTTATCTTTCCAATCTATAAATTACTGCAAAATATTCATGATATCCTAATGTATTATCATACAATAGTTTTTCATTATCTTCTAATTTATCTTAAAATTTCTAGATTTCTTCAATCAAAATCTCTAATGCTAATTATAATGCTCTTCTTTCTAATTTTAGATCTTAGATCTTGAAAAAAGTATCTAAAGAATGTACATTAAAAGTCCTATATAATATATATAGAATATAGATACCAATATATTGATTTACAAAATACAATTAAATCTATAGGAAAAGTAGAATGTTTTAATTTAAATCTTTTGTATTTACTTAATTGATATTTATGGACTAACCAAATTGCTTCATTACTTTATATATATTTCAAATATTCTATTCTTAAATGTGCATGATCATATTTATTATATTCTAATGACATTCCATATCTCATAAGCATCATTCTATTAGATAATCTGCCATAACAAAAATAAACCTATGCTCCTTTCTCAAATTAATCTTTACTAGCAGCTTTCATTACAAATCTATCAAATTTATCTTTTTCCCATACTGGTTTATAATACTCACATTCAGGATCTAAAGGTTAAGATAAAATTTATTCAGCATTATCCAAAGTTGAATTTTAACTTTTCGATCTTTTTTATTAAAAATAATTATTTTGATAAATTGGTTTTTTCATAATATCTTTTTGAAAAGCATACAAATTATTTTTATAGGTATTAGAGGTTAATTAAATTCTTTTAACTTCTTCTCTAGCCATAAAATATGCTTTTCCTCCATTAATATATTCTTAGATTGATTTATCTAATTTAGAAAACATCTATCCAATAAAAAAGATTGAATAATTATCTCCATAATCTATATTTTAAAATATAAATGTCTTGCAATCTCTAGATAATAGAAATACTTCTCTCTGAAGATTTAATTTAATATTAAAATCTTTCTTCATTTTTATTTATTATTCTTGTAAATCTTTCATTTTTTTATTCTATAATTCTTCATCTTATTAATTATCTAAAACTTAATTAATTTATTCTTATTCTTCATTTTATTATTATTTAATATCCAAAATTTTGCTAAATTCTTCATAAAACTTCTTAGTAGATTATTCACTAAATTCATCAAAATCAAACTCTTTATATTATTCATATGTTTCTATCACATATTCAGAATCACTAATCTCATCTTCAGAATGATATGAACCCTCTGAAGATGTAACTGATAATTCTTCATCTTCTTTCAATTCTTTCACTTAAGCTTATTCACTCTCTTCACTTTTATGAGGATTATCAGCATTGTATTCAAAATCATAGAATACATCTGTACATTCATGATTAAATAATTCACAAAATGGAACCATAGTTACATATGCTAAATACTTACCAAAACATCTTGTAACTAAATGAGTATAGACCCATCTAGCATTCTCTAAGGTTACAGTTTCTGGTTTAAAGAGTTGAGGATATTTATCAGTTATACATTTGAGAGTTTCAAATTCAATTAAAAATTCTTAATATTATTTTCTAGCCAATTTAACTAATGGTTCATCATCTAATAAATCTTATTCTTCATGACTCCAAAAAACTAGATAATCAATATCTCTAGGTAAATTAGAGATTAGTAGATGCCATTCAGATTCAGGTCCTCTCTAATATTCATATAGAATAAATGCCATTAATTAATGATCTTCCCAAGAAGGGTAGAATTAATTACTAAAGTATTATGGATGGTCTAAAAACATTTGTTTTAAAGGTGATTCAAATGCATGTCTTGTTGTTAATAATAAATCTTTTGGCACTGAAACTAGTGTTTCATTTGATAAAATTTTCTCAGATGCTAAATTATGAAATCATTTAAATACCAATGAGACCTGGATATTTTAAACCATTTTTAGTTTAAAATATTGCATACTTAACTTTATTTATATAAACACCTTAAGCAGTTAAAGTTTCTATATAATCTTATAGTTATTTAGGAGTTTCTGGAATAACAGCATTAGGATCTGCTTTACGTAATCCTTTCAATTTACGAAATCGTTTCCCAATACTATGTCTTTTCATTAATAATATTTTAATTTAATATAATATAATATGAAATAAACTAAAATAAAATAAAATAGAGATCATCTAAAATAACTCTTATAATTTAAGACTCTAATATATAAGTATAATAATTTTAATAAAGTAATTAAAAGGATTTAAATATGATGATATTTAAGTATTTTATTGATTATAAATACTAATTCAGTATTAAAATCAATATATGTATTTCGAAGTCAAGTTCTGATTGAATAGGATATAAGAGATATATAAAGATAAGAAATAAATTAAAATTTATAATTTAGTATTTGATATTAAAACTCATTCATTTATGGAAATATTCAATAAATAGATATATTATGATTGTAAAATTTAGTTTTTACAATGTCTTAAAATTAATAATTATGGTTGAAATAAAGACTACTGAATTATTACGAGGTTTTTATAAATAATTAGATATGATTGATATTTTATATATTGTAATTTTATCATAAGATAAGATGATTAAATTATATTGCATTAATTGATTTATAACTTAGTACTATGAAATTTAGATAAAAAGCATAATGTACCTAATCTCTTCCTAAGATTCCTGTATAAAAGTAATGTCGTTACTTAACTCAAAAAGAAGATGAAGAGGATTTAGATTTCAGTTTTGAAATAAGTCCTGTCAATTTGGTAACAACAAAATAGGATTTTTATAAATTACACAAAACAACAGAGAGATAGTAAGAGTAAAACAAAATGTATAATCGAAATGATAATTTGATGACTACTTTATCTTCTTCTTAATTACCACCAGGAAGTTTTGGATTATTTAATAGGCAGAAGAATGATGCTTTACATTTAAAGTATAATTGAATTATCAATAGCCATATGAAGTATGGAGATAAGTATATGATAATGTTAGCAAGAGGATTACAGAAATAAAATGATATAAAGGAATTCAATTTAAATGATAATAGGATGACTTAGTTGAGTTCATCAGAAGTAATTAAGAGTACTAGAGGAGCTACATCATTAAGTTTATCAAAGAATAAGATTGGGAATGGATGTTTAGAGATTGGTAATTCATTAGTGAATAGAGATTGTAAAATATAATTATTGAATTTGGAAGATAACAAATTATAAGAGAGTCTTATAATAGATATATTAGATAGAATTGCATATAATCGATCATTAAAAATAGTAAATTTGAGTAAGAATAATATATCAAATAATTGTGTGAATGCTCTCTCAAATATGTTAATAACTAATGAAGATATTGCTGAATTGTATCTTCATTTTAATAAATTAAATGGTATTGCAGCTGTTTAAATATTCAACAATATGCATAAATCAAATCTAAAAGTCTTAGATTTATCATAAAATTCTTTAGGAATAGGATATGATTGGTCTTAAAGTTTTAATAAGATGGTTTAATTGAATAAGGAATTAATTCATTTTGATCTATCCTTTAATAAAATAGATTATCAAATTACATGTTAAATAGCTGAAGGATTAAAGAAGAATAAAAGTATATTAGGATTTCATTATACAGGAAATTGTGGATATGTTGATCCAAAGGGTTTTTTGATACCAATTTAAAAAGGAATTGTAGAATAGACATAACATTAAATTGCATAAAGAATATAAGGATGTTAATACATAAAATAAAAGAGATTAAGATCATATAGAGACAGTAATATAAAAGATTGTTGTTGGATTTGTGAAGGTTGGAGATAGATAGAATTTTAATGGAATCCATAAACATCAGGACCTGCTAATGATCCTATGTTCTTACATTTATCTTATTTAAATTATGATGATTTATATATGGGTAAGGTTGAATCTGGATTAAGAGTTTAAAGAATGGTACCTCCAGGATTGAGTTATTATTTTTTTACAAATGATAATATGTAATGTGTTGCAAAGGATTAATTACATAAGAGATGGCCTTTACCTTTAAATAAAGTAAAAGTGTAAGATAAAGAAATTGATGTGAAATTACATTAATTAAATTATATGAATGTTTTAGGAACATAAATCATAGATAAATATTATATGCCTATAATAAATGTTTAACCAAGATAAGAAGATCTACTTTATATACCTGAGAGAGTAGATAATCGTATATTATGGACATTTCCAATATCATTATTTAAAGATTGGAAAAGAGATAATGAAGAATTGATAGAGAAATGTTTCATAAGTGATTGGAATCAAAGTAGAATTACTAAGTTAATAAAAGATGATAATGATAGAAATGCATGTTATAATTTTTTATTGTCTAATTATTAATAGATAAAAGATACTTATAAGTAAAAGATATTTGAAATTTAGACACTATGCATGTTTGTCACCAATAGGAGATATATGGGCCATATCATCATTAATAAATCTATAATTATTAAGTGCAGTAAGAATGACAGAACCTAGTGAAAAAGGTATTATTAAATAATAGGATATGGAATTAAAATATTTGGCTACAATATCAGGAACAGAAAAAGGAAATTATAGAAAACCAGAAAGAGGAATGGTAAGATTTTAATTTTTAGAAATGTTTGTAAGAATAGCAGAAGATAAATATATAAAGAATGGAATAGCTAAATCATTTGAAGAAGCATTATAATGGATGTGGAATGATCATTTAAAAGAAGAATTTAATAAATATAATACTTAAATATTTAGAGATACTAAATTTTGGAATGAATAATGTGATCTTTGTATGAAACATTATAAAACTATTCTCGATAGTATTTATATTAGATATAGTGTAAAGAAAGTTAAACCTGGTTAAAAACCATTTATGAGTTTATAAGAATTATAAGAAATGTGTGCTCATATTGGATTAAATTAAATTGAAACATTTGGACCTAATATTCCTTTATTTGCATTTAATAAAGCTATGATGACTTAAATAGATGAACTAAATTCAGATAGAATATTTTAAATGAGTTTTGTTGAATTCTTAGAAGCTTTTGCAAGAATAGCTGAAGATATAGATATTCGATAAATTGGATTACATTTAAAAATAGAATAATTAATATGGAAATGTTATGTATTATTTTCAGATTTATATGCTTTACCAATTTAAAGTTATTTTTAAGAAGAATGGGATTAAATAAATAAATAATAGAATAATAATAATAAGTAAATAATAGATGATGATATAGATGATTTTAATTGATATAATAAATTTAATCACTAATTTTCTTATTAATGTTTCTAACAAGTATGCCAATATAAATTTACATTATTTTTGAATAATTTTGGACAAAATTAACAATCATATATAAATTATTAATTCTATATCTCAATTTCTTTAGATAATCTATTATAAACTAAATTATTTTCTTCTATATTTTTAGATTTCATATTCATATATTCTTCCTATTATTTTTCTTATTTACTATCATTATTTTTATTATCTTCTTTTTTATCATCAACTTTATCTTTCTAGTTAAAAACAAGTAATTAATAGTAATTTTAGATGATTTACATTTATTATCCATTTATTTATTTACATTCTTCACTAAATTAATTCATTTCCATATAATTATATACATCTATTGATATCTATAAGCATAAAAATCATTGTATTATTTTATTTATTATAATTTATACAATTATATAAATAAAATGTTAAACTCAAATATTAAATCTCTTACATCTAGATAAGAAATTAAACCAATTAAAGCCAATATAACAAGGTATCTAAAATTAATTAATCATATAGAGAATAATATCAAACCTTAACCAAACTATATACCTTAGGTAAAGTCAAAACTGCTGAAAGTGATCTAAATTTATAATAGTAATAAATATCTATCCAATAATAATAATATACTATTACACCTAAAAATAATACACCATAATCATGTAGAACTGCATAAGAAGTATTAATATATAGTAAACAAAAAAAGATGAGATATTTTTTGTATTAGAAAAATAATCTTAAAGAACAAGGAAAAAATTCAAATAATTCATAAGTATTGCCTAAAACGAAAAATAGTTTACATCGTAATTTCTCTTAATTAGAAAAGTCAGCTAATACCTTACTTACACCTATAATTTAAACAACCACAACACCATAATCAAAATAAAAAAAATATAATCTAATGTCAATCGATTAAAAATTACCATCAAATCAATTTGCATAATAAATTGCATAATAATTAAAAAAAAAGAATGATACAAATAAGAAAGAAAATTTAAAATTTAGTTTAGATGATTTCATTACTTAAGTGAGTAGAACAAATACTAAACTAATCTCCCCTTTCAAATAAACTAAATCTTTATCTCCATCGACAAGAGTTGAATCAGCCAAGCCTAGAAGTAATGATCCAAAATCTATATAGAATAAATATATTATATTTCTTCGTTAGTTGAAGCATTTAAACATTCTTTTCCTTAAACATCTTAGTAATAATTATTTAGAGATCATGCAATTTAGACATTTAATTGTATTGGATTTTGTATTAATCTATAAGAATCAGACTAATAGATTATTTAATCTAAATTATTAAATTTACCACCAAAATTGAATTGCAAATGTATAATACTACAAAGATAATATTAGATTAAAAAACAGTAGTTTTTGATCTTGATGAAACATTGATTCATTGTAATGAAAATTAAACACTAAAGGCTGATGTATATTTACCTATAACATTCCCTTCAGGTGATACAGTCTAAGCAGGTATAAATATAAGACCTTATGCTAAATGGATACTTTAAGAATTAAGTTAAATATGTGAAGTCATTGTTTTCACTGCATCTCATTAATGTTATGCTAGTTAAGTGATTTAATATCTAGATCCTAAAAATTAATTACTTTCAGCATAATTATTTAGAGATAATTGTGTTTTATCACCAGATGGAGTACATATAAAAGATTTGAAAATATTTAATAGAGATCTTAAAGATATTATATTAGTTGACAATGCTGCATATTCTTTTGGAGTTCATATAGAGAATGGAATTCCAATTATTCCATATTATGATAATAAGGATGATAAAGAATTGAAAAATTTATATGATTTTTTAATTGAATAAGTATTGCCAGCACCTGATTGTAGATTAGTCTTATAATCCACATTTAGATTAAGAGAATATTTAAAATATAATGAACCAAAGTTAGCTATTGAAAAGCTATTCTGATTGTACAATTAATTAATTTTATATATATACTTATTTAATGGCATAATTGGAAGATTATTTTGACAGACAAAGTCATGTACCATAAGAAGTTACTAGATCTTTAAGATTAATTAAAGAATTAGATGAGAAAGTTACAAAAATTCAACTAAAATTAACATCATTAAGAAAACAATACAAATAACAATAATCTGAAAAAACAAAATTAGAAATTGATTAGTTGTATGAAGAAAGTGTAAATTTATCATAAGAGAAAATAAATATAAGTGATAAAGTTTATGAAGTAGTTGATAATGCTGTTTAAGTATATTATAATAATAATAAATTAAGTAATTAGATAATGATTTAAAGAAATTTGAGGAAAACTTAAAATCAAGTATGGCACCTGATCATAAAAGAAGATTTTTAATATTGAGTAAATATTAAAAGGAGAAGAGAAAGAAAATTAATTAAGAAATTGAATAAAGCAAAGAAATATTTTAGAATGCAAGTTAAAGTGAACCATTATATTGTATATGTTAAAAGCCTTCATTTGGATAAATGGTTATGTGTGATAATCAATTATGTTCAAAAGAATGGTTTCATTTAGAATGTGTTAAACTAAAAGATTTCCCTCCTGAAAATGATCCTTGGTTTTGTTCTGCAGAATGCCGTAAAGAAGGGAAAGGAAGAATGAAAAAATGATAATTTTATTTAGTTTTTAATNCATCTCATTAATGTTATGCTAGTTAAGTGATTTAATATCTAGATCCTAAAAATTAATTACTTTCAGCATAATTATTTAGAGATAATTGTGTTTTATCACCAGATGGAGTACATATAAAAGATTTGAAAATATTTAATAGAGATCTTAAAGATATTATATTAGTTGACAATGCTGCATATTCTTTTGGAGTTCATATAGAGAATGGAATTCCAATTATTCCATATTATGATAATAAGGATGATAAAGAATTGAAAAATTTATATGATTTTTTAATTGAATAAGTATTGCCAGCACCTGATTGTAGATTAGTCTTATAATCCACATTTAGATTAAGAGAATATTTAAAATATAATGAACCAAAGTTAGCTATTGAAAAGCTATTCTGATTGTACAATTAATTAATTTTATATATATACTTATTTAATGGCATAATTGGAAGATTATTTTGACAGACAAAGTCATGTACCATAAGAAGTTACTAGATCTTTAAGATTAATTAAAGAATTAGATGAGAAAGTTACAAAAATTCAACTAAAATTAACATCATTAAGAAAACAATACAAATAACAATAATCTGAAAAAACAAAATTAGAAATTGATTAGTTGTATGAAGAAAGTGTAAATTTATCATAAGAGAAAATAAATATAAGTGATAAAGTTTATGAAGTAGTTGATAATGCTGTTTAAGTATATTATAATAATAATAAATTAAGTAATTAGATAATGATTTAAAGAAATTTGAGGAAAACTTAAAATCAAGTATGGCACCTGATCATAAAAGAAGATTTTTAATATTGAGTAAATATTAAAAGGAGAAGAGAAAGAAAATTAATTAAGAAATTGAATAAAGCAAAGAAATATTTTAGAATGCAAGTTAAAGTGAACCATTATATTGTATATGTTAAAAGCCTTCATTTGGATAAATGGTTATGTGTGATAATCAATTATGTTCAAAAGAATGGTTTCATTTAGAATGTGTTAAACTAAAAGATTTCCCTCCTGAAAATGATCCTTGGTTTTGTTCTGCAGAATGCCGTAAAGAAGGGAAAGGAAGAATGAAAAAATGATAATTTTATTTAGTTTTTAATATCAATAAAAACTCTAAATAAATTTCTATTGTAAAATATAATACATTATGATCATAATACTTACCATTAAGTTTTAATTTGCTTAATTTTCTTATCTATTCTATTCTGTATTTATTTTTAAATTTTAACATGATTTTTTAATAAAAAATATAAATTTTTAATTTCTCATAAAAATTCTTCTTAGAGGTTAATATAATATAGTTGAATCTGCTCTTTTTTTAGTCTAATCAATCATTCACCTTTAGATATGAGAATTAAAAATATTATCATATATTAAAATTACATAAGAATTTACACAATAATTATATATTGAAATGAATAATTATATTTTGTTTTATTATTCTGAATCAAAAGCATTTTTTGTATTTTATTAAAAATGATGAGGTCAATTTTTTATTGAGCAGGAAATTAAATTAATAATAATATAAATAATGAATCACATTGACTTTTTAGAAAAAGTCATTAAGATTTTTCTATCAGACATTATCTTGCCATGATTTTTAGCTAAGAAGTACATAGCATCTTCAACAGTTTTGAATTTTAAGGCACAACTATGTTTTTATTTTGGATCCTCATAAAATCTAAATTATAATAATAAAAAATACTTATAGTCAACAATATCAGTTTCTAAAAGTGGTTGGAGACTTTCAATATTAAGTAATTCATTTGATAAATTCATCAAAAAGATAGTATCATTGGGTGCAGCAGCAATAAAGGAGTTTTTTGGTTTATATCTATTAGTGGCTTCAGATCCAATGAATCTTTCTTCATAGAAAGTCTTTTCAACCAATCCTAATTCTTCTAATTCATCTAAGAATGTTATTTCTTACAAAATCGAATAGTTAATCTAGAATATTATAAAGAGATTACTTAAAGAGTTTGTCCTTAGAATAAAACATTATTTAACTTTTCTATACATTAATCAGCACATTTCTAAAGATGGTATTCAACCAATAATGTTGATTTGTCTTTCTAATATACCATTTTATCTATATTTCCATAGATACTAAAAATATTATAGAGCATGTCGAGGGTAGTAACAGAGTCATCAAAAGACTTGGCTACAATGACTCTTGATTTTTCTTATTAATCAACATGATGTATATGATTAAGAGTATTAATTTGACTTTGCAACTATTATTAGATTTATTGTTGTCGTTATTAGTTTTGAATTTCAGACAAAGCATTCACAGATTCTTACTTGATATAATTAATATAACTATCAATAAGTTAATATTGAAGTAGATATTATGTTTATAGTAATTTTCCCAATTAAACAAATTATTCAACCCATTAGACTGAAGCTAGAGTATTGATATAATCAGGGATTTAGAGATCTAAACTTTGAGTTTACAATCTCATTTAGAGTACTTATTATTCATAAAGTCTTTGTTGTAAATGTTATTAGTATTAATATATAGATTATTAAACATTTTATGGTGAATTTTTGGTGGAATTAAGATTAGGATATTATTCACCTTAACTGCCTACTGAAGTTTATTCATCATCAGTTGAATTATAAGAGTCTCTTTTTTCTTTGAACTTTGAATAATCTAATATGGTTTATTAGAAAATTACCTTTGCCAGCAGAATTCATATCAGAAAAAGTGACATTCTCTAGATTGCTAGGATACAATTACATTCTTAGTGAAGAATCGGAATTCAAAATGTTATTATTACATTATTTAATTAAGTTTTAGGTAGTTTCTTTGTTTTTGGTTTCCAAAAAGACTTTCCAAATTTGAGTTTTTTCAAATATCAAAATCTAGAGATATAAATTGGGATTACTTTTTCAATCTAACCATATTGTGAGAAGTGTTTATAGATTTAATCATGAGTAATTGTTAATTATTTCTTATTTTGAATACAAAGAAGAACGACCTTGGTTAATGCCATTTTGTGTTTGTTATTTATTAATTTTAATCATTCGTAATCTAGGTTTAGGATTTAACATTAACTTACGTTAATTCACAACTATAATTTTAGATAATTAAAATTATATAATTTATATATTTAATATTTTATATATATAAATGAAAATGACATTAATAAATGACCCAATTATTTAAATTATTAATGCAAACTCCAAATAACCTATTAATATTAGCTAAAATGAAGAAATGTCGTAAAAATATGTCTAAATTATAAGAGAAAATTGATTTACTAACATCAATTATAGATTAATAATCTCTTCATATGTAAAAAGATTTTTAATGTCATCTCCCTCCTTCAGAATAAAAACCAGAAATAATTATTAGTGATGAAGCTAGTGTTGAAATAGTTCTAACTTCAAATGAACCTGAACCTGCTACAACTCCTTAAGATTTAAAATCAATAGCAAAGAAATTAATTTCTAGATTTTATTATCATATCAGTGAAAAAATGAAAGAAGGCTCTCTCAATCAATTGCAAGCTTTAAAATTAATGTGTAAAAAATAATTCAAAGATAATCCATATAAATAACTCTTTCAAGGATTCTAAAAATTATATATAAATTCTGAATTAAAGTGCAAACAATGTAATAATTCATTCTCAAATATTATGTAAAGTACAACACATGTACTTTAAGATCATTTAAATGATTTATCCATATTTATATGTATCTAATGTAAATTGACATTTTAAAATAAAGAAAAATTAGATGATCATATACTCTAATAACACAATTCAATATTAAATAATAATATAGTTCATGAAAAATAAGTATAAAAATAACCTACTTATTAATAAAATAGGGTAATATAGAATGTTGAAATATATTCAATTCCTCCTATTACTTAACCTTAACCAATAAAGTAATAGATTCTTTTTCCATTTTTTAATAATTAATAAAACAATCATATTAGATACTAAGATGAATCACGTATTTAAGAAGAATTATCAGATATTAAAAATAGTTAAGAATAATTATCAATAATTTCAGAAAATATGAAATAAGAATAATAATAACAACATTCTAATGATATGCAATTACTTCATAATCTAAAAAAAACATAAAATATTAAAATTAAATTCATTACTAAAAAAAATCAATCACACAATAATTGATCAATAATTTTATATACTCAATTTATTTAATATATATATATATATTATTTTCTATTTATAATAAATTATAAATATAATTATGATATTTTTTCATAAATCAAAGTGTTGTGTATGTACCAAGAATTTATAAGCATTGTAAACATTCACTCTATTAATCAAGAAAATTAAGAAAAACTTATAGATGTAAAATGTGTCATTAAGATGTATGTAATCATTGTAGTGAAAATCGTATATAAGTATATATAAATAGAAAATTAGTTATATGCTAAACCAAATGATTTTGTTAAAGATTTCAAACTACCATAACGTGTATGTGATAATTGTTTTCAAGATTATTAATATTAACAATAGCTCATTCAAGAATATGGTCTTAAATGGAATACTAGATCATTGCTTTAATCTAAATGGATTGGAAAATAAGACAGAAAAATTAAAATGGAAATATCTATATCTGAAAATGACAAAGAAATGATTGCTAAAGATGTTTTAACAGGAAGATCTGAGGCATTTTTATTTAATTATAGTTTAAGAGAATTTATTACTTAATGTTAAGAAGGTTATGATTAAACATATATAAGAGAATCAATTAATAAAGTATTATAACTATTTGTAACTCATTATCCAATTATTGGATATTGTTAAGGAATGAATTATATAGCTACAATTTTCTTATGTATATCAGATGAAGAAGGAGCATTTCAAATTATGAATCATATTTTCAAATCAATTATACCTTCAAGATTTTATTCCAATTCTTAAGGAGCAACTTTAATTGGTTATTAAGCTGAGATCTATTTTTTGAAAACTATTTTAAAAACCTTAAATTAATAAAAATTTGAGTAATTGTCCAATTTCTTAGATATTTCAGGACCTTAAATGTTATTAACTTTAATGTTATAAGTATTAAATACAAGTTCATTGTTTATTATTTGGGAAGAGATGTTTAAAAGATAATCCTTTATTCCTATTGATTAAGCAATCATTCTTACTTTATTTTAGGCAACTAAGTATTATGATTTGAATCAATAAGGACTCATAGAGGAAATAGGAAAGAGTATTTTTATTAATTTTATCTTTAGTTATTAAATATTAAGATTTAACTTAATTATTCACTAAAGAAGATGCTTATTTTACACAATTTGAAAGATAAGTATAAATTGAACAATATTATTCATAAACAAGTAGATCATGGGTTAATGATGATAAATTAATACTATTTAGACTTAAAAAAATAACAAATTTTGATACTGAAGAAATACTATAAATTTAGAAAGAATTTAAAAAGTATTGTATAGAATCTCAAAATTTATCCAATAATAAAAAAGAACAAAATAGTATTAAATAGATTAATAATTTTTCAGATAATGTTGATGATATTAATATGGAAAATTTATAAATTAAATAAGTCAAATCATAAAAGTATGGTATTACTAAAGAAGCATTTATTAATTTAATGGTATAAAAATCTAATTATATAGATTTATATAGGAATAGTTTCACTAACATTACACTAAGTATTAAATATTAGATAGACACAAATATGAATTAGTTTTTTCTTTATTTGATGAAAATAAATCAGAATTACTAGATTTTAGAGAATTCTTAACTTGTTTAAGTGTATTATTAAGAGGATCCTTTTAATAAAAAATAAAGATGTTTTTCACAGCACATACTGGATCCAATTTGAAAGCATAAGAATTTCAAACTTTATTATCAATAATCATTCCATTAGATTTATAATAAAAAGAAGATTATCAATAATTCTTAGATAGAATATAAATGCCTTAATATACTTATTAAGATATGTTATTAGTATCTTAAGATCCATTTGTATTAGAAAATGAATATTAAAGAGACAGAAGTCAGACATCAATCATGATTGCTTAATCATTAAACTAAATAAAAAATAATTGAATTTTATAATTTTTAAGTCTCTTCTCTATTATAATATTTAAAGAATATAATCAGATAGTAATTTATATAAAAATAGAGTAGAATTAATTGTTACAAGACTCTGTTTTTATATATAAACAATTTATATTTTTAAATATGTTTATTTTCTATTGTACTAAAATATAATTAATGATCTTAATCAACGATTGGTTTTGGCAACTTTCTCTAATTCGTCTCTCTTTTTAATAGTGTAAGACTTTTATCCATCTTCATTGGATGCTGCAATCAATTCATCAGCTAAGGCTTCTGCAATTGTTTTCATCTTCTTGAATACAGATTCTCTAACTCCCTTAGCTAAATTGTGAACAGCCTTTTTAATATATTTGAATTTCTTACTTCATTAACTCTTCTAATTGGAGCAACATCAACTGCTTATTATTTGGCAACACCACCTGTTCCTACTTTTGTAAAATCTTCTCTGGCTCCTCCTCTTTACACAGCTAATGATAATACTGCAAGTGGATTCTTGCCTGTCAATAAATGCACTATTTCAAAGGCATGTCTAATTATTGCTACAGCCTTCACTTTCTTTCCTGTATTTCTACCATGAAACATAAGTGCACCTGCTAATCTCTCAACTATTGGGCATTAAGCCTTTCTAAACTTCTTTCTTTGATATCTATTAATATTATCACCCATATATATACCTTCCAGCAGTATGGGGAACAAACACACGTGATTTTGATGTTTGAACTGCAATATAATCTTTGAAGCATTAATCTGTCACTTGTACTTCATCATAATCCCATTTTCCAAATAATTTAGGTTGATTTGCAAATTTAACTGTGGCTACAGATTCTTATTCAGCCATAATAATTTTTTTAAAAAGGATTTTTATTTATTTAAAATTTCATATATATATATATACAAGTGCTTATTTAGATTTGATTAAGATACTTATGATCATATTAATATATCAAACAAAAAATTGAGAGTATTTGAATTTACTTAATTATTTGAAATGTTCATCATTAATAATCTTCCTTAAATTATTGAGATAACATTGATATTATATAAATCCAAAGTTTTCTTGAACTCTTAAATATTTCAATGATCTTCTTATAATTTAATGTAAGATACTATTTTATATTAGTGTTATTTCATCACTTAATAATCTTTATTATTGAGTATATAATATTTTGTATTTATCATATGAAATAAATCATTTTGTTTAATGAGATTTCTAAAATATTAATTGCAATTACTACATTGTTTTTAACATTAAAATCATAAAAGATCTGCTATTTTTATTCTTGGTTCTATAATAAATCTAGTTATTAGAGTAATTTATTCATTATTTAATATAAATGATTATTATTTAAAAGTCTAAATCAAATTTGATAATATTAAGTAAGTAATTTTAACAGATTTTAAATAGATATACTAATCAAAATTTAACAAGTTTAATTCTATCTTTTTTTCTTTATGAGGCTTTCAAATTATTATTTCTTAAAATTACTTAAATCAATCTCAAGTTTTTAATTTTGTATTCTATTATTTTATACGCTAATTAGATAAATTTTTTATTTTTTGATTTCATCATTAATAGTAAATAAACGAGAATTGATATATTTATTCATTACAGTATATGTCTTTAGACTAGATATTTTTTAGTAATTGTTTCTTTTTCTTTTTAAATTAATTAATATTAAAACTAAGATTAAATAGATAAAATACTTATAAATCAGTAAATTTGGTTTTTCATGCATCGCATTTCAAAATTTTAATTTATTGATTTTTTATTAAATAGTATTTTTTTTATTCTATTATTTATTTAGGATAATCAATAATCTAGCAAGTCTAAGAGGAAAAATTAGATATTTCTATATTTAATGTTTTGGTGTAATCACTTTCTTAAGTTTACAGATTTTAATCAATTTAGAATTACTTGTTAATTTACAATTCTTTTTCTTTTTTAATCAAATATTTCAAGATGAATTTTATTATAAATTATATGAAGGTACTATAGTTCAAATTTAAGTTTTGTACACTCATCATTCATGAGAATAATTTACATTTTGAAATAAAGAACAGTTCTTTTAGTTTTTCCTTATCTTTTTGAATAACATTTAAATGAATAGATGAAATGAGATACATTTATAAAATGTTATATGCATTCACTCTTTTATGTTGATCATCAATCGACCTGATGAAATACGAAAAAGAGGAATTAATTTGAGTTAATTATTTATATATTTATATAATATCAAAATAAAGAATGGATTTACAACATTCTAAATCTTATGCAGCATTGAACTAGTAGAATTGCTAACTATTTAAACCGAAGCCTCTCTCAATTAGATAATAGATGGGTAATTTATTAGAAGAATAAAGCAGCTTAGTTACCTACACAGACTCCAAGAGTATAGATATAGGCTCTTACTACTCCAACAACAATTGAATGTGATTCAAAGTATGATTTCAAATTTATTTAGCCCATATCTAAATTAGTAACTTTGTTCATTTAAGTCATATAGAATCTCCACTGAAATAATAAATGGTTCTCCTCTAGATCAAATATAATTGATATTAAGAGAAAACGAGAAGCTAAAACGATCATTAAACTAAAAATAGCAAATTATTGAATCATTAAGTCGAACTCGCAAAGTTAAACCAAGATTGGACTTTTGTGACTTAAAAAAGAACTCTAGATCTCTTCTTTAACCATCAAGTTAATAGGAATCTATCAAACCTAAGAATATTGAAGTAAAATAGTCTATCTCTTAAAATTATAATAAACGCACTAAATTACCAAAAATAGAGGATTCCATACCCACAAATGAAGATGACTGTAATTTCACATTTGCCAATAATTTTTTTAACAATAATACTTGCAAAAATTAAAAGATCAACTTCAAATAAGTGTTTACATAATCTCATTTGAAGAAAAAATTTTTCACTTGATAAATTTATATTATTTAATGATAGAATATAGTGATCAGATTGTGATATCTAAAATCATCAGTGATGTAATAAAAAAGTATTGGTTTTTGATTAAAAATCGATTTATTCTTGAGTTTAGTTAAAAATCACTGACTTGTCTTTTTTTATATAATTTATTAGAATCCATAAATAAAATAAAAATTAGAAATTGTCATAATCAATTTATTATTATTGATAGAATAATTATAAATGATAAGATATTCATGAATTTGCAAGAAAATATTCTATAATAAGTGTTTTAAATATTCTCATTTGACTTTTGTTTAATTTGTGTACAAAACTTATTGACTTTATAAAACATATAATAATGTAAAATTAAATTTGTATGATTTCTAAGATCATATAAATTAATCAATCTAAAATTATTCAAAAGTGCTAGAGTGTCTTTAGTTTGACAATTTTCAAAATTTATTTATTTTGGATTTTCTTAATTATAGTTAAGAATTCCTGATAATAATAATAATAAAAAGTAAAAGAAACTCTTTGGATATTATTATAGTGTAATATATAATAACCCTTTATCATATATTAATTTATAGAAAAAGTAGTCTAAAAAATTATTTTATTTAATAGAAATCTCTATAATCAGTCAACATAATAATCAGAAATTATTGTTTTTGGATTAAGAGATATTAAAATAATGTAAGAATTCCTCCTGGGTTCAAAAATTAAGATAAAACTATAAAAAGATAAGAATAAATTATTAATAATTTTTTATTGAATTAGATATATTATATATAATATATAGAAGGTTGGATAAGTATACAGAAATTTCATTAAGAATACAATTTTACTTAAAAGATATCTAATGTAATTTTAATTCTGGATTGTCAGAATTTGATAATCGATTAATAAACTTGAATTAATTATGATATATTAAATATATAATTCAGTTATTTTGATATTGAATTTATTTAATTAAGTTATTGATATTTTTGAAATATGTCGAACAGCAATCAATAAGATGAATCATATGATGAAGAGTAAGAAGATGAAGAAATTGAGACTGTTCAGGAAAATGGTTTAAAATAGTTATTCAAAAATCAAGGTATATTATGTTAAATTAACTTAAAATTAGAGTAATTCATGTAATAAATCAATTATCTTAATGAACAAGCTGTGCTAAAAATTAAACTTTAAAAGTTCAAAGAAGCCATGAAGTTACTTTAATAATCAGAATAAATGTTAGAAGTATTTTATGATTTCTATCCATAGTATGCAGCAAGTTGTGGCAAACAAATAGATAAAAACTTAATTATAGTTGTTCTCTATAATCAAGCCTGTGGATATTAATGGTACAACTAATAAACTTATAATCTTAGTTAATGGGTTTTGGACAAATGTTCTAAATATTTATCTGGAGTGATTTATAATATGGAAGAAAGCATGAAAGAAGATGAATAAGATACAAACAAGCTTACAAGCACCTAAGAATGTGATGCTTCTTTAGTCAAAAAGAAAGCCTTTCTAGCAAGAACACTCTTATAACATACAGCCATTTTAAGTCAATTAGGAAAGTATAAATTAACATAAATTTAGACATAAATTAGCATTACAGTCAGCCAAAAAGGCAGCTAGTACAATGAGAGATGTTTTTTAAATAGCTTATCAATTTTGTAAGGATTGGCTAAATAAAAATGGATCCTTAGGATCTGCAACAACAGCCAATTCTAGTTTAACAATGAAGTCAAAATAAAAAAATAATAAATTCTAAATGAAAGATGAAGTAGAATTTAGTAGACTAGTTATTGATGCCAGTAAAGATATTCTATAAGATATGTCTAAATAATAAGATTTAGATAACATATCTAATAATGAATAGTTAATTTTAAGAGAAGCTAAAAAATAATTATATTTCTGGAGAAACAATCCTGAAAATAATGAAAAGCATATCCGTAAAGAATTAAAATTAGATCAAAAAGAAGAAGATTATCGTTCTATTCTAGGAGTTTAAAATGTACAAGAATGGATTTAAACCTTTAATATAGGTTTCATTATGCATATGACTCCATAAATATATGAGGATTTCTCATCATAAGGAGAAATGCTTTATGAAATATCTAAGAGATTGTTATTGGAGAAAATTATCTATTTATCAATATCTTATTTCACTATTGCAACCGAATTAAGGTTTATTGAATTAGACAAAGCTAAATAATAAGGAATCAAAGATATTAATACTGATGAGTTTAAATTAAGTGAATTATATCATCTTAAAGCAGTTGAAATTGCTTGCAAAAATATTACTTGTTCATCTCCTTATATTAATCATTTAATTACTAGTTATCATAAACATTACAATTCTAATTTAGATACAATACAAGAAGAATCTATGATGTCAATGGTATCTGAAGTTAATTATAAAGAATAAAAATTACAAAAATTAAAATAAATGCAAATTTAAACTCAAAGAGAGAATCAAACTATACTCAAAAATTTAGCTGAAATTAAATTAAATGATTCATCTCCTACTGGAAAATTAATTAATTCTTTTTTGAATTAATAATCTCCTTTAAAAACTAATAGAAATATTAGTGACAATATAAAACCATAGACAAATTTAATGGAATAAATGATAATTAATAAAAAAAGATAATAAATGCCATCAGATATGTCTCCTAAATAAAAAATATAGTTTTTCAATGCCTCTTCTAACAATAGTTGTGAAAGAATAGATGAAAAACTTTTAAAAGCTTAAGAGACTTTCCCTATTTAATTGTAACCCTATAAATCAGCTAAAACAACATTTAATAGTCTTATTAAGTAGACATAAAATACTTAACCATCCTCAAATCAAAATAATAATGGCATTTTAAAAACTTTCTTTTTTGATAATTGCAGAACTGAAAGAATAAATTCCAGTTCAAATTAATCACCTAAAAGAGTAGGTAGATCTCCTGATAAGTCTCCAGAACGATCTCAAAATTCCTTGAAACCTAGAACTTCATTTATGACAAATAAAAGTCCTCAAACAAGACCTAGAACAGATACGGAATAATGTAAATTTTATATTATTATATTTGAATAGAATGTCATATTAAGTTTGAAACTATTTAATAGTTATTAAGAGGTTAATCTGGTACTAATTTAAAAAGAAAATGAATATAACTTATCATTCTTATTTGTTTTTGTTTATTAGGGCTTACATTAATATTTAATTTAATCAAATTCTTTAATGTATTACATACAAAATACGTTATCAAAATTTAAAATGGTTAGATGTAGCTGTTGTTTGAAATGCCGAATTTTTCATAGCTGGAGATTTAGGATTAGTTCTATAAGTAACATATTGACAACTTTTATGCATTCGTTTCATTTCTTTTTGTTTATTATTTTGAATATACTTATTGTTATTATAATTTTACTTATTACATTTACGAGATATTGGCTACACTGATATCACTGGACGTACTTGTATTTAAATGTTTATAAGCATAATTTTATAAATCTTATTAAAAATTCCTTTAGCTTTTAAACATCTCATTCATTATTTTATTCATCTTATTCATTCTTATTTACTAACCAAAAGAATTAACATCTTTAACTTCAAATAAGTAATGATTTTAATTAAATGCAGCAGCTTCTGCAGTTACATCTTCCATTTGACTATAAGTTCTTTTAATCTAAGGTGCATTTGTAATAGAATCATTGTAATCTATTTGGATTTCATTTTATTGCTATTAATCTAATGAATCCTATTCTTTTGTTTTAAGATCTTTTTCTTTCTCTGTTTTTTTATTTAGATGTTTAAATAAATCATCAAGATATTTTTACTTTTCCTTTAATTCTAAATTGCATAAAGGTTTGAAACACTTAAATTCTTCAATCACAGTATTAGTTCTTCTTTTCATCATTGGCAAAACCTCAAAAAATCTTTACCCTTAGTATTTTACATAAGGTTTTAAATCTTCTCTACTTTTTTTATATAAAACTCTAAGTTTTTTAACAGATTCTTTTGTATCATTTACTTTATACATTTCTTCAATTTCTTTGAAATATTTATTCATATATTCTATTTTGGCTTTGTAATCATGTTTTAATTAAGCTTCCTTGGCCTTAAAATGGGTATCCAATTGATCTTCATAGTGTTTATCAATGCAGATATCCTCAATATTTGTCTTCCAACCATTACAAAATTAGTGTTTTAAATCTCCACCAACATTAGCCCATCCATTTACAGTAGTTGAATGATTGGGTTAAATTTTAATTATTTTTGCATTAGGAGGTCCATCCTTAATTTATGTAGAATCAAATTTGCATATTTTTTTTTAACTGAAATCTCTACATTATTTGATATTTGGATGATTTTCTCTTAAATACATATAAGCAACAATTCTATCCATATCTGTTTTAACTCCATATTTTTTCTGAAATCTTGGACAAGGATCAAAAAATGGTGCCTGACTTTTACTTTGTTATAATTACTCTTTATTGTTTAGGAGGATCATTGTTGATGTCCAACCTTCTTGTAATAATTGTTTTAGATTTCATAATAATTAATAAATTGCATATAACATTTATTTCATTATTAAGCACATTAGACTCTTTATCCACCATGACCTCTTTCATCATCATCATCTTCCTCATCCTTTTTACCACCTTCTGGATTTGAATTTACATGAGATTCATCATATTCTTCTAAATACAATGTCTTTTTAGTATCAAGTTTTGGTTATTATTTAGGACCAGGCAAAACCTGAAATAATAAATTAGAAATACCTTCTTCAATTATTCTATTTGTTCATTTTTTAATTGTCCAGGTTAAGGGAATTCAACTTCAAACTTAATATGAAGATCTCCTTCACTCATGGCATCTTTATAACAAGGCATACCTTTCTTTTTTACAGTCATTATTTGTGCTAAGATAATATACACTTAAATTACAAGGTGAGATAATTTCTCCAGGCTTAGTTGAGATGTTTAAATTTGATCCATCTAAGAATTTTAATATAAATTGTGTTCCTGTCAAAGCTTCAACTAAAGAAATCTTTTTATTTGTGTATAGATCAGCTCCTTTCCTTTCATAAACATCATGTTTTTTTATTTTAATTCTAATATATAGATCTCCTGCCATAACTCCTGGTAATTCATCACTCTCTCCATAAAATTGATAATCATGTTCATCAGGCACACCTCTTTCCAATGGAATTTCAATCACTTTCTCTTAATCTATTACTTTATTTCCTTTGCATTTCTTGCATCTGTCCTTCTCTGGAAATATTGTTCCATCACCACCACAGTCATTGCATGGTCCTGTAGATTATGAATACATTCCTGGACCAATCATTTATAATTTTTGCACCATTCCTCTACCTTTACATGTTGTACATGTCTTTGCATTTGCTCCACCTTTTCCTTCGCATCCATCACAAACCCTCTTTCTTTTGTGATTCAAATGAATCATCTTTCCTTCAAATACTTCTTCAAGTGTCACTGATTATTCTCTCATCTTTGCTTTCATTTTTTTTGGTCCTTATTCTCTTCTTCCTCCTCCACCTCCGAAAAAATGACTAAAGATATCACCCATATCTCCACTGCCTCCACCATTTTTCACACCTTCCATTCCAAAACGATCATATAAGTCTTTTTTCTCAGGATTTGAAAGAATTTCATATGCTTCTGTTAATTTTTTGAACTAATATTTTTGATTTATTCAATACTTTTTCAGGATCACCACCTTTATCTGGATGCTCTTTTACGGCCTTCTTACGAAAAGCCTTTTTGACATCATCTGTAGTACTTTAAGGAGGTACTCCCATAAGATCATATAATCCTTTGTTATCAACTTCTGCTTGACTATTTGAAGATTCTTCTTCTCCCATACCTCCAAAAGGAAAACCTCCAGAGAAACCACGAAATCCACCTGAGAACATCGATTAAAATATTTAAAAATAGTTTGAAAATTTTGGCAAATTTTCATTATAAAAAAAGAGATGTTTCTAGAAACTATTACTTTAATATTTTTTTTATTTTTTTTTTTTTTAGAAACCTACTTTTTTACTTTTCATGCTTATCCTTATCCATTTTCTTTATCTTTAAATGCATTAATTAAAGTATATGAGATCAGTTGCTCTACCATTAAAATATATGAATGACAATTCTCTTTTTTACAATTTTTTAAGTTTACAACATTCACACTCAAAATACAAATAATTCACTTTTTAAGGAAGACAGTAATGTTAAGATGAAATCTTTATATTTTTAGAATCAATTAAAAACAATATAAGCATATTCTCAATGTTCTGTATATTTTATTTTAAATAAATTCAAATTTAACCTTATTAATATATATAAAATCTGGAAATTAGTATTGTTTTTTCATTCGAAGATAAAAATCATATACTTTATAACTTGAATAAATTTCACTTCTACTGAGATTTATAACATTTTATAATGTTATATTTTCAAAGAACTAAGCTGAGCGTTCTTGTGATAATATTACAATTAACTTATCTTAGATTTATATTAATCAGAATCTTTAATATTATAATACTTAAAGAACAGATAGATTACAAAATCAATTTCCAATCAAGCTTTTAAAAATAGTGATAATTATTTTAATGATCAAACAAGTGAAACCAAGAAAAATAATGAGTAATTATACATTGAAAAAATCTGATTGCTAGTAATATTGAAAAATCAAGGTTAAAAATCATTTATGTAAATAATCATATGTTCTAAATTGTATCAAAGTAATTAATTTAACAAACTATTTTAATAACATATATGAAAAAAAATAGAAAAATTAATAAGAAGTAATTTAAATAAAATAGGATTTATGTTCTTTATTATGTTATAAAAAAATTTATTCTTTATAAAATAATTCATTCTAATATTTAAGATTCAATTTACTTATCTTAGATAATTTGATTATTTTATTCTTTTTCTTATTTTAAAAATTCTAAATTTAATCTATGAATATTTCCAGGAGAATATTTAGTATTTGCTTTATTGGTTTAATTTGATATTGGTTTTGAATTTGAAGTTCTATCAGTTTTTTCAGGGCTAAAATTTGGCTGAGTTTTTGTTATGTAATTATATTATGATAGCTTATGTTATTAAAAATCATCTAGCTTGTATCTAAAATTTAACAATATCTAACCTTATATCCTAAAATCTCTTCGATGTATTAGAATCCTCAAGTTCAACAAATTAAAGCTTTTCTTGTTGATTTTTTAAATTTTGTCTGAAATTCTAAAATCCAGCTAAGCCTTTTTAGTCTTATTTTGAAGGCTTATGATATATGATATTATTTTATCTAAATTCCCTCTCATGAAAAAATAATTAAGATATATATGACTATAGGTCTCCTTTCATTCTGTTAATTTTGTGACTCTTTCTTTCCTCTTATTATCTTTCATCATAGGGGGATTTATTTATTTATTATTAATTCTATTTCGGCTATGCACGAACAGTAATGCATTCTTTTTAAGGAGAATTCTAAAGAAGAGGTTCTGTAATATATGATTATTTATAAGATTTAGGAATATTTGATAAAGATCCTTTATTTAAAAGGGTACTTTAGAGTAGTGTACCACTGCTAAGTTCAGTTTTGTTTCTATGATGGGGTTAGCTTTCAATATAACTTTTGATATTTTTTTTGACAATTTAATTATGTCCTTCTACATCTTCATTAGATTTTAATTGCAATTTACTAATATAAAGCTCTTCAGCCTATTATTCATTTTTCTTAGACAAGTAAATAGAAAAGCAATCTGTTTCATTTTAAACTATGTCCTATTAATTTTTTTGCTTTTAACCTTCTTCTACAAGCATATCTAGCTTTTCTTAAAGTTAATCAAGGGATTCGCAATTGCTAATTAGTCTTTAAATACTTTTATTTGATGTCACATCTGCCTTAGTTTCATTATTTTATTCCTTATTCTCTAACATCTATATTAATTTCAGTTTTTCATTTATTATTTATAATTTATGTTCGTTTTATTTTTATTTATATTCCCAATTTTCCCAAATTCTCCCAAAATTCCCTTCATTTAACTCAACATCTTTAAATAACATAGACCTTAAATAAAGATAAGATTTACAAATCCAGTCCTTTGGAATATTCTTAAAAATCTTCAATAGTTAATATTAAGGATCCCTCTTTTTTCAAAGTTTTAAATGCATCTTGTGAACTTTTAAATTTGGATCTTAAGTTTTGTTTTAAAGAGATCCAATTCTATAACATTTCTTAGTTTTGCTCAATTGATACCTTTTATTATGTAAGTTATTGAAATTCAGACATTTTAAATTAATTTATTAACAAATAAATTATAATCTTTAAATTAAAAACTATGTATGAACATAATGAAACATGAATAAATAACAATATGATATTTAATAAATAACTGTTATCAATTAATTGGACCTATATATCTATGATTTTTAAATTCACCAGCATATACAATGCCTTCTTTTGTAATAAATTTTCCTTTTCCATGCATTTTATCTTATAACCAATCTCCTACATATTAATCTCCATTTCTTACAAGTTAAATTATATTATTACCCAAAAATATATTATCCTTTCCCGTGTTTTTAATCCTAAACCCATTCGCCATCATATATGTCATCAGTTAAAGCATGAGTATATTTTCCTCTTCCATGTTTTTTATCTGCCAACCACTCTCCCTCATACCTGTCTCCATTAGCATAAAGCATTACTCCTTAACCTGTTCTTTAATCCTTTCTAAACTATCCTGTATAAGTATCTCTTGATGAAGCATATTTAAATTCCCCTTCTCCATCTTTCTTACCATCCCTAAAATATCCTTTGTAATGATCTCCATTTTCATATTGCAATATTCCAAGCCCATTCCATAAATCATTCCTAAATTATCCCTTATATATAGATTATCCGTTGCACATAGTATAAACTCCATCTCCATTCTTTTAATTCCTATCCCATTCTCCTTCATATGTATCACCATTAGGATATTACATTTTAGCTTGACCACATAATTGCCCGTTTACCCAATTTCCTTCTACTCTTGCCCCATCATTAAATTTCATTATTCCAAAACCATTTCTTTCATTCTTCTTGAAGTCTCCCACATACACATCACCATATGCATAACCAGCCTCTCCTTTTCCGTGTCTTTCTCCTTCTCTCCAATCTCCATCATAATATTCATCTGTACTGTAATAAACATATCTTCCCTTCCCATGCTTTTTATCATTTTACCAATCTCCATCATAAGTATTTCCATTTAAATAATAGTATTTGCCATGTCCATGTTTCAAACCATCGGATAATACTCCAGAATATCTTTCGCCTAAGATTATTAAACCCATATACCATTCGCAAATAAATAATGTCCTGAACCATTAAATTTATCATCAAACCATTCACCCAAAAATATATCGCCATTATTATAGTAATATATTCCATACCCTAATCTAGATCAAATTAATTTATATACCACTTCTTTTATCGTTAGATAACTATCCTTCATATCTACTACCATCAACAAACTTCTTTATTTTGCAATCTCCTCTTAAATTTCCCTTTTCATCATAAATATAAAGTTATTTGAATTCTTCTATAAGTTTTCTTCTACTCTATTTTCAATGAAACTATTTACTTCCAATTATTATTATCTAAATCCTTCTATGTTCTTTGCAGGCTTGTTTTCTAAGATATGAACGATATTTGATTACAAAGCACTCTTTATTTCTGACATATAATAATAAAAGAATAAAATTTATTTGAAGAGATCCAAAACAATAAATAGATCTCACCTAGAGAAAATTATCCTGAAGGAATTCTAAAATAAAAAATAATAAACAACTTAAAATCTGATTTGAGAGTAAATCATCATCATATATTTAATAATTGAAATAATTAGTAAAAAGTATAAGATAGATTTTATAAAGCAATACTAATAAAGCTCTTAATTGATATAAGGATCATGTAAAAAATTAAAAAAAAAACTTAAGTATAGTTCTGAAATAAGGAAAGGAAAAATAATTATGGTTGAATAAGAAGAAACCTGTATAATTCATTCTTATCAAACTTTGATGTTTGAGAAATCAGCACTTTTGACAACAGATAAAGCTTATTCGCTGATTCCAAGTTCTCTAGTGAATTCATTCTTTAAGTTGGTGTAGGTATCGGTTTCTTCTGCATAGGTATTGTTTTCTAATTCTAATTCAGCTGTGTATTATTTTCTATCAGCATCTCTTTAGTCTCTGAATTCTGTCATTTAGTCAATCTTTTCTATAGATTAATTATATTATTTAATTACCATTAGTGGCTGTCAAATCAACATTGACTCTATTAATTTATCTTTAGAATTCAGCATATTCATCATCTAATTGTTCAAGATATTCTTCATGATCAGCCTAAGCTTAGGCTTCAGCAGCTGTTTAAGCATTGATTGAATCAACAACGGCATTTCTGAATTCATTAAGAGCATCAACAATTTAACCAATAATGCCTTAGTCAGAAAAGTTTTAATTTGATGCTAAAGAAATAAGAGCCTTGATCATTGGAGCCATCTTGGATCTTGACTTAATCTTTGCCTCAATGTTTTTCAATGAATTTTAGAATCTTCTAACTTAAAGAAGTGAGGGATTTGTTAATGTTTCAAGAAGAGCAAGAGCATCATCTACTGCAGCAGTTGCATCATTCAATTCAGCTATTTAGAATTCGAAATCTTCGTGTTCTTATTCTCTAACAAGGATAGCTTCGTCATAGTTTTTTCTATTGGCTTCTTGATTTTCTTAAATTTATTCAATTCTCACTTGGAGTTATTCTCTTCTTGGGAACAACAAATTATCTAATGTGTCTTATGTATTATTAACATCTAAATATTATTATTTATTATTACCAATAACAGCATCTTAGATGTCCTATTCGAGGCTAACTACTAATGAATTGTGCTCGTTGGTTCTGACTTGGAAATTGAATTCTAATTCTTCTAATTCTTCTTCAAGATCATTTATTAGTTCTTCAATAGCATCAATTAACTCTTAAACTGGACCTCCAGCCATTGAGTGGAGTTCAACTAAGTGAAGTAATGCGCTTCCATATGTGCTCTTTTAGAGGTCTGTTGTAATTTTGGCTAGATTTCTCTCTTACACTCTGGCTGTGAAGGCTACTGCAATCAAGGCAATGAGCAATATTGTCTTCATAAGATAATTATTGTTAATGGCAAAGCAAAAATTACATAGTTAAACAATAAAAACGACTAGTCTTCATTAATTAATAAACACTTAAAAACGCTATACTATTATCATTAATTATAATAACATCATTATATAAACTTCTATTATTTACAGCTTTTAAAAAAAATAAATCTCTTTCTCCCTTTCCTCTAAAGAATAACCAAATATATAATTTAAATAAACAAATATTTCCTCACAAATATATAATGAAAACTAAGATTTTTAGAGGGATACTTAAAGAAAATTATAAGAAACTAATAAAGGAGAAAATTTTTATAAAGGAAAGAATTCTAACATTCTTTATAAACGATTATGTATTCATTTACATAAAAAATTGATGAATTAAATCATTTAAATCTAGAATACCCTTTTTTTTAAATTCCTGAAATACTTATATGACTTATTACTAGAGGTTAAATATACTTAAAATAATAAAATGAATTCATTAAGAGTATTTATTGATCTTTCTTATTATTATAGTAAATCTTGAAATTTAACTTGTTAGTTTGTAATACTTGTTCTTTAACTAAGAAATCATATCCTTACTGTTTGGATTGATTAAATAAGTCAATATATTCTTGTTTTTATGCTTCCTAAAAAGACTTATTATTTTATTTATAAATGTGCTGTTATCAACTTTTAAAATTATTTTATAATTATAATAGATAAACAAAGTTATCAAACAAAAAGAGAGCAGTTTTAATTTTATCTAGGGCTAGTCTAATAAAATAATAATTTCGTAGAAAATAATTCTAATAATGATGATCCACAGTAACGCTATGAAAAATTGAATTATATTAGAGATTATTTTTTTATAGTATTTATGACAACATTATTTATTAATTAAGCTTACATTAATATGAGAATACTTTACCCATATTGAACTTGAGAAAGAGTTGAAACTAATTTGGATTAAGATAAATTTATTTTTTAAACCAAAATTACATAGAAAAACTTTTGTTTGTACTAGCTATAGCTAATTAAATATTACAATAAGTAATTGCTAAAATAATAAATGAATTTGATTGTGTCATAAGTATATTCATTTAAAATAACATTCGATTTTAAACAAACAAAAATAGGGTTTGGATCATAAACTTATTATAAATAAAGATATACAAGCAGTTCCTTAATCAGAGCCATAACCTACTAGAGATCTTTTAACAAATTATCATTTTATAATCCATCTATATTATAAGAATGTGTTTTATATTCAAAGTAAAAATTAGAAGTTATCATTTTTTGGCTACAAAAAGCTATTTACTATAAAAAAACAGAAAAGGTTCATCAGTATTCGATGTCATCTAATTCTACATTCTTATTCATATTTTCTTTAATATTTTATTTAAAAACGGATAGATATTAGATGAAAAAAGTCTTGGTAACACTTCTTATAATTGCAGTAGCTAATGCAATTGAAGTAGAAATGAAAGCATAAGATTTGAAAACTCGAGAAAGAAGTAATTCAGTTTAAATATATCAAGGCTTGAGTTTTTAGGAGGCCAATGATATTAATACAATGAAGTTTACATGCTAAATGGGATTTGATTTCTATGATTACACTATCATTGAGTTATCTAAGTGGGCTGATATTATAGAGCATAGGGATTAATTGTAAAAGGATATCACAATAATTGACCAAATCGTTAGATTGGTTGGCAAAGCAAAGCATATTGACGATGCCTAATAATAAAGTAAGTATTGTAATAATTTAGAAATGTTCGTTCAAATTACAGGAAGTCTATAAAATTCATTATTAGATATGACGCTTGCTTAATTAAATCATTAATGGGCAAGAGGAAATCTAGATCAATGTATTGAATATATGAGATAATTCTAAAAAACTGAAAGCTATGATGAGCGTGTTGCTATGGCAAATAAAATTGAAGATTATTTATAGAACATTAGGTATTAAATAAATAGAAATTTAAATGAATGCTCTTAATATCAATAACCTACAAATATGAGACAAAAGATAAGAGATTTATAAATGAAAAAAAGAGAATGTTAATCAAATGAAAATAGAAATGATAGTTGGGATAACAGTAATTAACAAGAATATGAATAAAACTGGCAATATCCATAAAACAAAGGTTCAACCCAGTAACAAGAACTCCCAAAAATTTAAGCTAATCGGATTGAATCATAAGGCCAGTAACCAATTTTTTATGATGATGACAAAGTTTGTCCATAAGGGGAAGAAGATGATACACCATAAAATATTAGCGAAGAACAAAGCGATGATTATTTAGAAAATAATATTTAAGAAGAGTCAGAAGAATCTGGGATTGAGTTAGAACCAAACCCAGATAGTAATAAAATTATGGGAGAGGAAGAAGATTTAAATTTGAGTAATGATTCTAAAAAAAAAGAACCACGAGAAATCATTGTAGAAAGGGAATTTGGGCCAGATTCTGATCATCAAAATAATTATGATGAACCTGAGGAATGCATTAGTAGTGAGGAAACTAAATTAGAATAAGATGAAAGTGTAAATAATGATTCTGAAAAACCTCAGTAAGAAAAAGATGTCACAAAACCTTTGATACAATAAGATGAAAAGCCAGAAGAATAGAAATAAATAACAGAAAATAATGAGGAGAAAAAAGAAGAAAGTGGAGAAGAGGAAAAAGAAGATGAAAAAGATAAAGAAAAAGAAGAATAAGAAAAGGATAAAGATGAAAAACAAGATCAAACTAAAAATAAAAATCTTCCTTTAGACATTCCTCCAGAGGATGATGAAGAAGCTGTCGAAGGTGAAGTTGTCAAAACAGAGGGAATAGGAGCTTCTTCGGATGGCAGAATAGGATAATAATAGAATAATAAATAAACTTAGGAATAAAAAAGTATCAAAGATGAAAAAGAAAAGGAAAGTGATAAGACTAAATCCGAAAATAAGAGTTAAGATAATGATATAACTAAAAATTAAAAATAAAATAAAGCTACTTAAAATAATGATGATGAAGGTGAAGAAGATATTTATGAATAAGTAGAAGTAGAAGAACCTGATGGTAAAGGAGGAGTCAGAAAAGTAAAAAAAATGGTTAAAAGAAGAGTGAAAAAGACTAAAAAGGTAATTGGATAAAAGAGTGGATCTTAATAATCGAGTACTACAAGTTCTTAAAAAAGTACAAGTTCTTAAACCAGTACAAGTTAATCAAAATAAACATCAGGAAGTAGTTCATCAACTTAAAACTAAAAAGACACAAAAGTAAAGGAAGGTGATTAGCTTTAATAAGGAAATAAAGGTTAAAATGAAAGCTAAGCTGAAAATTAATAATAAAATAAAGCTACTTAAAATAATGATGATGAAGGTGAAGAAGATATTTATGAATAAGTAGAAGTAGAAGAACCTGATGGTAAAGGAGGAGTCAGAAAAGTAAAAAAAATGGTTAAAAGAAGAGTGAAAAAGACTAAAAAGGTAATTGGATAAAAGAGTGGATCTTAATAATCGAGTACTACAAGTTCTTAAAAAAGTACAAGTTCTTAAACCAGTACAAGTTAATCAAAATAAACATCAGGAAGTAGTTCATCAACTTAAAACTAAAAAGACACAAAAGTAAAGGAAGGTGATTAGCTTTAATAAGGAAATAAAGGTTAAAATGAAAGCTAAGCTGAAAATTAATAATAAAATAAAGCTACTTAAAATAATGATGATGAAGGTGAAGAAGATATTTATGAATAAGTAGAAGTAGAAGAACCTGATGGTAAANTAAAGGTTAAGGTAATGGTTAAACTAGCAATGATGCAGGTGAAGAAGATATTTATGAAGAAGTAGAAATAGTTGAACCAGATGGGAAAGGAGGATTTAAAAGAATCAAATAAATGGTTAAAAGAAGAGTGAAAAAGACTAAAAAGATAATAGGATAAACCAGCGGATCTTAATCTTCAAGCACTACAAGTTCTTAACAAAGTACAAGTTTATCAAAATAAACCTCAGGAAGTAGTTCATCAACTTAAAACTAAAAAGACACAAAAGTAAAGGAAGGTGATTTGCTTTAATAAGGAAATAAAGGTTAAGGTAATGGTTAAACTAGCAATGATGCAGGTGAAGAAGATATTTATGAAGAAGTAGAAATAGTTGAACCAGATGGGAAAGGAGGATTTAAAAGAATCAAATAAATGGTTAAAAGAAGAGTGAAAAAGACTAAAAAGATAATAGGATAAACCAGCGGATCTTAATCTTCAAGCACTACAAGTTCTTAACAAAGTACAAGTTTATCAAAATAAACCTCAGGAAGTAGTTCATCAACTTAAAACTAAAAAGACACAAAAGTAAAGGAAGGTGATTTGCTTTAATAAGGAAATAAAGGTTAAGGTAATGGTTAAACTAGCAATGATGCAGGTGAAGAAGATATTTATGAAGAAGTAGAAATAGTTGAACCAGATGGGAAAGGAGGATTTAAAAGAATCAAATAAATGGTTAAAAGAAGAGTGAAAAAGACTAAAAAGATAATAGGATAAACCAGCGGATCTTAATCTTCAAGCACTACAAGTTCTTAACAAAGTACAAGTTTATCAAAATAAACCTCAGGAAGTAGTTCATCAACTTAAAACTAAAAAGACACAAAAGTAAAGGAAGGTGATTTGCTTTAATAAGGAAATAAAGGTTAAGGTAATGGTTAAACTAGCAATGATGCAGGTGAAGAAGATATTTATGAAGAAGTAGAAATAGTTGAACCAGATGGGAAAGGAGGATTTAAAAGAATCAAATAAATGGTTAAAAGAAGAGTGAAAAAGACTAAAAAGATAATAGGATAAACCAGCGGATCTTAATCTTCAAGCACTACAAGTTCTTAACAAAGTACAAGTTTATCAAAATAAACCTCAGGAAGTAGTTCATCAACTTAAAACTAAAAAGACACAAAAGTAAAGGAAGGTGATTTGCTTTAATAAGGAAATAAAGGTTAAGGTAATGGTTAAACTAGCAATGATGCAGGTGAAGAAGATATTTATGAAGAAGTAGAAATAGTTGAACCAGATGGGAAAGGAGGATTTAAAAGAATCAAATAAATGGTTAAAAGAAGAGTGAAAAAGACTAAAAAGATAATAGGATAAACCAGCGGATCTTAATCTTCAAGCACTACAAGTTCTTAACAAAGTACAAGTTTATCAAAATAAACCTCAGGAAGTAGTTCATCAACTTAAAACTAAAAAGACACAAAAGTAAAGGAAGGTGATTTGCTTTAATAAGGAAATAAAGGTTAAGGTAATGGTTAAACTAGCAATGATGCAGGTGAAGAAGATATTTATGAAGAAGTAGAAATAGTTGAACCAGATGGGAAAGGAGGATTTAAAAGAATCAAATAAATGGTTAAAAGAAGAGTGAAAAAGACTAAAAAGATAATAGGATAAACCAGCGGATCTTAATCTTCAAGCACTACAAGTTCTTAACAAAGTACAAGTTTATCAAAATAAACCTCAGGAAGTAGTTCATCAACTTAAAACTAAAAAGACACAAAAGTAAAGGAAGGTGATTTGCTTTAATAAGGAAATAAAGGTTAAGGTAATGGTTAAACTAGCAATGATGCAGGTGAAGAAGATATTTATGAAGAAGTAGAAATAGTTGAACCAGATGGGAAAGGAGGATTTAAAAGAATCAAATAAATGGTTAAAAGAAGAGTGAAAAAGACTAAAAAGATAATAGGATAAACCAGCGGATCTTAATCTTCAAGCACTACAAGTTCTTAACAAAGTACAAGTTTATCAAAATAAACCTCAGGAAGTAGTTCATCAACTTAAAACTAAAAAGACACAAAAGTAAAGGAAGGTGATTTGCTTTAATAAGGAAATAAAGGTTAAGGTAATGGTTAAACTAGCAATGATGCAGGTGAAGAAGATATTTATGAAGAAGTAGAAATAGTTGAACCAGATGGGAAGGGAGGATTCAAAAGAATCAAATAAATGGTAAGAAAAAGAGTTTAAATAACAAAAAAGAAAACTGAAGGATCTGGATCAACATCATCATCAAGTTCCTCAAGATCATCTAGCTCCTCAAGCTCTTCTATCTCATCAACCTCTACTAGTTCATCAAGTTCTTCTGTTTCATCAAGCAAGAATATTTCTGGAAGTACTTAAAAATCTACAGACTAAGCGGCTTAAAGTAAACAGAAGGTAAGTCAATCTGTAGCTGACAGATTAACTTCAAAATATTCTGAAGCTGAGTAAAAAGAACAAGGATAGATTTCAAGCAGCTCGAAAAATTAGTAAGTTATTTCTGGTGGATAAAGCAGAAGTAGCACTTAAAAAGAAAGTGTAAGTAGTAATAGTTAGGGCTAAAAATCTGCTTAAAGTTAGACTACCAAGCAATCATCATCGAGCAATAAATAATCTTAGGCCTAAGGATAAAATACCAGTAAATCAAATAAGAAGGTTGTGAAAACTGAGGATGGAGAGGAAATATGGGAAGAAATTTCTGTAGAGGAAGTGACTGAATACACGATAGATTCTGATGGAAATACCAATATTATCTCTTAAACAAGCACATAAATTCCAAAAACAAAATCCTACTTTTTAAACTCAATTGGAGATTAACAAATCAATCTTGATATTGAATAAAATGATGATAATGGCTCATAAATTTCATTAGAAAAAGCGCAAAATGAATCTTTTTCTAATGAAGATTCAATAAACAATCAAGATGATTCAAACTATGATTATCTTTACGAAAAAGATGGAGATAATTAAGATGAAACTCAATAAATTAATGAAGTCTAATCAGAAAATGAACTTGACAATTATGAATAATAGAATAGAGAAATAACTAAAGATCTTTTATTAGATAACGAATAGGATTATATCTATTATCAAATAGATGGAGATCAAGTAATTTATTATGAATACGATCCTTAAATGAATGCTTACCATCGAGTAAATATGATTGATCCAGAATAAAAAAAATCTCTTATCATCTAAGATTCTTAATTTGATGATTTATTGGATAGTGTTATAGATGAGTAAATAGATTAAAAAACTTTGCCAACAGAATAGATAACTGGATAAGAAACACAAAATAAATAAGATCAAAAAAACTAATAAAATTAATAGAAATAAGAGGATCCAAAAAAAAGTGCTGGGAATATTTCGAATAATTAAGAAGAATCTAGCAATTAAGTTAAACCTAATGATAATTTAGGTCAGCCTGCTAAAACTGAAAAGCAATAAAATGAATAAAGTGATGTTTAAGTTGCAGTAGACAACTCGAAATTAAAAGTAGATTAAAATACGGAGCAGGATTAGAATAAAGGAAAAAATGAATAACAAAAAGGTGATTAGAAAAAAGAAAATATTGGAAATATTGTTAATGATCTCATAAATGAAGAAAAATTGAAAATAGAGGGTATAAGTGTTGAGAAAAAACAAGTAGAAGTAAAGGATGATAAAGAGAAATCTTTAAAAATTTAAACATTGAAAGAAGAGTTCAATCCTAATGAACCAACATAGTATGAACCACCAAAACATAAAGTTAACACAAGGCCAAAGACAGACAAGGTCAATGTACCAGTTTCAACAAAATATGTCAAATCATCTTATGATGGAGAAGTAGCCGAGTAATATGAATTTGCAGATAGAGAGCTTCTTTAGGATTCTGATGAATATGGGTATGGATTTTGGATGAGATACACTTCAAATGAACCTAAAGTGCATACAAGGAAACCAGAAACCTATTATTTTTTATCTCGACTAACATCAAATCAAGAATATAAAGACTTAACTTACTATGGGGACAGAACTTTAGCTGTTTTTATAATAGAGAATTCTTTTGTTTTTTCAACCTATGATCATTATGAAAAGAAAAAAGTGAAAGATTAGATTGTGGCCCTAAATGAAGATTTAGATAGCATGTGGTTTTTTATCTCATTCTCTTACAGTTCAGCTAAGAAAGCAGCTGTAGGATTTGTTTTTGGATATGGGGATAATAATAAGGTTTTGAGGGGTGAAATTTAATGCAGACATGTTCCACCTTAATATTTTAAACTCATGATTGGTGGAAAACATATGTCTTATGAAGGATTAAATGGACAATTTGCAAATATCTTTTATGATATTGATGCTCCAGCATTTCTAGACACTGAAGCTAAAGTTAGAGAAATCATAAAAACTATTTCCAATGTTCCCTAATAAGTTACAAATTTAATTGATCTAGAAGTACTAACAACTCCAAAACTATTTAATGCAAATACAGCAAGCGATTCTGTAATATTAGATCCTTAAGAGTCTTAATTGATTATAGAGGAGTATAGCGTTGCAGCATGGTTTAGATGGATTGATGACTTGAAGGTCGATAGCGAGAATACTTTCTAAATCTTTAATTTAAGATCAAACGAAAAGAAATCTTAAGGAAAAGGAATATTAGGAGACAGATCGCTTGAATTGCATTACATTTATGGAGGAGGATCTAAGAGTTCTGTATACTTTAATACTTATACTATTGAAGGCAATAAAGCAAAAGGATCAACATACTTATCAAAAACTGTATAATCTCCTAACTATATATGGCATTATGGTTATATGGCTTACGATAATGATAAAATGAAAGTTTATGGGGCTTTGATAAGACCAGGAAAATCTGATGAGATTAGTTTTGATCCAATTCAACACAAATTGATAACAAAATTATACTTCACTCTAGGAGGAGATGATTAAATATCCCCTTTTAATGGGAAAATTGGATATGCAGGAGTATACTTAGGGCCAGGATCATATCGACAAGCACTTAATTTTGGTTAATAGTTTTAATATGGAGATGGTGCAATGAATGTATTTTAATTAATGAAACCAATATAATATAAAGATGATGCATTAGAACCTAATGTAGTAAGAGATTGTGTTTATGATGCTGAAAATTCATTAGTAGACAAGATTCTGATTCATGACGACTCTAAATTAAAAATAAATGGTTAAAGTGAATATTCTTTTGGAATGTGGACTAGATGGTTGAGTACAATGCCCAAATATTTAGTATAACGAGGAGAAGTTCACAATATTGCTAGATTTGGTACATAATCATATCTGATCGAATCAATAGATGGAAAATTAAAACGAGCAAATACAAGGCCATAAACACCTAAGGATCAAACCTTAGCTGTGACACTAAGCAGAGAAGCATATGAATTCTATACGTATAGTGCTAAGGATGAAATACAATTTACCAAATTAGAAGGTTGGTGGAATTATGTTTATTTTGGATATAAAAGATTTGGAGATAAGGGCACAGCAAGAGGATATGTACAATTTGGTGTAGACGGAGAGATTAAGGAGGTTACTTTTGATATTTTACATGATTACATTTTGGAATATGTTGAATTCGTTGTTGGTAAATCTTAGGCTCCATTCTTTAATGGTTAAATGACCAAAATATAATGCTCAATAGGGCCTGGAGCATTTTTGTCAAGTGCCGATAATCTAAGGTTATTTACTCAAAATACATTGCCAGAAAAAGCTTAGATACATCCAGTTTCAAGATAAACGTAACAATTAATTGGAACACCAGTAAATGAGCCATCGAACTAATTTTAATTTGATAAATTCTAAGGATCTCTAGAATATGCATTATCTGGATGGGTGAAATGGAGTGGTTTATAAAAATTAGGTAAGGTATATCATATTATCACAATGGCTTAAAAGAGATTAGCTGATTTGGATGGGAAAAATGAAGAAACTCTTAAAATTCGTAGATCTGATCTGTCATATATTTATTCTACATATAATTGTAAAGGTGAAGACTGTTCATAAATATTAAATAAGGAATAACAATTTGGAGAATATTGGGATTAATGGACTTATATCTATTTTGGTTATTCAACTCCATTAAAAAAAGCTTTCGGTTATATAAAATATACCTTTACAGATGAAAAGTTTTTGTTAGAAGAGATTAATCATTTTTATCTAGCAGTTTTCAGTATCATAATAGGAAATGACTAAGAAAAATTCTAAGGATAAATGAAAACTTGGGTAATTAATATTGGAGAAGGATCTTTTAGAGAAGGTGGATTTGAAAGTGATGAAAATATAAAAGTACATTTTGGCTTCATAAGTGGCACTGATCATATTAAATTGTAACAGGCAGGATAAGAAGCTCATCATGAAGAATAAGTTCTTGAATGTACAGCTAATGGAAAAGAAGTACCTTTGCATGTTCAATTTGAACAAAGTGATAAACTACATCTTTAAGGAGTCAGTGAATATGGTTATGGATTTTGGTCCAGATTTTAACACTTTGCAAACAAGGGTGTTTTATATTAGTAACCATAATGGATGGGTATGGCTAGATTGACAAGTTAAAAAGATTATAAAGATTTTGATTAACCAGGAGATAGAGTTCTATTGGTTTTGATGGGTAAAAATGTTTATCATTTCTCAACTTACAATGTGTAACCAGCTTCAAATAATGTAAATGGAAATATACCTTATGCATTGGAATCAGAGAGTGAATGGACTTATATTTATTTTAGTTATAAGAGAATTTCTTAAACACTTGGACATGCAGTAGCCTTTACTTCATTTGGCGAAATCACACCTGGAATATAAATGGATGTATTACATAATTTACTCTAAAATTATTTGTAATTAACAATAGGACATGCTGGCAAATATTATCCAAGCTTTAATGGACAAATCACTACAGTGAGGTTCAATTTAGGACCTGGAGCATTTATTGAAAATACTGCAGGCATAATAGCTAGAATTAAGAATAAAGATCCTAAGCCAGATATTCTATCAATTCCTAAAAATTATGAAATATTTGTTGGTAAATAAGATGCTTAAAAACTGAAAATTGACAATCCTATAATAATTGAATAAGAAGCTAGAGAATACTCAGTGTAAATATGGTTCAGATGGTTCAAGACACCAGTAAAACCCAACTAGGTGATTTATAGACTGTCTTCAAATAGATGTGAAAATGATGCCTCAAAGATTGGTGATAAAGTGTTAATGTTATCTCACATTGGAACTGCCTTATTCAGTACATACACTTTGTAAGATGCAGTAATGAATGTTCCCTTCGAATGTAATATTCCAAAATAATAACTTGAAATTTGGACATTTGCTTATTTTGCTTATTCAAAGAAGGAAAGAAAAATTCAATATTATTTGAAAGCAGATGCTCATGAAAATAGAGGTTTGGAACCCATACTTCATGCTGTAACGTCAAAGTTTTGGTTTTATGTAGGAAGAGACGGAATATTGGAAAATTTTAATAGTAGACTAGCACAATTAACAATTAATTTTGGTGAGGGTTCATTCCGTAAAGAAAACTTTTTATAATTGCCAGTTTTTATAATGGCTTCAAAACTATTCTCGTAAGAGAAGAAGAATAATTGGGAAAATGCAGGGAAGATAGTTCTTGGTTAGCCTTAAACTATAAAATTCATCGATGAACCAGACAAACCAATTGAATCAATGTAGGAATACAGCATAGGATTCTGGTGCAGGCTGTTACAAGCATGGCCAGAAAGATTGTATAAATTACCATAGGAAATGTAATTAGTTAGATTGACTTCAAACGAATAGATTGAAGTAGGTAAAATTGCTATGGGAGATAGGATATTGGCTTCTCATGTTGTTTAAGGACATTATTAATTTTCTACTTATGATTTGAATGATGATGCCCCTAATGAACTAAGAACTATAGCTTATTCCAAATTAGAGGGACAATGGAATTATATCTACATGGGTTATTAAAGAATGAGTTAATTAGCTTCATATTTTGTATATGATGGAAAAGATATATAGTAAATTAAAAATTAAGATTTACTTCATAAGCCTTTAGGAGACTTTGTAATTTTACATATAGGAGGTGAACCAGATATTCCTGGTTTCTAAGGTTTAATGAGTAAGATGTCAGTAAATTTTGGGGTTGGATCTTTCTTTGGGTTGGTTGAAGATGTAAAGAAAGCAATTGATAATTCTTTTGCTCTTGATTAGTAATTGACTATTGACTATATTCATAAGTAGAAACATGGACAATAAGAATTGATTGGTAAAATGGAAACTGTGACAGATGATGTCGGTGGTACAGAATTAAGAGGGGATACTTGGTCATCTGTTGGTGAATATGCAATCAGTGGGTGGTTCAAGATTACTGAAGTTAAGGGATAAAGTGCCAATGATTGTCAAATTCTATTTAGAGTTACAAATAATGATAAAGAGCATTTGAATGACAAAAGAATTCAAGGAGATAGAACACTTTATGCCTCTGTTTGCGTAGATTCTATAAAATTATCCACTTACACAATAAATGGATTGAAAGATTGGAATGAAGCTAAGTTTTTAGAAGAAAAGATAGAACTTGGTCATAACAAAAAAGCATGGATTTATATATATATGGGTTACAATGAAGATATGTAAGAGGTTCATGCATTATTACATTTATTCGATAATGATAAACCAATTGTATTCAAAGGAGTCTAACACTATGTACCACATTACACTGGAATATACATAGCCAAAGATCCATTCACTAAAAGATTCTAAGGAGATCTTTAAAATTGGGTGGCCTAATATGGGTTAGGAGCTTTTGTAAGTATTCAAAAAAGAGGTTATGAAGATATATTGCCAAATTACAGAGCTTAATCAACTAATCAGAAATACATGTGGTTTAACAAGGAGGAAGGAGTTATGGAAACCGAAAAGGCTATAACTTAAGTCTTCACAACTGAAGTTGAATCTGTTGATGAATATTCTATAGGTGTTTGGACAAGATGGTTAATATCATTTCCAACAACCCTCACTGAAAGATAAGAAAGACATAATATTTTCAGGTTTTCATCTAATAAAGAAGACTAAGACAAAAGTGAATTAGGAGATAGAGTCCTGACAGCTTTTTTAACTCTTGGAAATTATGAATTTAGTACTTATGATGTACTCAAAACATCAAATTCTGTTGATGGCAAATTACCATATACAGAATTAGAAGGTGCTTGGACTTATGTTTATGCAGCTTATAAAACTGGATAATTCTATGGAATGGTTTTGTTTAGAGAATAATAAAAAGCTTAACACATTGAATTATAAGTCTAACATAGAGCTTTAACTGGATATGCTAAGTTTGTTTTGGGAGCCAAAGAGTTTGGATTTAGAGGATTTCATGGATGGTTGTTTGATCCAAGAATTTTCCTTGGTCAGGGATCTTTCATTAGTGAAAGCTAGAAGGTTGTTGACATGGTACTCAAATTGCATCGCAAATTACCAGTTCAACCTCTCGACGCTGAAGATTTTAAATGGCCTGTCTAAATGATTGATACTACACTTCAAGATGATATCAACGACAAAAAAGATAAATTTTAATTTACATTCAATGACAAACCAGGCTTGGTAGAATATTCATTTGGATTCTGGATGTAAAATGCTGTCTTAACTCCTGAATTAACTGATGAATATAGAGGCCTTGTTAGATTATCAACTAACAATGAAGGATCCGATGAAAGATATATTGGTGATAGAACTCTTGCATTATTTACTAAAACTGATGAAATTGTTGCTAGTACTTACACTCTCAAAGATCCTACTTTTGAGCCAGTTAGCCATGCTTTCAAACTAATACCATATTAGTGGACATTTGTCTACTTTGGTTATAATCCAGGAAAGGCTAGAGCTTATATATTAGGAATTAAGGGACCAACTGAATAAATTTTGACTGTTAAACACGCCATTCCGAATGCCTTCTATTTAAATTTAATTAAAGATTAGTCTCATCCTTTGTTTTATGTATACAATTTAATCTATATCTTAGGGTAAATTCTATGGATTTAAACTTTTGTTTGGATAGGGTAGCTATTTGGCAAATCCTTAAGAAATGATAGAAAAATGGCCTTATGATCCTAAAGTACTACCACCAGCTCCAAAATAAGAGGAAAAAGTTCTATCACTAAATTCAGCGAAAATAGATAGAGCTTAAAATAAAGATCATGAGTAATTTCATGAATGATTATTTTTGAACTCAAAATTTATACAATTATAAAACAATTAAATAATTTTGAAGCTAAGTTTATTCCAAAAAGAAAATTAAGAAATAATAATTTTTAGTCAATCTATCCTAAATTGAATGAAGGTTCTTTTGATGAATATTTTTTTTATATTTTTAATAAAATTCTAATTTAATGAATAATAATGGCTTTATTGTATATATAATTGGTACAACAGCAGCAGGAAAGACAAACTTATCTTTGAATTTAGGAATAGACAATTATGAGATTATATCTTGCGATTCAATGCAAATTTACAAAGAAGCTAATATTATGACTGCAAAAGCCACAGCGGCAGAACAGGCAATAAAAAAGCATCACGGAATTGATTTGTTAGATTTATAATCTGAAGGATTTAATCGAAAATAATGGAACAATAGTAAGAACTCTTATTAACTCCATTTTAGTGGCAATCTAAAAAATAGAGGAATTATAGTCAAAAGCAAAAATTCCGGTCTTAGTAGGAGGCACACATTATTACATAGAATCAATATTATTTAATTAAGAGACAGAAGATAAATAAATGATTTAGGTAGCTGAATTAAACTTAAATGGAAAAGAGCCTTATTAATTTTTAAATGAGATAGATCCTTTGGCTGCTGAAAAATTTCATCCAAATGATCATAGAAGAATTATAAACTCAATTAAATTTTATCAAACTACAGGATAATTACCATCTGAATAGTTAGATCATCATTCAGATTAATGTAAATTAAGAAGCAATAATTTCTTAATACTTTGGCCTAAATGGAAGAAAAGTGAAGATTTAAAGATGAAAGTTACTGAAAGGATAAATGAAATGCTTGATTAAGGAGGTATAGAAGAAATATTAAGAATATTCGAAATATTACATAACAATTAAAATTAGGTTGGTGGAGTACTATAAAGTATAGGATATAGATAATTCAATAAACTTTATTAATATTATAAAGAATCGGGGTTGCAATTTCCAAATGTCGATGATAAATTTTAAGAACTATTAAAAGAAGGGACAGAAAGATTAATTAATGATACAATGGCTTATACAAAAAAATAAATTTAATGGATCAAAAATAGAATTTTATGCAATTCGAAAATTGATATTATAGCTAATAGATTATTTTTATTGGAATTTGAATCAACTCAAACTTTTAAAGAGTAGGTTGTAATTCCAGCATAAAAAATTTATAGTTTGTTTTGTTAATTATCTTAAGATGATAAATTAGGGGATGAGTAATTTAAAATAAGTTCATAAAAATTAGAAAATATTTTAACAATAACTCCTTAAATGATAGAAAAGTATAAATAAACTCAAAAACTAAAATCAAGAACAAATTGGAAAAAATAAGTATGTAAATTATGCAATAAAACAATGAATGGACCGTTTGAAATTGAATAACATTTTAAGTCCCGTTACCATAAATTAAATCTTTTGAAAGATGCAAAATTGTAAAATAAAAAACAAAAAATAGATTGATTGTTATCATGATATTATGTTAAAATTTTATAAATAAGTTAAAAAAAAAGAAAAAGTTTAATAATTCGATTTCATAGAGCGTAAAGGTATCACAACATACTAAAACTCTAATTTCTAATAATAAAATATATAAATCAATAAAAGCATATTATTAAACACGAAAAATAGTGAACCTCATTAAAATCAAGGTAATATTTTTGTATTTTAAATAACTAATAGGATCATAGATAGGTAAATAAAGCTGAATTATAAATAGAAATAATCGATACAGAAGATAAAAAAGAGTTTATAAATAAAATATTAATATATTATGAACCAAAAATAAAACCGAATCCTTTATTCTCAGGGTAATATGACCACAAGTGCAACCTAGTCTCCATCCTAAAATATAAACTATAATGATGCAGGGTAAGAGTTCAATAAATTGTATAAGAGAGCTACTGGATTTGAAACTGAATTAAGTTCGGAAAATAAACCGATATCAGGCTGATAACATCAAATTGCTGAAGTCTCGACTGAATCATATTTAACACCAAGATTTGAATTGTTAGAGAAATATTTCTAGAACAAGTAATGAAATTTAATCAATTATTTCTACAAAATCTAGAGTCAATGAGGACTAGATGAGAAAGGTACATATTTGAACTATTATTTATATGATTAGTAATACCTTGATGAGATTAGATAAAAGAAACTTGAAGAATATTCATAAAGAGCCAATATGTCCAAAATGGAGAGAATAAAAAGAAGCTAAAACGTTGAAAACTGTAAGATATAGAAGTATTTGATAGAGAAATAATTATATTCTGAAACTCATTCTTTCTTAAATAAAGAATATAAAACGAATTTATCTCAAGCAAAATTATAAACTTGGAATGAAATCTATGGGACTAATTGCAAATCTCACAAACAAATCAGATAGGCTCATCTTTAACATCAATAGGATAAAATCATCTAATTATAAATGGTATTATGAATATTAATTTTAGAAATAATAAGAAGGATCATATAATTATAAATAGAAGATTATAAAAGAGGCTTTGTAATTTAAAGAAAGACAAATGAGAGTCACAGAATTAGAAGAGGCAGAAGAACAATATTTGATGAAACTAAAAGTCACTCAAAGTAAGAACCGATCTATGAGTGCTAAAAAAGAAGAGATAAGGAGAATACCTGCCGAGAAAATAACAATTAGCAAAAATAATCTCTTTAGAATAAATTGATTTTATATGGATAAAGAATTTTAATGTTGTTAATGTTAACATGAGTTTAATTTACAGGATAGAAGTCCCCATGTTCTTCCATCCTGTGGCCATTCAATATGTTAGTTATGTGTGACATAATATTTTTAATCACAATTGAAGCTGGTTTGCAATGAAGATAAGTAAATTGAATCACAAATTAAATTAAGCATCGAATGCCAAGTTGACAAAGAATTAAAATTCTTTCCTATTAATCAGAGCATTATTGTCTTACTGAAAAAGAAGAGAACTGTTCATAAATGCCATACTTATGTAACTCCAGAGGATGCAATTCCTCGAATTTCAGCTTAGGATGTTAGTGAATTTTCAGGTGATGGTCATCAAAATTTTCAACTAAGTAAGAACATGTCTCAATCACATTCATTTGAATAATTGCCATAAAAAGATAATTAAGGAGATTAATGTTCCATTCACTTAAAACCATTAGAATTAGTTTGTTAAGAAGATGGCGAATATATTTGTGTTAATTGTGCTTTATTCGGAAATCATAAGTTTCACAATTATAAACCCATTGATGACTATGTGAAGGAGATGGAATAAACATTTTATGATATAACAACAATGTATGAAGTTGTAAAATAAATGAGAACCAAAATCGAACAAAAGGCATACTCTGAAGAATTTGAATTTAAGTTACTATAATCAAAGGATGCTAAATTGTTATCAATAGATATAAAGTTTAATGAATTATTTGATGAATTAAATTTAATAAAAGAAGAAATTAAATCAAGAATTTCAAATAATTACAACTTATAATATGATGATAACAAAAGAAAAATAGAGTTAGAATTTGCTTAACTAATAAATCAGGCAAATAAATGGCTTTAATTAACAGGAAATAAATTAAACGATTTCTTTGTTGAAAAATGTCAAAATCAAAAATTAAAAATGGATGCAAAAGAGTTATGTAATAGTAAAGAACATGGTTCCGAATTGATTAATAAAATATAACTCTAATTTTCTTAAATTGATTCTCAAGTCAAGTTTATAGCTGATTAACAAAAATTCTAAATTCCAATTGAGTACATTAAAAACTAATTTTCCCATTAAAATAAACAACTTGACTAATTATTATTAGATAAAGATGATAAATTAACAGATTCAGATATCATTTATCAAGATATCAATGATGAAAAGTTGACATAATCAATGTATATTTCATAATAGCCAACTTAACCTGCATCTCCACAATATAATGTCGGTAAAACTAATTATTTCAGCCATACCTTTACACCAGGATAATTCTAAAGAAAAGATAGAAGTGTAACAATGTTATAAACAGAACCCTCAGAAGTATCTGCACCAAACACTAACAGAAATAAATTATCATCATCCAAATTTGTTAAAGTCTAAAAATTTAATAAGGACCCAAAACTAAATGATAAAATTCTTAATACTCTTGCCATGTTCGAAAAATTCGAAATGATTGATTTCTCTACTCTTGGTAATAATTAAAATATCTTAGAAATGAATGAATTGTTGATTTAAGCTATCAATGAAGCATTAAAAAATAAAAAAATTGTCAAAGTCTTAAAATTGAACAAATGTAAATTAACTGATGACCTTTTTGCCAAGTTAATCTAAGTCATCGAAGAATCTAGGTATTGAGGTTAAGTATATTTTAAAGTGTTACAGCATTACATCTCCAATCCAACACATTAACTGAAAAAGCATTAGACTAAATATTAAATATTGCCAAATTAAAAAAGCATTTAGAATGCAAATAAATATATTTGAATGGAAATGCCAGTATCACCTAAGGGAAATCTAGAAAAAAAATTGAAGAAATTAAAAAGTATGGTATCTATGTGAGTATTTGAAATTTATTTTATTTATTGAATTTTATTTCTTTCTTTCTTCTTGATGTGAAAAGTTATTATTGTTGTTCTTAATTAAAAAATTGTTTAAAAGAATATGATATGATATTCAAATTCAAAAATTTTTATGATGTTTAAATTATAAATAAATTCATCTTTATTAGAAAATATTAATTAGAGAAAAATATATTTTATAATATATGAATATTTTTTGTCAAAAAACAAATCCAAAATGTTGGCAAAAGCTAGGAAAATTCAAATTTAGAAGGATGGTCAATTATAATGATAATTTGTTGCAATAGTTTTGAATGGATTTTCATATTTCTAAATTTTTTAAGGAAAACTAAATGGGTATTCTTTAGACAATTTATTATTTTTTTTATATTAACCAAAAGTATATTGTAATCCTTTTGTTCAAGTAAGTCAATGAAATAAATAATATTATGTTAAATTAATCAAATATTATAAGCTCCATATCCCCTTAATTAAACTAACTTGAAAAGTTTGGAAACTGCTAAATTAGTAAATCAATTAATAAATAAGTTTTATTTTATCTAAAAACTCATAATTATTAAAAAACAATAATTGATAAATATTCACGATGAGGAATAAGTTAAGACACAATTTTGATTTTATAATCTTCTAAATCATTTATGACCTTGATTCTCAAAATTTTGATTATCGAAATGAAATATATAGTAAAATTTTTGATGTTCATATTATATTTGTTGAATAAATCTATGGGCTGCAACATTTAAATGTATATTTTATAGTAATTGATGATATCATTATTTATTTTATAGTCTTATTTTTATTATTTAAAATATTTTCAAAATAAAAAATTCCTAATCTAGTGAAGAATCAAATTTATATTTTTAAGCTTTTTTCTTTAATATTTCTCAATTACTTTAAGTTATTATCAAATTTTGTTCTTACGGACTAAAATAAATCAATCCATCAATACTATTAATTTTTTATGATTGAAGTAAAGTTTATATAATGAGTTAAACTCTTATAAGAATCTTAATTATTTTTATATTTATTTCAACTATGTTAAGATACAAATAAAATCTCCTATATATTTTGTTTAAAAAAAAAATGGTTTTCTTTAAAATTGTGAATAATATTCAACATCCTTATTTTTTATCAGTAAAATGACCTTTTTGATGCCCTGATTTCTTATTTTACTATCCATAAGTAAAATTTAGAGACTTGCTTTAAAAACCACCCTATTTTAATTTCAGGTAATTTTATTCGAAATACTTTATTATAACTTTTTATAGATAAATCTTTAATAATGTTAGACTAAAAAACCAAAATTCATATTATTATGAGTTTTTAAATTCAAGATTTACATTTTTGAATGGGTTTTTTAATCAATTCTAGTCTCCCCCTTTTATTTGACCAGAATACTACTATTCTTTTTAAATATAAATACTCCATTTTTTAGCTTGATTTATAATTGTTTTGAAGCTTAAATTTATTAATTTCAATTTTTTTTTTAATTAATTGTAGCTTTTGGACTCATGTAATTAGTAATTTTCTCTTTAGTTAAAGTCGACTTAAATTTAAAATGTCATTTTATAGTTTTATAAATAAATAATATTGGTGCAATATAACCAAAATATGAATTCAGAAAAACATAAATAAAGATTTTAATTCTAATTCTAAATTTTAAGAAATAAATGAGTTAAATTTCTGAGTTCGAAAAGCATAGAAATATTGATCAAATCAATTATTTTATTAAATAATTATAATGATGAGAAATATTACCTGCTCAGAAATTAGTGGAATATTGAGTTAAATATCAAATCTTAACAATCAATTATGGGGGCTTGACAATAGTTCGAATTCAAAATATTGCTCTTTTTATTCTCAATGGTGGAGACTCATCACTTTTTCAGATTTTGAATAGAATATTACAAATCCACTATATTAGGCTGAAATTGCTACCAGCAATTCAAGTATGAATGAAGTCTTTTTACCTGTATGCTATGCTTATTCAATACTGAGAATATTTATGGTTATTTCAGTTGCATTTTATGTTAGACAAAAGATGAAAGATATTTTTGATTAGTCTTAAAAAAAGTTCACAGACGAGAAATAATCCGAACTTGATTTCTATAAGTGGATGATAAAAATTTCATTATATGTTGAGATTATTTGTGCTTTAGTAATAATTAATATATCGTTTAGAGAGATTTCCTATTATTTAAAGGTACAATTCTTTACTCAAATGTGATGAATACCTTGACAATAAATTGTTATATTGACATTTATAATTAAGGAAATATGACATGCGCTTATGATTCGCCAGAGAAAAATAACTGGAGAAACTTTAGCTATACACGAGAAGAATGCAATTGCCTTTACTTCATACCATAAAAACAACATCCTTATATGATAACTTCAATAGTTTTTTGGATTATCACTGAATCAATAACTTAAGGTTTAGTTGGTTTCACAGTTTTAATCCTAAGTAGATTAAATAAAAAAGAATCATCTGGATGGAATTTTATTAAACCTAGCTTTATTAGATTTATTGTTACAACAATATTAATGATGGTTTTGTATACTGTTCTTATATTTTTATGCAACATGCAAATTTATTATAGATTTTATAGTTTAAGCGTGGTTAGCTATTATTTGTTATAGAAGTGTGTGGTTTTTTTAATAATTTTTGATAAATTGTATAGTAAAGTATGGTTGGAATTAAAATTGAGATTGCCAACATTGCATTCAAGTGGAATTGCATGGTCAAAAACCTTAAATATATTAAAAAAAAGAATTCAGAAACCTGTTGAGCCATCTGAATAAATAAAAGAAAAATACCAATAAAAATATAGATTGCAATATGAATAAACATTAGAAAAATATTTTGATGACGCCATCTAACCAAATTTGGATAGATATGAAAGGGAATATAATGCAAAAATGAAAACTTAATGGTATGATTATTTGAATTATATTTTATTAATTAATCTAATAGGGATAATTGGATATATCTTTATTGCTTCATATGGTTTATTTCAGGAAGATGTATAAGGCTCATCGAAACATGTTCAATATGGTTATTTGTTTTGGATAGGGTTTATATTAGCACTTGTGGAATTGATTGTCTTTGAAGTATCTAATGTTGTTTTTTAATTACATTGTTTTTTAATCGAGCTCTATAAATAATGCGAAGAAGAGTGTAGTGCAATCGATACCAATTAACAAGAAAGTGGAATGATAACTTTATTCAATTGAAATAAATCATTTTATAAAATAATAATCAGTCAATCAATAATAAAGTTTGGATTCTTTTTTTATTTTAACCAATTAAAATCTTAAACCAACCTAATTGTAATAATTTTTATCATTATTTACTTATATAGAAAATGATAATTTCGTGCATCTCTCAATGATAGGATTTGATGTAACAAGATTCTAAATATGAAAACTAGGTGTTATGAATTCTCAATTAATTCATATTTCCTTCAAACTAACAATCTTAACATTTATCAACCCATCCACTACCTTTGACAATTCCAAATTTCACTTTAACATTTTTAAGACTATCCAATAACATGGATAACGATCCTCAAACACTAAATGAAGTATTTTCTAAGTTTTTCAACAAGAGAAATTCATCTTCTAATGATTCTTATTAATTCTATTTAGTTATAACTAAAAATCATTTTCTAATAAATTTAATATCTCTCTATAAAATTTAGTTTGTTATTTGAGTCCCTTTTGGAAATGATTGATCTAATAGAGAGAGAAGATTACACATTCTAATTAGTTTAATTACTTGAAATATATTTATTATTTAAATTGCTATTTATCATATCGAATAATGCATAAATGATGTCTACATAATATTGAAATAAAAGTTAAAACTTGTCAATTAATTATCGATTTTATGCTTCAGTCTAAATAGTCCTCTCATTTATTGGATTTAGGGTCTAGTGATTATAAAAATATTACTTTCATAAAGTTGTCGAACTCTTTTTAAACATGCAATTATAGTTATTTGGGGTCTTTGGTTTGAAGTTTATACTCTCATCTCTTTTAAAGTCTTTAATTTATTTTCTTGCTTAATTAAATAGGCTTCAAATTACTTTTTTCTTAACTACTGTTGTTAACTGAGTTTACTGCTTGATATCTCATAATTTTCTTTTAAAATTGAATTATAATATTTAATTCAAAAAATATCAAATGCTTCTGTTTAGAATTCTGGTGTTTCTTTTTATTTCCAATATTCTTACCCAAATGAATATTTTCCATTCCTTTATAGAAACCATCGAGGAATATGGTCTTTTTTTTATTCCTATAGTTCTTTTCTGGCTATTCGTTATTTTTATTCTAATCTTGTTTTTTCAATTGCTGCAAAATCAACATTACTGTTTTCTAAGGCTCTCTAATCAGGTCTAAGTCTAGTATCTGTGGGTGGCAAAGTTTTTAATAATTATCTATTTAAATGATTTAATTGTAATGCAAATCGCGTGAAATAATACTACTAATCAGATGTTTAAGGTAAAGCATTACGAACCCAGACAATTTTAGACATTCCAGCAACTGTAATACTTATTTCTGAATTCCATTTACCTTAAATGATACAATACTACGTTCCTTATTTGTCTTTAACGAATCCTTTTAATTGATATGATGCCTCAGAAGATCCCTCTATTAATTTTAAAGTTCCCGTATCTCCAGTTGTCTCATTCTTGAATTTAATTTCTCCATAATGGTCTAAATATTATGGTCCCATAATCAAGTTTTTAAATGAAGACTTGCATTTTTGATATGTTATTTGATCTAAATTTTTCTTCAATTTAATATTAACCCAACCTAAAGGTGTCACAGTAATTGATTTTCCCCAAAAAGATGTAGTCACATTATTATCAGATAGGAATTCAAAATGTTCATTTTCTGCATAACCAATTGATATTGGAGGATGATGTAAGACTTATTCTGAGATATATTTGAACTTAGAACATGTGAATTCAAATGTTTCGCCCAAAATAGGATTAAATGGTTTTTTGACTCTATTTATTGTAGCTGATAATCCAGATGCAGCAAAAATCATTACATATGCTAATCTTTCACAGCTATTGGAAAATGAATCAGCCTAATCTAAGATTTCGGAATACTCTAAATTTTCACACAAATTCTAAAGCATCGATAAAGGTTCATTAAATGTAACTGGAAATGCAATTTTGGTTAGATCTTTTCCTATCATATCTTTTAATAAAGAGACAAATTTAATGCTTTCATTTGAATCCTTAAAAGCAGGTAAGTATTCTCTTGTTTCTTCAATTCCTATTATCATGTCCTTAAATGCTTCGTTTTTGATAAGATTTTTATATTTAATTGGCTAAGGAATTCTAAGTTACTCAAGTATCTAAAACAATGGAGAAACTCCTACAATAGACATTTTCTTAGAAGATAATCTCTTAACTAATTATCTGTCATCATAGAGTTCATTATTGATTGAGTAAAATTCATCTTCATCCATTTTGAAACTCATAAATTATTCAGTAGGTACAAATTCTTCTTCATCAAAATCATCATGATCAGGAGAATTTTGTTCATTAGTTTCTCTTAGTTTCTCTTAAAGCTTTTTACTGATTTCAATCAATTTATTATACTCCTCATCTAATTCTTATGCACAGGCTGTGGTTGTGTGCTAAATTTGCTAAGTCATTTACTTTTAATTCTTATATCAATTGACTAATTTTCGAAGTGTTATTAAGAGAAATCTACTCTTCTAATTATGCTTGCATAATCCAAAATTATGTAAGAGTAGTGTGAATGCGTTTTAGATCTAATTCTGGAGCTCCTTCAATAAAATAGAAAGGGTTTTTCTTTCTCTATAAAAGCATATTATTTTAGGATTTAGATGAATACTAGATAACGATTTTGTTTTACTTTTTATTGAGCATACAGAAGAGCATCTAACCATTTCTATTTCTCTTAAACTGATGAAGCCCTTAAATTCATTTCACTCATTCCATAATTTATGACAATTCTTTGAGGATCTTTAGGAACAGATCTTATTGAACAGATACTTAAATGTACTTAACCTAAATAATCAGAGTACTCTTAACCTTTCTTTGGTGTTCCTTTAGTTTGACAATAAATTAAAGAATCTTCATGCAAAATAAAATAACGATTTTACCATTAATACATGAAATTCACCCATTTCTTTAAATAACCTTCCATAATTTATAATAAATTTATAAGAATTTGCACTTTAATTATAGATGTATTTCAATTCATTTAAATTTAAACATTTACATAATCAGTGATACCTAATTATAAAAAAACAATTAGTCTAAAAACAAACAAATGTGATTTATAATTTAAATTTTATTATAATAATATAATTAATATTTTATATGTCTCAACCGTTAAGAGTAGATGACTTTGTAGATGAACTTAAAAAATATGACAGAAAAGAGGATTTTATGGCAGTAATGAAATCTTATGAACAAAGGTATTCAAAAATAACAATCTAGATATTATGATTAATTTGAACAATTTGCAAATAACAATTTCCCTCCTGAATTATAGAGATAACAGATACCTAAGCAAGAATTTTTATTCAAACAATAACCATAATACTAAAAACCACCTGTTGTTCGTTCAAGTTCAGCAAATAAATTGGATTATTAAGATCAATACCAGATATTTCCCTAATAAACAATTTAACATCCACAAATGCATTAAATACCTTAAAGGCCACCATCAAGAGGGGAAATTTAAGATCCTTTTAAGAGACCGTAAGATTAATTTGACTACAGATTAAGTCCTGTTGCTTAATAGGATCCCTTTAGAGGTTTAAATAAATAATAGTATAATACACAACAAAGAAATCCTGTCCAGATTCCAACTCAATAAGTTCCATTTTCTCCTTTTCAAGTTGCTTAAGGATAACCCTTAGTAAATAACACTTAATAAATGGGTTTACCTTTTAGTAACTAGGTTGGAGTTCCTATTCATAATCCACAGTATCAGAATTATGGAGTTTAATAATAATAATTATATGAATAACCATAATACTAATAACAACCTGTATCATACACAAAAACAGGTCCAAATCAATAATAGTAAATGGATGCCTTTCTTAATGAGATAAAATCTTAAAGGATTTAGAAGCTATAATAATATAAATGAAATATAATACTTATATAAATATTAAAATATTTAAATTAAAAATGATGACACATGATCATATTGCTCCTAAAATTTATAAGAATGAAATCTTAAAATAGAGTAATCTTTTTAGTTAAGAATAGGAAATTCATTTTAAAGAATGGTTATGCTATAAATTAATTAAAAGTTATATTGATAATGAAGTACAAATAAAATATTCCATCATCAATTATGCACTTCCGTGCTTAATCTTTTTATGGGTGGTAGTAATTAGGATAATCTTTTAAATGATTGAGTTTCATTCTTTCTAGAAGTTTATGTTAAAATAGCATTGCTTTTTGATTTTATTGATAATCTTGGTTTTTGTATTGATAAAGCAACAGGTTACTTATAATCCTTGAATAATGGACATCCTTATTCATCATATTCTACTTAGATAACTGGATGATTTAACACTTCCGAACACGAAATTCTTTAATCTGGATTGGGATTCAACATTTTCATTAACAGATTTACTACTATAAAGTCTTATCATAATCATTTACATTATCAATTTCCGAAACAATCTTCCAATAATTTATTGATATTTATATTGCATTCTTTATTTAATTACTTTACATTATTGCCTGAAAAGAGAGGTTTAGTAGTAGTTCTAATTAAATTAATTTCTTATACAATTCATAAAGTAAGTAACCTAAACTAAAAACATCACATTTCTCATTATATGATTTTGATTTGTCCTCCTCACAAATAAATATTTCTGGTGCCATATATCCATAGGACCCACAAAATTAATAAACATTAAGTTATTTCTATATTGTAGAGGATACTCCAAAATCACTAATTAATGGGCCATCTTAAACTGATAAACCGAACTACTTAAGGGAGACAGACTTTCTAAAAAGGATATTCCCTGGTTTTATGTCTCTATGCATCAAACCTCTCTTTCCTTTATTTTAGTACCTATATCATCAATATATTTGATTCCTTTTACAATTTGTCGAAAATTCACTTTCACAGTTTAAAATGGTAATGGTTCTTCTAGTTTTTTAATTCCTTATTCAAGGTTGCCACCTCTGCATAATTAAGTGATTAAATAAATTTGAGCCTTATTTTCAAAGACATCATAAAATTTCAATATATTTTAATGATTCATATATTTCATGACTTTAACTTCATTATCATTTTATACCTATGATTAATTTATTTATTACTCTCCATTAAGTTGGATCTTGATAAAATGAGCATTTTTTTTAAGGAATGTCTTAATTGCTACTTTGGTACCATCAGCCTTTGATTTTCCAATGTAAACACTAGCAAAACTACCACTTCCAATTAATTTTTCAATTTCATAATATTTTTAGTAATCATATAAGTGGTAATTTCTATTTTAGAAATATTTCCCACACCCCTGATAAATCCATAAACTATTACTCTATAGGTTTATGTACAATGTATTAAATTTATTAATTAATATAAAATATTTTTTATAATTCATAAATAATATTTTTTCATATTTAATGTAAAATGTCTGTTTCAAACATAAGATAGTTTTGCAATTTGTTTGACTTAATTTAGAAGCGCAGATAACTACTTAGAGAAGCCATTTTTAAACCCTTTTCAGACTTACTTAATAAGAAAAGTTTGCAATTCGATATAGTTTTGAACCAGATAGGATTAGTGTAATTTTCCTTCCGTTTTTAGTTATGAATTTGGAATTAAGTATTCCAAATGGTGCATCATAAGATTTATTGAAGACCTTTATAATTTGCATATACAATTAATTTTAATATTATTTCCATATTCATATAAAAATATTTTTAATAAGTATTTAATTATTAAATTAGCTCCTAAATTCTATTTTAAATATATTATAAGCAATCATATGTAAATTAATCAATTAATTAAAATTTTGACTAGATATTTATATAACGTCAGCATTATTTGATTTATTCTCACAATAGCAGAATTAAAAAGTTAAATCACTTACATACAATAAATTGACAAATCATTAAAATCCCTTAAGGTACTACGATACTTCTTAAAAAGATGGTCTTTTTGTAGGATCTTTATCCCAACATTTAATCATTAACTCTTTCAAAAATATTGGACATCCAGCCTAAATTAAATTCATATCTGGCCTTCCATTATCTACTGCTACTAATTTCATTATTGCAGGTGGATTAGTGGATAATTGTTTATATGGAGTTTCTCTACAACATATTTCCCATATAACTATCTAAATTTCATAGAACTGTTTATTTTACTGCATATGAATAAACATCAGCTTTTATCGTATAAGGAACATTTTAAAACACTTCTGGAGCCATCCAATGCTAATGTAAAATAAATAATATACAAAAGTTCCTAAGACACCTGTCATTTATTCTCCATTATCTGCTTGCACTCGAGCTAATCCAAAATCTGCAATTTTTATATTTATTCTATTTTAATCATAAGTTTATTCAAGTAATAAACTATTAAATAGTTAGATAAAATTACTTTAAACTCTTAAGATCTCTATGTATTAATGGAGGATTCAATTTATGTAAATGTAACATACCTTCTGCTATTTGTATTGCCATCTTAACCCTTAATTGCCAACTAATTTCTAAATGTTTTTTTCTATGTAATAAATCAAAAAGTGTTCCTCCAGCACAGAATTCTGTTACAATATATAATTCATCTTCTTTTTATGATATTCCCAAAAGCTATACTAAATTTTGATGTCTTTTTATAGTCACTAAAGCTGAGATTTCTCTCCTAAATTCTTTTAAGTGGTTTTCATTTAATTATTGAATTTTCATTTTTTTAATAGCAACTTCTCCTCCTCTCCAATAACCTTTATAAACAGTACAACTACTTCCTGTTCCTATAAGTGTTTCTAATTTTAATTAATCATGATTAATCATCCACTCAGAAACATCTAAGAATTTAGAATATAAATATATACTTTTGCCTTGTTTATTAAAATAATCAACAACTTAGAATGTGTTAGATTATGATAGTATAGGATTATCAAAGAGTATCTATTTCTAATTTTAATTTAGATCAAATTACTCAAAAATATTATTTGATTAAGAATTGGCTGATTATATTCTTTAATTTTATCCATTTGATTTAATTTAATTATCTTAATTTGGTCTCCAATTTAAAAATCCTTCATCATTTAATAATTATTTTGTTAATTAAACATTTTAATTTGATAAAGGAGCTCTTATTTTAGTTTGTTAGAATTCAATATGTTTTTAAGGTAATTGTTCAGATTAATCATCTTCATTTGATTAATTATGCATAATATTATCATCTTCATCATCAGAGAAATCTAATCCCTTGTATTCACCTTATTGTTATTGTTTCGATGGTTTTTTCTTTAATTCTAAATTTTTAAAACTTATAGATTCTCTTTAATTTTCAACAATTGAATTTTATTAGTATTATAAATTTTTTTGATCTTCTTAAATTGTATTTTATTGAGAATTTATACTTTTATTAATATTTGGTATTGCTTCAAATTCAAAATTAAATTAATTTGTTTTTTCTTATTAAAAAATTTAACATGAGATTACTGCTTTTATAGTATTAGAATTTTATTTTTTATATTTAGGTTCTAATTCAATTGCTTCTTCATCATATTCTATTACTTAATTAATCATTATTTCGCCATAACTTTAAGGTAATTTAACTCCATCAATTGACATTTAATAACTTAAGAAATCATTAATATTAAAGTCTCCTCTTTTAGATTAAAATAATGGAACATTTTTTAATGTTTCAACTACATTCTTGGAAGGATCTGGTATTAATTATTAAAACTATGGTATTCTTTTGCAAACAGTAAAGAAATTTGTTGTCTATTAGAAGTTATTCTAATAATCATCTTATAATGTAAGAAAGGCTTATTTAACTTCATTATTATTAGTGGGCTATCCACTAATATAATTAGTACTTTACTTCAAAGCATAAAATATGTGAGTAAAAGTACAAAGAATATTGTATAATTCATCAGCCATTGTTATTGCAAGTCCCAATTATAAGTTTATTAAATTCTATTCTTAAAATTATATATTAGATGTGAAATTTAATAATTATTTCCATAAATTCATCATATTGTTTAATATTGCTATACTTAATTTTTACTTTTAAATTCCATTCATGCTATTGAAAAATGGAATCATAGCATAATTACCTTCAAAAAACTTTAGATAAAATGAATGAAATTTCACTTTTTCCAATAATATAATTGAATACATATACAATAAATTTGTAAAAAACTGTGATCTAAATTTATCTTTAGAACTTTTCATTTAATATTATTCTTAGAAATTTTTAATTCTTTCTAAAATTACATTTGGAGAATATATTGAATTTTATACTGCTATGGCTTCTTAAGGACCTTTTTTAACATAGTTATGTATTAATTATAAAGTCTTAAATGTTACTATTACAGAGTGTAATTATAATCTATTTGATACTTTCTCATAAAATTTAGGAATTTTCTATTTCTTTTACCACGCTTTACAATGAAGATATCTAAAATATTTTTAACAAGGAGCTGCATCAACTTCTTCTAAACATGCAGCCACCCAAAAATCTGTCTTCTAAGCCACTTTACTAACTAATTTTACTAATCTTGTTGATAATGAGGATTATTGTGGTTATTATAAATCTTTAAATTCAAATGAATGACATTTATCTAATTCTTTATTTGAAGTAATTATCTCTCTATTCTAGATCTCATTTGTTGATTAACTTCTTAAATGAATCTATTATGATATTCCGCTAAGGTATATTTAATTACAATTTTACTTATATTAAGTAATGATTGTATTTATGTATTTTTCTATTTATTCTGCTGATATCCTGTCCTTTGGATTTATGATAAGTAATTATTTTATTAGGTTTTATAATTTGGAACTATAGACGCCCCATTATGCACTTAATTTATATTAAATTTATACTTTCCTTCCCAATTAGGATTTTAATCATATCGGACTTTAAATATCATATAATACATTAATTATCCTAAAGCATAGATATCTACTTTGGTAGTGATTGGCAATCTTTGAGAGAAATCTTTTTATTCTGGAGCTCTTACATGTTCAAAAGTGTTCATCTCAATTTCTTCTTTGATTCTTCCCAAATATTCATTTGGTATTTGATCATATTGCTTATTAAAATTTAAAATACTTAGAAAAAGCATCGTTAAAAATTCCATAATTTTGCTTGCTTATCTAATCCAATTAAAATGTTCTCTGGTCTGATATCTCGATGTGTTATGCCTAATGAATGAGAGTGCTGTAATGCTTTGCTTAAATCTAATAAGATCTACGCTTATTTTTCTGCTTACTTTTAGGACTTGAGGTTCCACTAAACCTTATTAGGAATCCTTCAAAATATTTTGGAGGACTTCAGCTTTTTCAAAAACTATTACTTTTTTATTTGGTTATAATTCTCCTTCATATGATTTTACAATATTGCTACACCCATTATCCTTAAAAAGATGAACAGCTTATAACTCTGTATTCAAATACTATATAAAATTACAATATAATTAAATACCTTCTCTTGTCCAGCATCATATACTTTGATTACATAATTGCACTCCGAAGTTAAAAATAATTTATATTTAGTGCCTTAAAAATAAGGTTATGTAGTAGTATACAGAATCTGTTTATTACCAAATATAACTTTATGTTATTGCATTAATTAGTATAATTAATAATTACATATTATTTTCTAATTTCTTTGATACATTTTTTATCAAATTTATTCAAAAATACTCATAGTTTAAAGATAATAGAACATCATTAAATATATAATTTTTAATTCTGTCTAGTTATATTTGAAAGAACTCTTTTTTTGTATGAATAAATAATAGTAAAATATTAACTATTAAAAACAATAAATACTTTATTCAAGATTTCTCATATGTTTCATTTAGCTGTGCCACTTTTGTATTCTACAGTTTTCTTATGAATGATTTTTTGATTATGGGTTAGGTGGGAATATTTAGGTTGGTTGTATTTCAAGTAATAGCAATTAAAAAAAATAAATTAGCTATTTGAAGATATCAGCTTTATAATAGCGACCATGAGAATTGGTTAAGGAACAGAGATGAATCGGAAAAAATTAAAATATAAAGGATCGGAAATAAATAAAAAATTCTCATTTAGAGGATTCTGAGTTCTAAATGTTTTTCCATATGAAAATTTACAAAATAAAAAATGTTTATTGACTAACTAATAATCCTAGAATAAATAAGAACGATGCATAATCATTTTTAGACAAGTAATATGGTTAGATAAATATTTTGTGGCATTTTTTGTGGTGATATGGAGTAGAGAATAAAAGATTAACTAAGAAATTCGGTAAATAGGGTTTGAATAAGTTTAGGTGGTTTATGAGGAGATACTTAAAAAGTCAGTTGTAATAAAATCTAGCGGATTAGTTAATAGATAAGAATATTATGACTTTGATTTAATTTAGGAGCCATATGTTTTAAATTTGTAAAGTCATCATTGATAAATCTTAATTTATAGAAATAATAATAATATTTATTAAATAAAATTTATAAAAATGGATGAAATTCTTTATTTTTATGATGAGGAAGAGGTATCTATAATAAATTTAAGTTAAGAATACATTTTAAGGTGTTGATGCTTTAAAATAGATGGGAAATGTTAGACAAGTGTGTAAGGGATTCCTCAAAAATTAGTATCAAATTTTATCAGGTATTTTTGTTTGTTAGTTGGTTTAGAGAATGGATGTGTTTACTATTTAGAACTTGGGAAATCATTTTATAAGATTCCTACTTGGAATTGTAAAGTGAAACAAATAGCAACAAATGAATCAGTTACTTTGTTGTTAACCTACTCAGGATAGTTATTTGGATTCGGAGAGGATAAATTGTAATTAGGTATGATCCATAATATCTTTAGGTTTGTTGGGAAATGAGAAATGCTATATTTCCTAAAGTCCAATAAAGATCGGTAATGATTACAAGAGCATATCGTTATCTTCTAACATTGGATGTGGTTTAGATTATAAAGGATAAGCTTGGATATGGGGGAATACTCCTTTGGGAAGAAGTGATATTCCAATAAGAATAGAAGGAAGGTTTATAAAGATCTGTGCTGCAAAAGATTATGTTATTTTTACTGATTAACAGGCTTAAGTTCAAGTATTGAGTGAGATATTTAAATTATCAAATGAATACTTTACTTGTTAAAATATGTGGACAATAACAAGAGCAGAACAGACAGATACAAATTATTTAATAGTGAATGAGATTATACCAAATGATAGATATTCAATCCTATTATCTAGTAATTATTCAATATATAAATAGATAAAAATCGTATGTTTCTATTGATTAACAATAATGGAAGATATATAGTAAGAAGATTGGCAATTAATATAAGAATCCATCATTTATAATAGACTAACTACTATATCTATTGTTTTACTGAAGAATGCCGATTAATTAAAATTGATAAGGCAAATCTTTATACCAATGAAAGCAATGAATTATAACAAATTAATGAATAGATAAGATTCCAACTACCAGAACATGAAATAAAGCATTTAAGTTCAATCTAACCAATTTTTGCTACTAAATATGCTTTCAATTTACCTGCATTTATTGTTGATAAAAGAAGATTTAATGAAGGAATATCAGTGTTAAGATAATAACATATTGAAGTTGATGTTCAAGCTCATCTAAGATCAACAGAAACTAAATTATCTATTATAAAATAAATGTCTCCTATAAAAAGTTCATAACAATTATTCTCATCTCGCGTTATGAGTAAATCTAGAACTTCAATTGCATCTCCAATGTAGAGATTCTATTATTCACCTTAATAACATGATAAAATTCATCATTTCTAAACTCCAAAGAAAGGAGCTCCTATTACACCTGCAAAATATGTACAAACATTCCTAACGTAACATTCTCCAAGTCCCATTGCCAAATCTTTTTTATAAGAATAAAGGGATAATAATAATAATCTTTAAATTTCTACAGTTAAAAAAGCTAATTTATTAAGATTACTCATTTAAGATATTTAAAAGTCCATTAATAAACTTGGTAATTTGTAATAAGTTCCAGTTGATATGAGAGATCGCACTCATTCAAGAAGAAGCAGTTCTGTTCATTTAGATTAAGTTTAATCCATGATTGTCGAATTAGGAAATGCACAATAAAGAAATAATAGCCAAGAAAAAGCTAATAAATTAAATAATTCATTTAATAGTAGAGTATCTTAACATGATAATAAAAATACTAATGCAAGTTCACTCTTTCAATCTGAGTAGGATTTAATTGAAGAATTAAGAGCTTCAGAACCTTTAGATATGATAGAAGAAGAATATTTAGAATATGATGAAGAAACTGACTAAGTTAAAAGAGTTTTAATAAGAAGACCTATTGATTAAGATTATGAATATGGTAATAATCTCAAATAAGATATGGGTGATGGTAAAATATTAGTATCTAGAAAATTGGTTAATGTTACAGATGAAGAAGGATGGAATAGATAAGAAAATGGAGAACTTAAAAAAGTTATTAGTGAATAAGAACCTTAAAGATATATTGAAGAAGAAATTCTTATTGAAAATCCTAAAACTGGTTAATTGATTAGAAAAATAGTTAGAATACCTTATAATGATTAAAATGTTAAATTAGGAGAAGGACTAAATGAGGTTAATGCTTAAGGATAAAGAATTATTGGTCGTAGAATTGTAGCAAATGAATATTCTACTGAATAATTAGATTAGGAAGGATGGGTAATAAAAGAATCAAAATTAGAAAGAATACTTGGTAATAGAGAACCAAATAAATATGTTGAAGAAGAAATATTAGAAGTAAATCCATAAACAGGTTAAATAGAAAGAAAAATCATTAGAAGAAAATATGACAAAAATAGAAAATTAGAAGAAGGATAAAAATTAGTATCAAGTAGAATTGTAGATAATATATAATCATCTAAATAATTGGCATAGGATGGTTGGGAATGTAATTTTAATTTAGGAATTGCATAAAAATATATATAAAATGAAGATGAAGTTTTTTATATTGAAGAAGAAATCTTAATTGTATCTTAAAAGAAACAAGACAGAAAATTAATTAGGAAAATCTATTTTGATGAATAATCTCTAAATAAAGTTTAGTAAGAATTTGGAGAAAATTTGTATGAAATATAAATATAAGGAATTAGAATAATCGCTAGGAGAATTATTAAAGGTGAGAAATAAATTGAAAAAGATTGGAAATATTATTCAGATAAAAAATATTGGGAAAAAGTAATTAGTCAAGGGGAGTCGTGTAAATATGTATAAGAAACTATTGTTGAAATAGATTTTGATAATTATGAATAAACTAAAAAATAAATTAGATATGATTTAGAAGTTAATGAATAAAATTTAATGCTTGGAGATCATTTAGATGAAATCTAATTTGATGGAAATTAAATTATTTCTAGAGAAATAGGTGATAATATTGAATCAACAATTTATCTTAGATAATAAGGATGGATTAAAAATAGAAGTGGATAATTAGAAAAAATAATATCTATTGATAAAATAGTAAATTTTTATGAGGAAGAGATTTTAATATAAAATTTATCAGCTGGTAAATAATAAAGAAAATTAATTCGAAGACCTTTTTTAGAGGATGGTGAAAAATGTTAATTGGGAGAGGACTTAAATGAAAGAATTACTGATGATTAAGTTGTAGTAAGTAGAAAAATAGTTAAAAATGATGGTAATATTGAAAATTGGAAGAAAAATGAAATTACAAAAAATCTAGAAAAAATGTTAATTTTAAGTGAACCTATTGAATTTATTGAAGAAGAAGTACTAACATTTAATTAATAAACTGGAACTATGATTAGATAATTAATCAAAAGACCATCTGTTAATAAAGATAAAATGTAATTTGGTAATTTGAAAGAAGTTGATAAGGATGGTAATATAATTGTTAAACGTACACTTGTACCTAATTTAAAATTACTTGGTTCAGATTGGACAAGAGGATCTATGGGATCATATAGATAAACTATAGCTGAAGAACCTGAAGAATATGTTGAAGAAGAAATTATTGTGATTAAAAATGGAAAATAAGAAAGAAAATTAGTTAGAAGACCATTTATTTAAGATGATTTATAAAGAAATTATGGAGATGATATTAATGATACTAATGAAAATGGAGAAAGAGTAGTTGCAAGAAGAGTTGTTGGAAATGATCAATCTAAAGAATAATTAGAATAATAAGGATGGAAATTAAATGAGAATGGAGAATTAGAAATTAAATAAATTGAACCTACTTAATATCTTATTGAAGAAATTCTATGTTTTAATAAAGAAACTGGTAATTATGAAAGAAAAATGATTAAAAGATAAATGACTAAATAAGATGAAAAATTAAATTTTGGAGAAAATTTAACTGAAGTAGACAAAAATGGGAATAAAATATTATCTAGATAAGTAATTTAAAATGTTTAATCTCTTAATAAATAGAAGGAAGAAGGATGGATTGAATAAAATGGAAAGTTTGAGAAAATTATTAATATTTAAGAACCTGAGAAATATATAGAAGAAGAAGTGATTATTTAAAAAAATGGAATCTAAGAAAGAAAACTAATTAGAAGACCATACAATAATCAATAATATAATATAGGAGAAAATTTAAATGAAGATCATAA